CATGGAAGTCAGCAACATCGAGGGAAGCTTCCGCATTACCTGCGAGCATGTCATGAGAGTCTTGCGAGACAACAAGGACAGTGTGATGGCTGTCTTGGAAGCGGTATGTGTCTTCTCCAAATCTGGTTTTTTAATTCTTCTTGCTGATCGCCTCGCAGTTCATCCACGATCCTCTTCTGACCTGGCGCCTTACTAATGCTGCCAGTCCGGCGGGTCCGAACTTCCGGTCCGAACGCGAGACTTCGCTTGCTGGCCCGCAAGCTGCCAGGGCCCGCCGTCCCTCTGTTCTCGACGCAGACGTGGCGCCTTCGGAGTTGCTTGCCACTGGAGATCCCGGTATGCCCGGAGGACCCGTCGCGCGCTCCCGGTCGAGAACGAACTCATCAATGGCTCATGAGGGCAGCGTTATCAATGGCAACAACGGACCAGACCCCACCGAAATCCAGAATGCTCGGGCCGTCGAGGTGCTGGATCGCGTCTCTCAAAAGTTGACTGGCAAGGATTTCAAGCCGAACGAGGAGCTTGATGTGATCAACCAGGTCAACAAGCTCATCACGGAGGCGACAAAGTTGGAGAACCTCTGTCAGCACTACATAGGATGGTGCAGCTTCTGGTGATCCTGACGTTGTTCAGGTTTGGGGCGACTGGGCTCCGATGGCATTCAAGGACTTCCATGAGGAAACGAACCCGGTGGAAGGGTTGCGCTCATAAGCGCGGCCGCGGCGGCGTTGGGCGGTATTTCTCTTCAATGTGTGTTTAACTTTCCTGGCATGTTGCCAGGCGTTTCCGTTTTTTGGTCTTGTTAGTGTATACCAGGTCAAGGGTTAAGGGCTTTCAGCAGTACATTCTGGACTTTGCAGAGGACCTCTTTTTTTTCTCGAGGTATCATGGCATGGCGTCGTGGTAGACAGAAAATCAATCAATGGGAATTTCAAAGCAATAGGACGGATCTAAGTGATGTCTAAGGTATGTACGTGCGAAAGTAAGTCATCGCCGGTCACCATTCTCGGTTTCTTCAGGGCCACGACTACGCCTTTCTTAGGGTGACGCCAAACGGTCGCGGCGAAATGCTCTTGGCTGATCCATCCTCTGCGATGGTGATCGTGAAGTCGTCCAAGGCAAGGTAATTGTAGGTCTTACGATCAACCAAGCCCCATGTCTGACAGTCGCCGTCAGGGTATACGAGTTTGTCACCGACATCTGGCTCATCATGGTTCTTGTACACAGCACGCCATGACCACTGGTTGCCCTCTCTGATGTTGGTAGGGTAGACTCTGCCGCTGACGTTGAAAGCCTGGATCTTGGAGCCGACGCCGTAGCTGGGGATGTGAGAGAGCACGTCGAACCCACGGACGGTGTAGTTTGTCAGAGACAGGCCTGGGCCGTCGTCGATGGATAGCGTCAGTGTCGAGTTGGTTTCCTCGTCGGTGTACTCTCCTGCAAAGGACGTGCCGGCGTGTTCCTTGTTTGCTTTCTCTAGGGCCGGGATGAGGGCTTGGATGACGGGGGAGATTACTTGGGAGGGGAACTGGAAGGTTCCAGCGGCTTCGGCGCCGGCAGTGAGAATGGAGATGACGAGGTCGTAGTCGGGGATGAGGAGGAGAACGTTGGTGTATAACCCGAGGTCTCCGGATTTGGTGTAGATGCTGAGAGGGACGCCTGAGTCGAGGAGTGTGGAAGTTGTCCAGATCTCCCAGGGTGCGCCGAAGGAGTAGCCGCGCGAGGAGGTGAACCCGCGCGGTTTCAACCATGAACCCGTGTCGATGCCGACCTTGTCGGAGAGGATTGCTGTGCCGAAGGTGAGCATGTCGCGGGTGTTTGTGTAGATCCCCCCCGCAGCGGCATAGGCGCCGAGGTCGCCGCCCCAAGTTGGTTCTTGGAGGGGGATGAAGCCTGTGTCCTTTGCTGGGGTGGAGATGGAGGTTCTTGTTAAGCCAAGAGGGTTGAGGATTGTGTCGGTGAGGATGGTTTCGTAGGCTTGGTTGGATGCTGCTTCGACTGCGAGGGCAAGGAGGGTGATGCCGATGTTGGAGTAGACGGGGGTTGTGTGGGGGCGGAAGACGAGGGGTTTCTCGTTGAGGCCGTGGAGGAGATCTGGATGTTGTTAGAGATTTGCTATGGGTAAGTTGGATAGGGACAGATGGTTTACCATTTCCTGAGCAGGGCTTGGTGCCGAGGAGGCCGGAGCAGGTCGGCTTGGTGTTGTTGGAGACGGGGGGAAGGCCCATTGATGCCCAGGCGCCGGGGAAGACGGCGAGGTCAGTGGCGACTTGAGGTTATCAGTACAGTCGAGTGAGGTGTACGAGGAGCAACTCACTGTCACCACCCAGTCCGGAAACATGAGAAGCTAGGTCCTCAATGGTGATGTTGTCCCAAGGGATGAAGTTGAGATGGCCTTCGTTCTTCACGGCATCAGTCTTGAGTTGCGGTAGGTACTTGGTAACGGGATCCGTTCCCTTGATCTGTGAGTTCTTCAGAGCGGTGAGAGTTGTGAAGACCTTCGTGATGCTTCCTCCGCGGTAGACAGTGTCGATGTCGACTTTTGCAACGCTGCGGTTATCTGCCACTGGAGGGGTGTAGTGCCAGTCGAATAGGGGCGCATCTTCGTGTATGGATTTCACGCCAATGGAGACTGCGGTGTAGCTTAGGGTGGAGGTGAGGTTGACGAGGCCTTCTTGGATCTTGAGAATGGTTTTTTGTACTATTGTCGAGTTGCTTGGTGTTTTGGTGGAAGGTAACGTTGGCCCTTGTGGTGGACATGGGTTCGCTTGGGATAGAGTCATTAGAGAGACTGCCGTGAAGGCAAGGAGTGAGGTCTTGGGAACCATTTTAATAGATGCTCAATCACGGAGATGAGTGTGAAATGATACACCAAGGTAGTGAAATTCTAGAACTTGAGTTGTATAGTCGGGTGGAAGGCCTTTTTCAAGTGGCACATCCAGAGTGAATTATATCGTTTCTACAAGACAGAGAGCCCCTATGAGTCTCCCCGAGTGTCTCGCCCTGCGAATACGTAGGAGGAAGCTATTCTTGGGCCTAACACTCTGATGAAGACCAAGCCACGACAACGCGCGAGGTAAAGCTCCAGAAACACACGTCGAGCCATCAGCAAGCTCGGGACAGAGTCTCTCAAAGTCCGGCATCACCAATCACGGCTTGTCTGACAGACGATCAAAGCCATAGCGTCTGGGAGGATGAGCAGACAGACATACTAGACAGACGCTACACTAGCGGGGAAGGGGCAGAGGCGGCAGCTTGTTATATGGCGTGGTCTTGGTCAAATTAAGGTTAATTCTATTGTTCTGTGCTGCCTGTGCTCAGCCACCAACCTCTGACCTCCCCATCGATGAATCCCTACCGCAAGTGAGAGAGAGCTGGGATGACGGGGGAATTGGTACACGGCAACAAGGCCGTAGGCCCGTAGGGCTATGCAGAGACCGGGAGGGAACCGGGAAGAGACCCGTTCATCTGGGTTCTACCTTACCGTCTGGGCTGAAGAATGGAGAGGGCGTCAAGGCAGCAAGGAACAGGGCGACTGAGCCAGTCAGACGATGGCTTGGCCGATGTTTGCCGTTGATGGTGTGATGAAATGACAGGGCCTGGGGCTCGTGTCGTGAAGTTATTTGGGTTCATTCATGGGTATTCTGTAAGGTATGGAATCATAGATACTCTGTACGGATACCTTGAAGCTGGTTGTGATGGGTAAAAGATGAGAAACATGGCCATAGGGAACGGGATCAACGGGCGCGAATCGCTGAACCGAAAGGATCCTGCGGGAGCCGGCTCGGAGCCCCACCACAGCCCAGCGATTGGTTCGCTCGGGACCGTAGTCCGAGATCTAGGACGAATCAAAGACGCGCAGCCTCCTGGCTTAGCCCCGTTTTAGTGGGGCATGCGCCGTTGTGGCCCGTGAGCCTTGGCCCCTTCCCATTCGAACTGAGAACTCAGCAATGAGCAGGTGCGCCCTGCCGTGCCTGCTGCGCTCCTTCCCCTGCACAGGTACGGCGCATTCACATGGAAGGTGCGATGCAACGCAACACAACGGGGGGCAGCTGCAGTCTAGACTTCTGGGCTGAGCCGCTTCCTTCCATTTCGCTCCTCAACCGGGTCCGCCAAATGCAGTGCAGTCGGCGCATCCCACGGATACCTTACCTTACTTACTTCACCTTACCGTACCTAGACAACCTCACCTCATGCGCATCTCTCCACGATGGGACGCGGCCATGGCCATGCAGCTGGGGCAGTGACAGGGCTGACATCTGAAAGGAGACTAACCAAACTATCCTTGGAATCCCCACGGATACAGACTACGTTACCTTAAACCAGCGCCAGAACATTCGTATTCCGTACCCAGATTACCAAGGCAGCCACCTCACCTTGCCGATTCTCGATTTGTATCCGCTATCCCCATGTCGCGACCGTCACCATACCTCCAGGCAGAGACATTCTCTGAGCTCTCGTTCGACAATTCATGGGAATCCGACGGGATTCTCCCTACAATCAAGAAGCTTGGCTCGACATAGTACCGTCTCCGATCCGTATCTACCTTACTTACTACCCTGTTACACCTCGGCTTGAGCGGGAATCTCGCTTCCATCAACTTGAATCGCCAGATAGTGGATTCCCTACGGATACGGATACCGCTCATCATCATCCGCTGTAGACCTAGCTCCTTGCATGGTGTCGTCGTCGTCGATTGATTCCAAAGACTACTTCTCGCAGTACGAGATACAAAGGTCGCAGGTTTCACCACAATACACTAAAGGGGACCTTGGTCGTGATTGCTGGACTCGGACTTGACATCTCGGATCCAGACAGAATACTCCAGGCCGGCACCAGACCAACAACACCAAAGTCCCAACGCCGTTCCAACAACCCGGCACCAGCCGTGCCAGCCCTGAAGCCCAGGAACATACAGTGTTATCCACTTGTTCAACCCTACCTCTGACCCGACGAGCCTACGGGAGCTCGGCATCATGAGCATGCCAGACGACCCACAAATGACAGACCCAGCAAGCACGCCGCCGCCGTCATTGCAGGTCCCCTCAGGCCGGAAGGGCACCAAGAAAGTTCGGACTGGTTGTGTGACCTGCAAGTTGAGTCCGAGCCTCCCTATCAATCCCATCACTACATCTGCCATCCCATCTCCAGCCCTATGCCATCCATCTCCCTCATCTCGTCTCTCTCCACCTTTCTTGCTAACCCGTCGTCCCAACATCTAGGATCCGCAAAGTCAAGTGTGACGAGACCAAGCCCGCATGTCTTCGATGCACCAAGACAGGCAGGAAATGTGACGGATACCTACCATCTTCCAGGTCGGGGGGTAGCAACGATGGCAGCCCCGGTTCCGACGACAGCAACTCGCGCTTGAGCCCGGCAATCTCAGCCTTCGCCGACTGGGCCGGCGGCTCCAGAGAACAGCGCGCCTTTGACTTCTACCGCAACTTCTCCGCCCCATCCATCTTTAGCGACGGAGTTGCCTCAACTCTGTGGAAGAAATTGGTACCGCACTTTTGTCATGCCGAGCCCGCCATTCGGCATGCCGTTCTTGCCATTAGCAGTCTCCATGAAACACTCGCGCTGCCTTCAAATTCGGATGCGAATAGCGAAGAAGCAAACGGCCCCCGCGTGCTGACCAACACCTTCGCAGCGGAACAATACGGCAAGGCCCTGAAGTGTCTTCAGGAATGGAAACCAACAGCCTCATCGCCGGCCACCGTCCCGCTGTTAGCATGCCTGCTATTCATATGCATCGAATTCATGCTTGGCGACGAGGGCGCATCCCAGGTGCACATCAACCAAGGCCGCACAATTCTCTCACAGCTTGAGCCCTCTGCCGATGTGGATATGATTAAGAAGCATTTCGTGCCCATTTATAGCCGACTTGGCCTCGCATCTTTTCTGTTTGGGAGCTTCCCCGCCGCCATACCCGCCACCCTCCAATCGAGCCCGGCCACAAATCTCTATTTTGCATCCGTGGACGAGGCCGAAGTTTCACTATACGAACTCATCGATGACGGCTTGAGATTCACGACACAAGCGAAGAGGGCCGTATACTCCTGCCAGCCAAACGATCCGACACTGCTGGATTTGGCCCACGAACAAGACGACTTTCTCGCCCGGCTATCACGATGGCACATTGCGTTTGTCATAGTCTCGGCCACCGGTACCGACGACAACCTGAGTAAACGAAAGTTGTGCATGGTGTATTATCATGCAGCCAGGATTGCAATCAGTACGGCCATGGATCCCAAGGAGATTGCTTTTGATATGCACACCACGGCCTTTGCGTCCATTGTTAGCAACTCTGCGGAGTTTGTTCAAGCCACACGCAAGGCGGTCCGCGACCCTTCCGAGGCCGCCCGGTCGATGCCCAAATTCGTTTTCGACACCGAGGTCATACCGCCGCTCTACTATGTTAGCATCAAATGTCGGCACCCGATGCTGCGGCGAGCTGCCATAAACCTACTCAAGCAAGACACCGTGACAAATCGAAGGGAGAACCTATGGGATTCCCAGATGCTGGCTGAGATTGGCAAGCGCTGCACAAACATTGAAGAAGAGGCGGCTCGTTACCGTGAGGAAGCGTTTGACATCACAGCTGGGTGGGATACGGCGTCTTGGGAGGGGTCTGATGGGGTGCCAACCGGCCTCTTCCCGGCGGAGATGGAATCCGGGATGGAGTGCGACTATCCTGTGCCTCGATTCCAATATCCTGGACTTCCCAAAGTCATAAATTCCCAACAGAATGAGGAGTATGAGAGAAAAAGGATTCTCGTCAACGATCTGATGCTGGACAACGACTTAACGCCCGAGTCCGCTTCGACGGGTTCAACGCCATCTTCCGGTAGCATTGGTAATTTTGGCGCCTATCAGCTCGAGCCGCCCTTTGGCCTCCCTGAGCATGCGAGGATCAAGAATGCGTTGATCGACAATGAGCAGAGACGAGGCAGCTGGGTGACGATATTCATGGACCCGGAAGAGGCTGGTGCTGCGAATTGGAAAGTTACTAAAGAGTTCATCTCAAGATGAAGCTTGAATTCTGGCTTGTTGTAATGAGTCTACTTAGGCGGTCCGGTGGATAGTTGTTCAATCTGTTGTTGTTTCGAGCGGCGCATTGAGGATAGCGTACATATGATCAAGAGCTTAGAGCATATACCATGAATGAATTTGTGGCGATTATGAAAGTATTTGCATGCACGTCAGAAGGGAATTGGAATACGTGTCGAGCACTGAAAGAAATGGAATGAATAGGCAACAAGGGGCTGGACGGCCCTCCCCCTGATTTCACTCTCGAAAGTTCTTGACATCAGATATTATTAGTAGATTAGCGCCTCATCCTCTTTGGGTGAGATGCCAACACACAAATATGAATTTGCGCCGGTATCGTTCGCTATTATTACAAAGAATGTAAAGCCCTCATCATCCATGGACCATGTAGATTTCCTTTCCACGAAGTATCGCTGTTTCTTGTCTCAAGAGCTCCAACCAGATTCGACGCATCCAGAAACTCACCAGTCCAGTCTGTAGTTACACATACCACTCGCCATTCATGTCGTAGCAGCTGAGGGTGCCCTCCTGACTGACCCAAATCCCCTGAGCTACAACGCCAGTCAGCAAGCCATTTTCAAGAACCATGCGATTGTTTACTTACAGAGATCGATGGAAGGTGACTTGTATCCCTCTAGCCAGAAGATACGTGGCTTGCACTCTTCGCACCTCAGGCCGACGTATGAGTTTGGAGATCCTTGAAAGACTCCGCATGCACCGCACCTGAAACCGCCTCTATGGGAAGATCCGGTGTTATCATAGGTTTTTATCATTCTTAAGATGGACGACAGAAGTTTTTGCGGTTTTTCGTATAGGAAAAATGCATACCTTGGTGCCCATTCCAGGTTGCCATCCCAATTGGCGATGCACTTCTTGAGATCGAGCTTGGTGTAGACGTAACTGCCTTTCTTGTTCTTGCACTGGGCAACAAGGTAGAACGGGTCCTTTTCTTCTTTTGTTTCTATGAAGCTGAAATTTTCACAGAGCCTTTCCATGCAATCGGACTCGAGAGGGCATTTTCGGTCCAAGGCACGGGGTGCCAGGGCTGTGCCTGCAATGTGCATTGCGAAGAGGCAGATGGAAAAGATGGCGGCGATGATGGCTGACTTCATGGGGGCGGTTTTTGTGACGGGTTTGCTGAATCGTAGGTATATGCTGATGAATTGGGACTGAAAGAGTGAATGACACGGAACGATTCTCTGGGAGAAGTCATCATCGACTCCTTTAAGTCTCATTGAGATGCTCTGGCTCCCTTCAGCTTGTCAGACACACGAGCCCGACTTCACAGGCAGGCCGTTACACCAAGATACAAGGGATATAATGAGTACAATGTCGGACTCGGACGAGTTTGCTGGTTACGGTGTTTGGATACAAACATTGTCTTTGCAGAACTACATCTCTGAAAGAGGGCCTGTTCTTAGTGACACTTTGCCCGCTTTCACGCACCCCTACGTGCCCCCCAAGGGAGACCAGCAACCTCCGTGAGAAGGTAATACTGATACTTGTCGCAAGCGTTATCAAACATATTGATATAAGTCCAGTTTTGGGATTTCACCGTTCGGTTTCGTTTGTAGGGGTTCCTGATGCCAGACCGAATGTTTCCGGCTCGACGTGGAATGACTGTGCTGTCAGACTGTCGCCGCGTTTCCTACCGATCTCACTTTTCATCCCTTTGACACTGGCAAATTTGATACCGCAAACATGGAATCAACATCGCAAACATTCGTTTTATTCTATCTGCATCAGGACTTATTCAGTAAGCTAATGCACTCTGCCCTCCTCTGTGACCGATTGCGCGAGGGAGCATGATTCCGCGAAAAGGCGTGGTAACTACTTAACATCATAGACACCAAGATATGCATGACTTTACTGCAACAATCCATGACTTCAGGCAGATAGATATCCCATCGATTTCTCTCAGAAGGAAAGGTCGGATGCATACCAGGCTTTGGGTCCCTGTGACTGCGGTATGCTGGCTTGACTCACTCGGTCAGCGGTTTGGTCAACGCTAGCTCCCGACACCACCCGCGGCGTTAGAGCCATCAATTTTCGTTACAGTAGTATCATCATGGTCGATGAATTCTCCATCAACAAGTGCTTCTATAACTACTCCGCCGCATTCCCCCGCGGATTGCGTGGAGACCTCTATTGGATGTGGGGCTGCTCAATTGGGCAACTTAATGCGATACATGAATGATGGGGCAGTCGAAAGTCTGATCGGCCAAGAAATTGTGCCTAGAATGTTACTCCATCAGGTCAAATGAGCGAGTTTGTGGTAGCATTGCCCCTCGACTTCATGTAGCGCGAAGACACTCGTGTGCTCAACAGCGAGAGGATCTCGTATAGTGTCCTCGTTACGAGAAACATCGAAGATAAGTACGCCGATGGGACATCATGATTGTCTGGTTGAACCTTGGAGATATGTAAGACCCATCCTGTGAAGCTGCAATATTAGATGGGTGAGTCTTTGTTATAAGAGTATGAAGGTTCTCCTTCCTCGATTAGTATCGCCTTTCCAAGACGTCACACTCGTTCGGAAACTGGCACATAATTTTTCAACTTGATAGCGACTCTCTCGGAATTTCAGAATGAGTCTCATCATACCCTTCGCTCTTGTCCTGGCTTCAAGAGCCCTTGGACAAGATCCTGGTTTGCCCGTTGCCAATCCCACCATATCCTACTGGCAACTTCCCCCATTGAAGGGAGTCGCAGATAATCAGTCTGAGCATCTACCAAAGGATGTGGATGTTGTCATTATAGGTTCGGGAATGTCAGGTACCAGCGTTCCCTGACATCTTCTGAAGGAGAACAACAGTACTACGCCGCTGAGGGTTGCCATGATCGAAGCTCGTCAGGCTTGCTCCGGTGCCACAGGAAGAAACGGCGGTCATATCAGACCGTCTTCCTACGCCGAGTATGCTGGCGCTAAGTCGACAGTATCACAGTTAGAAGTGGCCAAGATCACTAGGCTTCGCTCTGCCCACGTGAACGCTCTCATCTCTGCGGCCAACTCTCTTCCGGCAGACGGGAGATTAGCTGCAGAAGCTCGTGTTGTGGATAGTATCGACGCCTTTTTCGACGAGCAGAGATGGAAGACAGCTGTTGATCAGGTTAAGGCCCTAAAAGAGGAGGTTCCAGACGTTGGAGACGAATGGGCCATCTTTGAGAGAGAAGAAGCTCGCAATGTAAGTTGAAGCGGTCATCCAAGTTTGGTGCAATTGCTCACAAGATGATCAGCTATCACTTCTCCCTGAGACTGTCGGAATTTTGACTGGAACTTTGGAGATGGCTGGTGCAATTTGGCCGTATCGCTTCATCACCCATGCGCTAAAATCACTCCTGGGTACCTACCCCGGCTTTACTTTGGACACAAACACAGTCTGCCATCGCCGAAGCAGCCGATCCCTTCAACTTTGAGGTGCGCACTTCCAGAGGCAGTATTCGGACCAAGTACATGGTTTATGCGACCAACGCTTGGACACCGCACCTTGTTCCCGGCTTACAAGGCGCCATTCGCGGAGGCCGGCTGCACATGAGTTCCCAGCTTGGAGGCAGTGGCCTGCCCAAAGCTGGACAATGGCCATCGTATACTGTAAATGGTAGTTTAGCTGGAGGACGTGCCTGGTCTCTGTATCTAAATGGCTTGGATTATATTTTCCAGATGCCCCGGAACGGAGAACTCATGTTTGGCGCCTATATTGACGGAGACGACGCGAATGCCAACACTTACGACGACAGCCGTGCTCCCCTTCACCTGTCTGCCTCGTATCTCAACGGGGCTCTCCCAAACCACTTTGGGTACGACACTTGGGGTTCCGAGAGAACTGATTTCCCGCCACCCTCGGACACAAGAGTCTGGGATGGCCGCACGAAGCGCGTCTGAGTCGGCATTGAAGGGGGATCAATCGACTCTAGGCCCTTCGTAGGGCAGATCCCTCAGTCTATCACTGGTCGATCCGTGAAGGACGCTTCAGTTGGGAGCGAGTGGGTCTCTGCATCGTTTGATGGAGAAGGGATGTTGATTGCTTGGCTCTGTGGCCGCGCGCTTAGTCGAATGATTTCGAACGCCGGCTCTGGGGCGAATAACAACAACAGTGCAGTGATTCCTGATTGGTTTCCAGAGTCTTTTTTGGTCACTGAAGAGCGTTTGGCAAAGAGGAATTTTACCAAAAGGCAAGTACGCCAATGGATGCACCCGCGCATGGCCAAGGTTTGGCATTGGGATTAGGTTAGGTACCTTTCACTTGAATTTGGGGGTCTTCGGCTACAAACCAAAGTTTATATCGACACTTTGGAAAGCCTTTATGAAGGTGGATAGTGATGTTGGAACAACTCTAGAAGCTATAGCAGCTATTTGTCTCTAAAACTCTCTCCATTTGACCTGATTATCCTTGGCCTGATCATAATGTCACACATCTCGTGCAAACTTTTGACAGTACTAAATGGGAGTCATTTGCCACAACTTCGCAAGATATGCATCTAGGTAGGTAAGCAAAGTAATTGAGGTCCAGCGAGCATTTCTCGACAGCTTATTGCTGTAAGCAGCTTGAAATTTGACTAGCCAAACGTCCGCCAAACATCACAAAGATAGCATTGACCTGAAGCAGGAAAGCACAGGGAAGACATAAGTACTGACATACTGGCTCGATGCTCAGTTGCTGAGTTGAGGTTATCAGGTACGTTTATCATCAAAGCGAAGCGCTTCCTTCCAAGTAGACATCAATCACAATTAAAACGGAAGGAGCATGAGCTTTATTTTCGACTATGTTCTCCCAAGTGCAATGCATTGCTCGTTACCAGGGTCTTATCACGGCATAGACTATATCGACGAGGGAGACATGCTGTCTGCTTTTTCCCACACGACCGACAGAACATGATACGTAATAAGGGAGCAAGTCTGCTTGCCTAGGACCAATTCTCTCAAGGCCACACTCAAAATGGAATATTCTCCGTCGTGAGGTGAAGCACCTCGGCTGTTCTTCCAAACTCTTTACCAACAGAGTCCCGAAGTGTGCTGAGTCAGCCAAATTTGCTAGCACGCCATGGGTGCCAAGTTGAGATCATCGAAGCTATCTGCACAACCCTCGTCGCTTCTTATCTGCATACGTACGTTGCGACCGTGTTATCTGGAGTTGACAGCGGAGGTCACCGGCAATCACCTCGGCTGTCACCCCCATCTACCAAAAGTCTGGAACCCTCTTGGTGCGACAAACGCGGAGATGAGAGCGATGCCTCCAATCAGGGTCGTAATTGCGTGCTCAGCCTGCAACGTCGCGCAGCACCCGGCCACGTGGGAGTGGTGTTTCCCATAAATTCCTCCCGGCAGTGTTCAGCAAGTCTCGATATTCTTCAATACGGAGCTTCTTGTTTGGGCAATTCTTCTTGAGAACATACCTCAGTCAGCGAGTCAACGATTCAAGTTGCCATATTCAGGGCATTGTCACTACTGAAAAGGCAGGCCTCTGTTCAAGATGGCTGAGAAGGCTGATAGTGTCTCTGATGTGGCGCAGCCCGTCGAGCAGTCAGAGAGAGTCGAGGGTAAGTTGATGCGGCACATTTATCAGCTTCATACGCTGACGTCCAGCAGGGAAATGGTACCGCACACCCTTCTATAACGCCACGATTCTTGGCATGTGTAGTTTCGCAGCTCCCGGCCTTTGGGGTGCGATGAACTCTCTGGGTGCTGGTAAGTTACATTTCGGGATGGGTAGCCCTCGTGTAGAGAGCATGAAGTATCTGACAATGCTGCAGGCGGTGCTCAGGAGCCGTACCTTGTTAACACCGGCAACGCGCTGACTTTCTGCCTCATGATCATCTCATGCTGGCTCACAAGCTCTGTTGTCAAATATGTCGGCATCAAGGGTGCTCTAGTCATCGGTACAATCGGCTTTGCCCCATACAGCGCCGGGCTTTACCTGAATAACCGTTACGGTGTCGAGTGGCTCGTTATCGTTGGTGCCGCCTTCTGCGGCGTCTCTGCTGGTATATTCTGGGGCTCCGAAGCTGCTATTGCCATTGCCTATCCTGAGCCTCACAATAGAGGGCGTATGATTGCTTACTGGCTCACTTGGACTCGAGTTGGGCAAATCCTCGGCGGCGTTATCAACCTTGGCCTGAATGCTGATCGCAGTGGAGCTGGTAAGGTGTCGTACAAGGTCTACCTCATCTTCATTGCCCTGCAAGCTTGCGGACCTTTTGTTGCGTTGCTTTTGAATAAGCCAGAAAAGGTCCAACGAGCCGACGGGAAGCCAGTCCAACTGACCATTGCCGACAACCCGTGGCAAGAAATCAAGGCTACGACGAAGACGTTCCTCACTCCGAAGTTCCTGCTTCTCGTCTTGTGGATTGGCCAGGGCGTGTATTCTGAATCGATCTTCTTCACATATATCGCTCTTTGGTTCTCCGTCCGAGCTCGTGCCCTAGGATCACTTCTCTCTGGCATCGTTGCAGTTATCGCTGGTAATCTACTCGGATTATGGCTCGATCAGAACCAGATCGCTCTGAAGAAGAGGGCTCGCTGGGCCTTTGCAGTCATTATGACTCTCCAGGGTGCCTGGTGGCTATGGCTGACTATCAACGTCACCGAATACCGTCGGACTCAGCCCACACTCGACTGGAGTGACCCAGGATTCGGCAGAGGCTTCGGTGTCTTCATCTTTTTGGTCGCTGGCTTCCAACTGAACTACAACTTTGCATTTTTCATCATTGGACAAATTTCAGAAAGCCCCCAGGAGACTATTCGTCTGTCAGCACTCCTTCGAGGAACGGAGTCAGCATGGCAAGCTCTTAGTTATGGACTCAACGCAATCCCGATCTTCGCCTTACTCGGCGGGCCTTATATCAACTTTGGACTATGGTTTGTCTCGATTTATCCGGCTTGGCTGGTTGTCAGACACTTCGGCAATGATTCAAAGAAAACTGATGCAGAGACAGTCGCTCAATCGGAGGCAGTTCACAAAATCAAAAGTTGAAGGAAAGGCCGGACCATCCTAAGCAACTACTCAAGTTGGAATGTTACATGAGGTACTGATCTAGATCTTGAACCAGTCCTCTGGCTATTGCTCAAACAGACATGGTAATACATCATATGATATGCACCTGAGTAATAACCATGCCCTTTGTACGACAGAGACCAAATATTGGCTACCGGCACTTGCCCCATCATTCTCACTGGATAGAGGCTCGTGAAAATAGACAAAGAGGGGTTTGGACTGCCTTTCTTTGTTCTTCAGGAGCAACCTTACATGCGCCGGTGATAACGTGATGTTGTTGGAAATTCCATTGATCAGTACATCAACAAGATAGTTGGAGCATCTAATCCGCTCATTGTGGCTGAGTTGGATCAAACGCATTTGTTCTTGCTTGTATCGTAAAAGAGTAAGGTTCTATGCTGTTCTTCCACAAGTCGAATTAATACCATTCCCATGGACAGTCGTCACAAACTATTTCTCTCCAGGACATATAATTGCATATGCATATAGCCAAGGCCCAAGGACAGGCTTTGATTTGATTTCTTGACCCAAGTTACATCGGATCCTCAATTCGTCGATACAAGAAGAAGAACAGTAATAACTTTTTTTTCAATCACTCTCAAAAGGTTGAAACCAATGGTAAAGCCCAAAGAACGAAAGTACCGACAACAAAGATGAAAGAATATACGCAACATTCCAAGCGAAGTGTTTTTCTTCAACTACCACGAGAGATACGCGACCGCATCTACGAATTATCCGAGCTCGTGCCTTTGAGGTGTGAGCTAGATATTTGCGAGCCAGTTGGTCGTCTACCATGGGCTGCTGCATACCCACCATCACCTCTTTTCGAAGTTTGTTCCCAAGTAGAAGCCGAGGTTCTAGAGCTGTTCCAAAGTCGAAACCATTTCAGGTTCTGGCTCGGACAGAATAGTTGGGCTGCGAACCAATCCGTGTATGGCTCTCTCAACTCCACCTTTACAGAAGCGCAATTCAAGCCGTCAGACCTCCCTTCCCTCAGCGGCATCAAGCAGCTCTATCTGAACTTCTATAAGGGCACCGGACCAGGCCGAATAGTGGCGTCGGAACTAGCTGCATCAGCCAATCAAGTAGAGAGAATCACGATCTGTCCCAACAGACATAGCCAGTATCCAACTTCTGCCCAGTTTCAGTCCGCTCTTCTGAGGTTCATGAGAGACATTCTAGAGCACATCCCTTCGGTGCATACTGTCAGGCTCGCTCACCCGATTTCTGAAGAAATTGCTCGTAGAATAGCTGACGAGACTCCGCTTCAGATCGAGGCAATTTGTGAGGGAGAGATTCATGGAGGATGTGACAGAACGCTTCCAATGTCTCCAGAGCCGTTTTGCGAATCATCCGGGTCCATAGAAGCCCGGAGAAGTGTCCCAGACGACTATACGGCATTCGAAAACATACGGGGATATGTTTGGAACGTTAGGCACTCGGTGGAGCGATGGCACCAACTTTTCGTGTCAAGAGGAGACTCGGTTTGAAGCCTGGGGCTTGGCTGAGCGCAACGGCTTCAGCTGCTTTGTGCCTGCATCGTACGAGCTGGGAATAAGTCCATATTGACAAGGAAGGAAGTCAGCCAGGCATTGCGTGTAGCAGTACGAATGATTTCCATCTCACATGCAACCTGATTCAACGTGCAATCTCTTTTAGATTAAATTTTTTTTCAGGGGGGCGGCGTTAACTGGTGCAACTAAGCTCATCTGAATCGTCTCCGAGCCCAGTTACTGACGTTGCACTCGATTTACAATAAACATTATTGCATACCGCTGGCGCTAATCCCTTACCTGTTATGGATCTGGAGTATCTTCATAGATGAAGTCTAGTAAGTCTGATGATGCGGGACTACGCGGCCGTGCTACACATTGACGCAAAAGGCCGAACAGGATTACACTCTATGCTCTACCTTACGTTAGTGTCGGGGCCCGAGGGCGATGCGGTCTATCGAGTTCCCCGCTTCTGCAAGCTGAAGGCATCAAATACGTAAAGATGTGCGCTCATGCAGGCTGCCTCGTTAAGGTCCCAACGAAAGCTCTCAAAGTCCGAGGAAGCAGTGTTTTGTGCCGGTTCGAGCCATCCTGTAGGGACCTGTACTCCGTCACTTTGTCAAGCCATCTCGCCATCGGATGGAGAAGGATACCAAGTAATGTCTGGAGTGGGCTGAGTGGAACAAAATGAACACATAGCCAACTAGGATTAGTTTCGATGCAAAAGCGTTACTGCCAAGACGGAGGTGTGATCGGGTGTACTTTCGAAATTGTTGTCCGTCAACGCCCGCCCCTCCGGGTGCTCACCTGTAGAACGTGCCATAACCACTGCGGGAGGCCTGCGGTTCTTTGGTCTTGGGCTAGCGAAACCGTCTTTGGGGCGGCGTTGTGAGAGCACGTTTCACTCTTTTCATCTGACGATACAGTTGCCTACATGATCTAGGGAGAAGCGCAATTTCCACGATTGAGTCCTAAGTATCCTACACTTGAAGGCACCCCCTCCTAGAGCTTTCAAGGCTATAAAGGTACATGTATCGTCCACTGAGCGCTGTGACATGAACCATCTTACGTAACCCGCACTCGCACAGAACACTCAGTCAAACATTCGTCAGCGGCCCTACGAGCATGCAGTGCACCCGGTGCAAGGCCATGGCCCCACGCTCTCGTCCTACAGAGCGTCTTGTTCTTCGATCCCTCATCTGGCAAGTCGGGTTCATCCGTTTTCAATGGGAATGTGTCGGTAAGACGACATGACCGGAAGCGAGACCTACTGACAAGTCTGACAGCACCCAATCCTTGACAAAGCAACATCGCCATCGCCATGGATCCCATTCCTCCAATGGCACCAGCCGGGGCCATCAGCCGTTGAAAATTTTGATCTTATCAATCTAGACCCCACACCGCAATCCTTCCAGTTGCTAGCGCGTGGCTCTTTGACAACCTCTCAGAATCATATTGGCCGAACGCATCCGGAAGCCGCCCCGCCGTTCTTCGGTCATGATGTGAACGACTTTACTTTCCACACCCAAGGCTACAGTATCAAGGAATCGGCGTGTAGGAAATGGCGCACTACCATGTGGTTGTCCCACCTCTTATGCAGGCCGCAGGCTATCATGCAGGCTATCTCTTGGCGACTCTGACACTCGGGACTCTTTTAAGAACCCTTTCGCTCTCCATTATCTGCGCCGCATGAGAAAGTTCTTGGCCCCCGTTGCCTCATGTTTGGTTGATACACTGTCCTGGAGCGAAGCCTTGGATTCAATCCCCTTCCTTCGGTGAACCCCAAAGCCGGATTACCGATCGGAGCCGATGACAACATGAAGTCCAATAAAGAAGATACAGTGTCTCCGGAAATCGTCCCGGAACCCCAGATCAATCGAGAACACAACGATAAAGACGCCGAAATTCTCGACGAAAAACCGTTTCGCGAGGAAATCGATCCCAACACTGGGGGCTTGGCTGGTGTCGAGAAGATCGAGGCACTAACTCAGACATGGACCAAGACATGGCTTATTGCTGCTTATATCTTGTATGTATGCTCTACTACACATTGTTGAATCAAAGCTGACAGTGAAGGATCTGGGTTGTATACTTCATCGACTCCCTCCAGCAGCAGATTTCGAGCTCGCTCCTAGCTTATGTGGTTAGCGATTTTGGCCTGCACGGCCTGATGGCGGCGACGGGCATCATCTCGAATATCGTCGGTGGCGTTAGCAAGTTGCCTCTTGCTCGCGTCCTCGATGTCATCGGCCGCACTGCGGGCCTCTCTATCATGTTATTCTTCGTCGTTGTTTGTGAGTATTGGCCCTACAAAGCCATCGCGGAATAGGATACTTCAGCGAGCTCTATGTCGAACTAACGAATTCACACAGCTTTAATCCTGATGGCTGTCTGCCAGAACGTTGAGACCTACGCCGCTGCACAAACCCTTTTCTGGACTGGTATGAATGGCATTGGCTATGTTCTCAATGTTTTCATGGCCGACACATCCACTCTCAAGAATCGTATGATTCTGTTTGGTTTCACCTCAACACCTTACATCTCAAACACCTTCGCCGGGCCTGCCGCTGCCCAGTCATTTCTCGATACAAGCACTTGGAGATGGGGATACGGCGCTTTCACGATAATCATCCCGGCCGTTGTCGCACCCTTGATCATCATTTTCACTGTGCAAATGAGACGGGCCGTCAAGCAAGGGCTTTATGTCAAGAAAAGGGAGAATCGAACCTTTTTGGACTCTACCAAGTACTGGATTGTTGAGCTGGATGTTGCAGGCATTTTGCTCGTCGTCGCTGGATTCTCACTGCTGTTGTTGCCTTTTAGTATGGCAGGATATCAAGCTCACCAGTGGCGCGAGCCGAGAATCATCGCCATGATCGTTCTGGGCGGCATCTTCTTAGTCGCTTTCCCCTTTTACGAGAAGCACATTGCGCCGAAGTCCTTTGTACCCTTTGAGCTCTTCAAGAACAAAAACGTTTTACTCGCTTGTCTGCTAGGAGGAAACATGTGGATCAGCTTTTAGTAAGTTCAAAAGTCATAGACCCGTTGGTTCACAAACACTGTGTAAGCTGACCTGAGGTATGTTTAGCTGTTACAAGGTTCAGTTCTTGTCGTATCTACAAGTCGTCTACAACCTCAGCGTCTCTCGAGCTGGCTTTATCGGCAACATTTACAACATCGTTTCCTGTGCATGGGCCATTCCTGTTGGACTGTAAGTATCTGATACTCCGTATGCGGACATGCAACGACAAATGACTTACAACGTCGTAGCCTCATGCGTTTCACCAATCGTTACAAGTGGCTCGGCTTGGCCGCAGTCCCCGTTCAATTGCTTTCGACTGGCCTCATGATAAAATTCCGCATGCCGCATACTAGCGTCGGCCTTGTCATTATGTGCGAAGTACTTGGTGCTTTGGCAGGAGGCACCATCGTCATGGTCGAGCAGATCGCTGTCATGTCCTCTGTTCCCCATCGTGACGTTGCCGTCGGTCTTGCACTTCTTTCCATGGTTACCAGCGTTGGTGGCGCCATTGGGTCGTCAATCAGCGGAGCTATTTGGACCAACTTGATGCCCTCCAAGTTGGAGAAGTACCTTCCGAACGAGCTGAAGGGCGAAGCTCTCCTCATTTATGGGGATCTGACGAGACAGCTATCACACGAATGGGGGACTCCTGAGAGAGATGCAATCGTGCTTGCCTATGGCGAAACGCAGAAGATCATGATTATTGCCTCGTTGGTGGCATTGGCGGGCCCTATCCTGTGGGTTTCCTTGATGAAAAACCACAAATTAAGTGAAAAATCACAGACGAAGGGTGTTCTCTTCTGAGTCTTTAGTCAATCAGTCACATCGACCACAGCGAGTGGAGGACTTGGCTCTGTTTTCATCTCATGCAAATAAAGTCGTCTTCCGACCAACCTAAACCCAAATTGAAGGAGGTTTCATCACACACGCAGATGTTCACATAGTAACAAGCAATGCGCACAATTACTACGTTGCCGTGCATTCATCCAAGCTCCTTTAGTCGACGATTCCAGACATACCTCACAGTCCAACAAACTTTGCTTTTGTAATTAAAAGCAGTCTGGTCATACGAAGCCGATGAGAAAGGCGTATGAGCGCAACCTTAGTGGTCGCGTACTATTCAGTATGGTTTAAGGAAAAGGGTAAAGCTGGAAGAGGGGAGTTGCTACTCCGTATTGCATGGACTGGGTTAACGGCCTGAATGCACATGAATACTCGGCAGCATCCGGAGAAACTAGTCGTATACATGGAGGCATTGCGAAGCTTGACTGCTGGTTCCCAGCTCGACTGTTCCGTATATTTGGAACTCAGTCAAGTCCGAGACATGCGGAGGAGTCCGGGGTAGAAGTGGAGCTCGGAGACGGAAGCCGGAACTCGGGAGGGCAGCGACTGCCGGAAAGGGATACCTTGTTCTAAACGGACAACACCAGGAGGGTAAACATTACTTATTCTGGCGTCTTGCATGTTAAATCTTCCATTTAGAACAAGTGTTGGACCAAGTGTAGTCAGGAAGTGACATGATCTCAGGTTGATAGTCGTTGTTGATTGATAGCGAAGGCGACCTCGAGCGGCGACGTGCTCCGGGTCCTGGAATGCTCAGCGGCCCACCGATTAGCTTTAGTAGCCAATCTGCGTCTCCCGAAATTCCCGCGGTCCCTCGATCTCTTAGTCTTTAGACTGTCAGTCTCGGTGTCTGGTGTGACCTCCGCAAAATCACTGCACTCCAGTCTCCAGTTTCTAGCGCTACCCCGGAAGTGCAGCCCCGCCCCCGGTCAACACGTCTTCCGAGTCATGCCCTTCACGTCCCAGTCTTCCCCAAGGAGGCAGTCTTTAGCGTCTTCAGGCTATTGAGAGATGTCAGGTCCACGTGGAAAGTGCGGAGAACTGGGGAGTCCCCAAGTGCCCTCGTCGAGTGCCCATGGGGAAGCTTGCATTGCAGCCCTTCTGTGCTTTTCTCAGTCGAACATGCTTGGAGTATAAGACGCGTGAAGCTCCCACCACCCTCCAAGATAGCATGATTCGAGCAGTGTCAACCTCACAGGGGGACATTACGCGTTCCGAAGCCGACTCAACCTTGCACAACGGCTAGCCGAGTGCCCTGTTGGAGCAGTCGCCATCCACAATGGACAACAAGAACGAGCCGACGGCCCAGCATGACGACAAGCTGAGGGCCGAACAGCTTGAAGATGCGAACGTGGCCGCGACAGCTGCGCTGCCGACAACGCAGGCGAACGAGAAGCTCAGTTTCCGTGATTTGTGGGAGAACAAGCGTGTTTTAGGGTTCTGTCAGTTCATCTCGACCCGCTGATCCCTGCAAAGTTCTATTTGGCTAATGTGGTGTTGACAGGCTTGATGATCTACCTTTTACCCATCAATTTTGGCTACGAAGTTTCGACCATCGGAAAACTACTCGCCGTAACCCCCTTTGCTCAGCGTTTCGGCCACGAGATCAACGGAAAATGGCAGGTCGCCGCCCGAGACCAACAGATTCTCAATGCCGCGGGCACGATCGGAATCTTTGTCTCGGCATTTGCAACAGGTTTCATCAGCGACATCTTTGGCCGCAAAAAGACTATCGGCGTCGCTTGCTTGATTTGCTGCGGTGGCACGATTCTACAATACTTTGCTTCAAGCATCATGATGCTTTTCGGCGGTAAGGTCGTTGCCACTTTTGGATTCGGTCTTGGCCATTCACTGGGACCTGTCTTTGTTGCCGAGCTCGCACCGGTCAAGATGCGCGGTGTATGCCTTGTCCTGGTCAATACAATGATTACTGTTGGCCAATGGCTCAACTCGGCGACGGTACTGGCGAGCGACCATTATCACAACGATCTCTCTTGGCGAATCCCGTTGATTACGCAACTCATTCCTCCTGGACTACTTCTTTGCGGTTTGGCGTTCTTGCCCGAGTCTCCTAGTTGGCTTCTCATCAAGGGTCGTCGCGAGGAAGCTGCCAAATCATACAGAAGATTCAACGGGCCCAACTTTGACGTTGATGCTGCGTTGGCGGTCGCCACTGTTGCCATTGCTAAAGAGCAGGAGGCCAAAAAGGAACAGGAGTCAGCTCGCTGGGTTGACTGTTTTAAGGGAGTCAACGGCAGGCGCACAGCAATCATCGTGATGGTCTATCTCTCTCAGCAAGCCATTGGTGTGAACTTCGTTTCAGGCTACCTCACGTAAGGCAGTCTCTTCACAATCCCATATCGACTAGAACTGACAACTCATAGATACTATTTCCGATTAGCTGGAATCAACAACCCCCTTGCAATCGGCCAGGCAGCCTACGCAATTCAGTTCGTCGGCAACATGACCTCCTGGCCACTTGTGGATCGATACGGAAGACGACCATTGATCGTTGGCGGCGTTTTCACCATGACAGCACTTTTGCTTCTCATCGGCGGCATCAGCACCATCGGCAACCAAGCTTCACTGACAGCAACAGTCGCCTTCATGGTCATCTGGGGGTACTTGTACCAAGCGACTTTGGGTGCTGTCGCATATTCTGTCGGAGGAGAAACTGCCAGGTAAGTTACTCACACCTTGAAGTTACGTCTCGAGTCTTCGGGCTAGATTTTCCAAGCCGTTACTCGTATCCAAGTCGTCTTGGTAGTAGCACCGTTAGCACGTGGTGTTGCTCAGGGACACCGGCTTGTGGGCCATCAACCCTGACTCGCAGATAAGAAGAACAGGGGCATGCCTTGCTGACGAAATGACGAACAGTGTGCAATTGCGGCAAAAAACTTACAGCATCAACATCATGTGCTCGACCGCGGCATCCTGCTTAGTATTGCAGGTGATGCCCTACCTGCTGAACACAGACCAGGCCAACTTGGGCGGCAAGATTTGCTTCATTTTCTTCGGCCTGTCATTGCCCATGTGCGCATGGCTTTATCTCTACTTCCCCGAGATGAAGGGTCGCAACTACGCCGAGATTCAAGAAATGTTCAGCAATCGCGTGCCGGCCCGCAAGTTCAAGTCTTATGTTTGTGAGGTCAGCGCCGGGGGCCAGGAGGAGAAGAAACTGCAGGACGAAGCATGAAGGGGCAAGTGGTGGATACCAAGGATGCCATCTTCACGGATACCATAGGCTACAGCAATGAAAGACAGACCACGCTATCCTTGCTTTGTAAATGGTGTGAAGCGTTCGTAGAAAACCTGGAAGCCATAGGGCTATCGTTAAGAAGCTTAAATGAGGCACACAAACCGTTAATGAGCACACGATGCTCCGTGCAATCATTGGGTGGGCTGGTCTCCTTAGACTCGCCTTTGCGCATTTCGGTTGGCTCGCTGTCGAAACCCGGCCGAAATGACATGGGACTAATGCAGAGACGATGATTAGCGACGTTTAGGATAAAGCAAAATAGCGCAGTGGGCCGGGATCATGATCGGAGATTAGAGTGATCCTGACTGGGACTCCTGCTTGTTAGAGTTCTTTGCTTGAGTCCTTGACAATGTTGACATTCTTGTCAGTCTCCCAGGGCGCGTCCACATTTTTCTTTTAAATCTCCGCTCTCCACGATGTTCTCCAGATCAGCGTTCCTTTTGGGGGCAAAAACGTCTGGCACAGCCTCAGTTGACAGTTGTTGATCCGTCGATCGCGAACACTTCAACGTTACACTCATTTACAACCACACTCTTTTACCAATAACCATGTTGTCTCAGCGCCTCTTATGGCTTTGTGCCACTCTTTTGGCCTCGTGCTCTCAGCTTACGAGCGCCGAGTTGCCCGCCGACGCTATCGAACTTGATCTTGTCTTCCCTCGTGGCGATGGCAAGTATGCCGAGACCACCAACGGCTACCCCGTCCTCCTCAATGTTCAGAACCCCGATGTTGCGTACAAGTACGGCTACAACTTTGTCTGGGACATCTACTCGAGGAACAAGAACTCGTACATGCGCACCGCCGCTCACGGCATCATGGGCGCTTCCATCGGAAATGAGAGCACCTTTGGCAACGGCCCGCACCTCGAGGTTGGCAAGACCGGCCACCTCGCCGCCGGTGACTACACTTTCGCCTGGGTCTTTGGCATGGGAGCCCAATGCGAGTTCACTGAGCAACCCGACTACAGCGAGTTCAACCTGAACCCTCGCATCGCCAACGGTAGCTTTGACTTCACCGTTGAGACTAGCGGCAAAGAGCCATCTTTCACCACTTGCCCCAGCGCCATTGGTAGCATGAGCTACGCTTCCACGACGACATACAACTCTGAGGCAACCAGTGTCTGTGCCGTCACCGCGTCCGTCACCCACGATACCCAACCCTGCTCGGCCACCGTCAGCAACGACCAGGCTACCAGCGTGTACAGCGAGCTGGGATATGCTCGCGCAACTGGATCTTCCGGAGCCGCATCTCTCAACTCGAACTTGCCCTCGTCTCATTTCGCCCTCATTGGCGGCGTAGTCGCAGCGGTTGCGATTTTGGTGTAAGCGCGGTAGACGACCTCCGTCGCAAATGCAATTCACAGAGAAGCGCCAATGATGTTACGAAGAGCGGCAGCTGAATGCGACGGGCATTACGACCTGCCCGATTAGCAGCCCTATGAATACTTGGATTCCTTTCCTCCGTGGGGATGGGAGGCGGAGCAATGGTCGCGCATGCAGGCTGCACCAACGGTGCTTTATCAAAGCTCGCTGTGCCGCTCACGGCTGCCTTAGACTGGTCCCATCGTGCAGATGGCAAAGTCCTAGTTCCCATCCACGTTGCTACCCCTCGCGGTACAGCACAGCAACCAAAAATAAGCCATAGATCTGCAATGGGCGCAGTTCGGGACGGATCTGGCCCTTCGGGAGAGGCTTCGGGTGGTCAGGCTTGATGCGGGCGAGGGACTGGAGCTCCTCAAGAGAGACATGCACCCAACCACCAACATCTTCGTGCAAGGAGTGGACGGGTTGGTTCAGCCCCCAAAGGCCCAGATCGCTTCCGCGTTGGGTATTTCGCATCCTCAGCCATCGATGTCGGCCAATGATGAGGCATGTCGGCTGACGTTAGCATTCAAAAACCTTGAAAAATACTACGGCATTCGTCCCACTCTTCCCGAAGTTCCCATGTATTGTATGTGATATGCGGCATCGCAGTTGGACCGCACATGTACATGTAAGCACTGCAGGCTTCCGACTCATGTGGGAAGGCACGCTGCAATGTCCAGGCTTCAATGATCTGTCAAGCTTTCTCGGCGTCTTTGCCAGTACTTGAGGCTCCCCGATCCCGAGCCACCATGCAACTTTCCGTGTGTTTGCTTTTGTTTCCATATTCCTTTGTCTTCATGCACTGAGCCTTTCTGACAGCTGCGACCTCGATCGGGACCCGGCAAACGGCAAACATGTCGCACAGACAACACTCGCACAATGTGAGCACAAGCTCGGCTGACACGATTTACGTCGAGCAGCCAACAAGCCCTTTCATCCCTGGCTCCGACAAGAGACAAAGCCTGGGGTCGTACAAAGCGTACCAGTCAACATTTGTTTCTGTCGATGACGTCCCTCCCAGCGAGCCTGCTTTGAGCAGCAACGGAGAATCCAGACGCTCTGTCCCTTCTCGCTGGAGCAGGATCTCCGAGAAATCACACATCAAGTCCAAAACGTTCTCGCCATCTGGTTCTTGGACTTTTGAGATTGTCAGTCTTTGTGTAACTATCTTTGCCGCAGCCGCCATCATTGGTGTTCTTGCAGCATACGACGGGAAGCCACTGGCATCATGGCACTTCCAAATCACTATCAACGCCGTTATCGCCTTGTTGGCCACCGTTGCAACTGCAACCATGGCAGTGGTTCTCTCTAGCGGTATTTCTCAGTTGAAATGGATCCATTTCAAGAGACACCGTGAGCCGTTGTCTGACATGGAGGTTTTTGATGATGCCAGTCGCGGAACTTGGGGAGCTCTCATGATGCTCATTAAATTTAGAGGAGGGTGAGTAGGACACGACCGTCGATGACTCTGAGCATTTCGAACACTTTCAGCTGACCCCAAGCCCCCCATAGTCTTCTTGGATCTTTTGGTGCATTCATTGCCATCTTGACCCTTGCGTTCAGCCCCTTTGCCCAACAAATCGCCACGTTCCATGCGCGTACAACCAACTCTTCAGAGGGAGCAATCAACCTCCGGGCTGAGGAATACTTGATTGCTCTCAGTAGCCAAACTGCATCTGAAGGATTCATCCCGATCCTTCCTTTCAAGGCTGCTGTGTACAATGGTCTCTTCGCCGAGAACGGCCAGCCTTGGCTGAGTCTACCCGTCAACTGTCAGACGGGTAACTGCACTTGGGAGCCATTCGAGACCCTCGGTGTCTGCAATACATGCGTTGACTTATCCGAGTTTATGATCCGATCATGTGAGGATGGATCGACCCTTACAGGCGACATGACAGAGTGCGGCTGGTCAGTCCCAGTCGGTGCCCGACTCAAAACGCACGCCGATGTGTTCAGCATGACACCCATCTTCCCTCAAGGACTCGGGGACTTGTCTTACTCAACCATCATGAAGCTTGTTTTCATGGGTACTGAGAAACAAGGAGGCGTCGCTGGCGCCCTCGCACCCTGGGCTAGGCAATGTACCCTCCAAGCCTGTGTTCAGACTCTGAACTCCGAGATCGTCAACGGTGAGCTCAAAGAGACCATTGTCCACACCAGCACCAACGATTCCATCGCTACGGCAACTCAAGATACCCTTGAACCCATCTTCATTTCGGGCCAGAGTGACAAGGAGTCCTATCCAATCGATATGAAAGTCATGATGGGCGTACGTTCATGGTTCTCGGACCTATTTCGCAATGGGTCGGCCTCAAGAAATGAAGAGGTCATCAACAAGAACATCACGACTCCAGACAATGTCATTGTTAATCTTACCGTCGGTATCTCAAGCGGTGAGACGTTCTTTGACACCGACATTGTCCAGGCCTTTTACTGGAACTACTACAAATACCCAACTGGAATTGATATGCTTATGAACGATCTTGCGACCAGTGTAACCGTCAGTTTCAGGAGTTTCAACGGCACCAAAGTCACAGGCATAGCGCACACTGTTGAAAGCTACGTCCACGTTGAGTGGAGTTTCCTGGCCGTTCCGCTCCTCACTGTCTTGTTGACTACTCTGTTTTTGAGCGCCGCAATCTACCAGACGTACCGTCATCAGGCTAGTCTATGGAAGAGCAGTGTACTTGCCACCTTGATTCACGGTCTAGACGGCAATGCCAGGGAAAGACTGGAGGACCTTGGAGGCTTAAGAGAGCAGCAGAAAGAGGCTAAGTCTGTAAAGGTACACCTTGATGACGGTGACGCTGGGCTTCTGAGGCTATCCAAGTACGATGATATCTGAGTCTGCTTTTGGATGGTCACACGTTTTTGGTCTGGGAAGTGTTTTGGTTCTTGGGGACAATTTGATCGCCAAGCCTGTGTATTCACTCATACGCTCTTTACGACTTTAATGATAATGATAATGGCTGGAGAAGATGTGAGATCCGTTCTCACTTGTCTTGGACGAGATGAAAAATCGCTTTTGTTACTATGCTCTACTTTGTACAAGTGAAAAATCTATGCATTCCTTCTCATGTCTGTCCATCCCAAGCGTAGGCTGGTAAAATCTTTACAAGCTTAGACGTACTCAGCGCAGATGAGGTCACCTCCGATGTCCATAACCTCTCCAACAGTTGCGTTGGGCATGATATCGACCATCCAGAGGTTGTGGTTCAGGGTGGTTTCGTTGCCACCATCGCCGAAGTAGTCGGTCAGAGCAGCGCTGGGGTACTCCATGCCGCTCTGGGTAAGGTAGCTGGTGAGAGGGATGTTACGGCCTCCCATGTCAGTCAAGCGGGAGCTGTTGACCTGCTGCCACTCCCACCAGAGACGGTCCAGGTTGGTGTGGTGCAGGAAGAAGAGCGGCTCGCCAGGGCTGCCAACGACATCGAGCATCTGAGGAATTCAGGTCAGCTTTGATGATTCCAACATCGGTCGGAAAGGGGGTAACTAACGGTTCCACCAACTGCAGAGTGGCCTGCCGTGTGAGGGTTGACCTGGTAGCATTCGAAAGCCGCCGTGTAGTTCTCGGAAGCGAAGCACTCGTCAATGTACTGCTGCTGTCCGGTCTGGAAGCCGTTGGAGTTGAATGAGCGGGTCAAACAATCGCTGGCGTAATTGGAGGTGGAGTTGATGTGGAGAGTCAGGTTGACGAAGGGGCCATCGGTGACACATCCGCCGTCGCTATCGCCGCCGAAGCCGGTGTCGGGGTCAAAGACAACGGAGCTGTTGAGCGAGTCCATATCCAAGACCTCATTCCAGTACGGCTGGCCGCCTTCGTAGCCGCACTCGGATTGAAGGAGGTACTCGTGGACACGCATGAAGTAGCGGTGCCAAGGAAGGAAAGATCCCTAGAGATTAAGTATCAGCCGGGCTTTTCTCCGTTGCGTTAAACTCCATTGTGCATACAGTGTTGTGAATGATGTTGGACTGAGTGATGTGTGCCCAGTCAAGCTCATCCCAGCGGTTGATGGCGCCTTCGATGGAGGTCTTGGCTGCAGTAGACTGGAGGCAGAGCTCAGCATCGATGTAAGCCTGCTTCTCAGTATCGGTCATATTGTTCCTGTTTTTTTGCTTTAGCTTGATATCTCTTGGTCGACTTTAAAGGATCAAGATATTCTTACCATGCTTTTCTCTGAGACTTGCTTGTGCAAGTGGTGTTCCAGGATGCGGCAGCTGCCAAACCTGTGGTCGCGAGGAGCGAGACTAATGAACGAAGAGTGACAGTCATTGTGGCTGTTTTTGAAAGAATGGAGAAAATCGAAATGTAAAGACTGGAGTGCGATCCTCGGCTTTGGGCTGAGATGCTGAGTGGTGAGTAGAAAAAAGTTTCATCATCGCGGCAGTCACCTCGATTTATAACCTTTCTTCACTCACAAATATCACCAACTCTGTTCTCCATCTTCTCAAGCAGAGCCGCGATGTTGGACATGGGGATGTTGGTGTGCACTGCGCAATCAGCCAATGCGCCTCACTTGGCAGACCGCGTCACCCTTGCTTCGTTCGGACGAACCGTACATTTTACCCACTTCCCGTCCTGTTTCTCCTATTTTGCGGAGTGACCACCACAACAGCCATGTGGGATGTGCCATTGATGCTTAAAGCTGCCCCTGACTAAGAACCAGAATAGAACTGAGCTCCCCACAGAGATTCGTAACGGTCTCCCTTACTTTTGAATGAGCGGTGCGCAATCCTTGACCGTGGCATCGTGCTGTAAACTCTGGCGAAGACGATTACGTTGTCTCGGGTTGAGCGGCGCGGCGGCAGTCACATCGTGGGATTGCTCCCACGAGCTTGCTCTTAGACACATACTCAGCTCGGGGAAGATGTATCCAGTAGATACCCTGTCTCTCATGCACGGCAGTTGAGAGAACGTAGCTATCCACTCGCCGCGTCAGTCCGGCGCAGTAAACAAGCATGGTTTAGTTATCAGATCAACGTTTGTGGTGACATACGGAGTACAGTTGGTCACCTCCACAATTACCTTGGGCGAAAGACACAACAGCTGGCAGTGCTTCATCTTGCAAAGGTGGTGATCACTTTTGACATGCAGCTGGACCCTGAACAGCGAAAAAGATTGGATCAAGATTAAGCAGGTCAAAGACGATTTCTGGACCAATTACGGAGTTGTCATCTGATTTCCAATGAAGGGGGATTGCGACGAAAGACAAGCTTCGTAGTAGCATCCCCAGGTCTTGGCAGGTCGGTTTGCTGAACGCAACCGGAATGTCCCATCTCTCCGGATCAGATAGTGATCAGTCGCAGTCTACGAGTGCACTTAGACTAAGTCGACCACACCACATTTAGACGACGCGTCCTTGTCGATATGAAGAGGCGCATCGGGCTGAGTAGGCACTCCAGGAGTCTAGTGGCTGGGTCGAAACATGTGCCTACCTTAGCGAGTAGGGTCCAGACCCAACCCTGACATGCACGTCTGCTAGCTATTTTTCAACGTATATCCTCCTGCTCGAGATGAATACTGTTGGCCCGGGTCGCTTATTGATTCTCGTTTCTGCACGTCATGTGCATTCGTTCAATCGATTGTGGCTGTCTGGGGACTGAGTAAGTTTTCCTCAACGTGTCTTAGGGGATGCCCCTAATCAGGCACTCCACCACCTTAACACAACTACAACACGTAGGTTCTAGCCATCTCGACTTTGCCTTCCTTTTATATTTCATCCAGTGCTAAGAAAGAAGTTGACGAGGAAATATTGGTGCTTGACGATTTGGCAATCCTCGAATACGAAAACTACCCCTGCAGAGGGAATGCCGATCGGACTGCGCGTCAGGCCCACCGGCGTCCGGTGGGCGCATTGAGCCAAACACTATTAAATAAGTAGCCGTGGACTTTCTCGTCAAGTGGGAGGCATGCCAAGATGCTAAAACCTTTACTACGTATTTCCACACATGTGGGATACCCAACTGACGGGTCTTTCGGTTAACAAAAGCCTTTTGTGTTCTTGGCACCTTGGCAAATACTTGTCCATTCGCTTTCAAGTCTGACAAGTTGCGGCTAGCTAGGAGACTGCGGTTGGGCCGAAACTTGCGTTGAGTATCTTGTAGCTTCGGTTTCCGAGACTAACACCAGACTCCGACCAATCGATCCGACAAGGGCTCGCTACTCACTCAAATATGAAGGTCAGACACCAATTTTCTACAGCAAAGACTACATCGAGAGCGGCAAGTACGGCACGGGCACTCAGGCAAGACCACCATAATATTGACAACAAGAGTTCAACAAGCGACTTTCTCATTTTCAATCACTACTTTTTTTCGCGTTGATCTCTACGCGAGCGAAGTATCAACCTGAAAACGCTCGCCCAAGCATTTCGTCTCTCGACTATAAACGGTAATGTAAGAAAACAGTAGTCCTACTTGATCCCCGAAACAATATCCAAAGAGACAAATTTCATTACCCCAGTCACAGGCAAGCAGTTCAGGTACTCGAATGTTGCTTCTCCCCTCTTGAGCACCGAGACCTCGTGCCAGGTCCGAAACTTTCTTGATTCTCCCCAAGTCTTCGCGTGTTTGATGGCGCCGATGTAAATGGCTAGATGAGAGCGATGCTTTTTGGACCACTCTTCCAAAGAACTCAGGTCCGTGAAGAACCCAGCACCGCAAGTCTCCTTCTTGGTGTGGCCATCGGTGTTTCTGTTACCCAAGAATCGCAATCCCATGGCACCACCCTTTTCACGATTCTCCCACAGGTAGCCCAAGCCCGCTTTCAAGGTTGGTTCCAGCTCCGTCTCGTACGACTTTGCCTCTTCGGAACAACAATTTTCCCAAAACTGACCCGACCGGATATGGACCATGTTGTGGTAATTCGTTCCAGTCAAGTGCTGCCCTAGTCCATCAGGAACATCCTCTGGTCTTGTTATGTCAGCGAGCTCGTCTTTTTCGAAAAGATCATGAGCTGATGCCGGAACTCGATCCCTTGCCGCTCCCCAGTATGCTGACAGCTGATGCTCTTCCGTACCAGTGTCTGGAAGCCTAGCTAGGCCAGGGAGGTAGTCAAGTCCAGAGTAATTTGTTTCAAGCCGGGAGATAGGCGTCGTGAAGCTCTCCCTCCATAAACCAACCAGCATTCGATATTCTGGCGCGAGGTTGGCGTAAATAGACGTCAAGTCAAGTTTCTGCAAGCTCTTTTCTCCTTTGACAGGATCATCCCAATATAAAACCCAGATATGTGCGTTCGGGGCATCATCCCCCTCCAAATGATTGAAGCTCTCGGTTGACAGGGGCCTATCCTCCCTGTCTGTGCTGAGCCATGCTTCGATAGCATCGGTTGCCTGTTTGACTGCTGTTGAGTTATCAATGGCGCTGCGATGAGGTTGTACGCCGACGTATGCTGTGAAGACTTTCTGTACGTCTTTGCCGAGGGTAAGTTGCCATCGCGGAACTGGTGGCTGATGACCCTCTGGTCGCCGAAGAGGGTAGGTTCGCATGCCTGAGGGCATCTCCTTCGTTGTACAATCTCTTGACTGTTACGAATATTATCTGAGATGTACGCTTGAGTGAGAGAAAGGCACAACAAATCCAAGTGGCAGCCTGGTGCTACTTCGTGTATTGGGGATCAAGATTCCAGAACGCAGGTCGATCTCATGGCCACAGTCCACTGTGAGCAAGCTATTACTAACACTAGTTATCACTGGCGGGTGCCCGGAGCTATTTCTGGCCCCGACGGTTGGGACAAGTCCGCGGACTCGTGACGCCAGGAAGCGCCATCTTATGTAATCAATAAGACTTCTTCTAGTTGTAAGTATCATTTTGTTTAGTAGATGTCCTTTGAAAGAATAAATACAGATGCAACATGCACGGTATGATTGGTATCAGTGTTAGTCCTATTCATAGCAATTAGATGCTCGATACATTGAGCCGAGAGTGTAGCAACATGAACTCACGCAATTGAGGCGGAGCAAAGAAGGTATCTTAGTTGTCCTAGAAAGACTAAAGAGAGATATCAAATTCACTCGGCCCCCCATGAGGGGAGGTTTGCGACAAATGCTATTTGTTTTGAATACTTGTCGCATGCTGTTCGGAAGACATGTTAAGTCTGCAAATGTTACATGTACGGTTTGTAACACGATTGAACTGTAATTTTAACAGACAAAAGAAAGGCAGCGGCAACACGGCGGATGTCACTCGTTGGCTTGAAACCATTGTGTACACAAAGAAACATTGTACATATCAAAGCAATCTTCGACATGTCCTGAACAAAGACGTCAGGAGTTTTCTTATTCATGCCTGGGCTGCATAAGCACTTAAGGCGGTTGTGGTTATGGACCACTTCCGTCCTCCTGCAACAGTTATACTCACATACAAAAGACAAGGTAGCGATAACTACCTACGATTCCAAATTCTCATTGCGATAGCTCTACCTGATTCCTTCCTATTAGGGGAAAATCAAAGCCTTTACTCACAACAATCCGAAGCAGCGATGTCTTCTACAAGCGCCGAAGACTCCATCCAGGGGCCCACTCGTTCAAGGCCGATACTGAGGCTTGATATTGCTTCCGCTTTGAGGTCGGAAGACGCGAGAACGCCGATTCTAATCGGAGAATATCAAATTCCTATCATGTCTCTGGAATCGGCAAAAAGTGAAGTATCAAATCACCCTCTTCCAGACATCGTAGAACAGCGTGAGAATTCAAGAGACAGACTTCACCGCTCTGGTGATGCAGGGACTCACGACTATCTCCATTGGGCTTTAGAACATAATGGCAAGCAGCCATGCAACTCATGGGATAGTTGCAGCTGTGTGGGCGGCAGTTATGAAACTGACTCGGATGAATCTGAGCCAATGACGGAAGGCGAACTCGCCCAGAGACGAATCAGACTCCAGGAGACGTACAGAGACTTAGAAGCCTTGACGCCGAGTCCGGTGAGCTCTCAGCTGCATGCTGGAGATACGAATTATGAAGCCACAGAGGCCATAGACACGGACCTTTCCGATTTCCTATTCGTGGAAAATGGCCTCCACAGGGAAGATATCGCAGTCGAAAACCAGAACATGAGCCAAACATCGGAAGATGCAGTCGGTGCAGTAGAACTCTTGGACGATCTGCAATCCGATCTGGGCAACGCCACATCTATTATAGAAGACGGCCAAGAAAGTATAAAGAACGGTGGGACTAACAAGACAGTCGAAGAACCAGAGGTTGGTCGTCGCACAAGATTCCACGAACACTTGAATTCACTCGATGCACCAGGATTCCGTTTGAGTTTGGCCGGCCTTGCTCCCCTTCAACAGTCTGCCCCAAGGGAAGACTCTAACAGTGCTATCGAGACGACTATTTCTGACAATGATTCTGAGCACGCTTCCACCGCTTCGCGGCACAGGGGAATATTCATTCCAACATGGCTATGGTGCGTCTTATGGATCGCTCTCATTGGCTTCTTCATAGGCTTCTTCATCATGATGAGCTTATTCATTGCGTTTAGACATGAGGGCATGCTTCACGTAGGAAAGGTTTCGCCATGCAGTACCCCTCAGCCATGTGTGTGTGATATTTCGCCTTCACCATTTAATAGTGCACATGGCCTGGATGAAAGAAACTAGACTGATAAGAGATTTGGATGAGGAATGATACAGGAGTCTGAGAATCTGGGAGCTATGTCTCGGTCGATGCGTTGTACAGAGACTACATGATTCTATGGATAGACTGGTAGGCTTCAACGTCATTCACAAGTCTCGAAATTTTATTATGAGAATGAAGTCGTGGGGGAAGACATTTTAGTAGTTCTTAGGGGTGCCCTCCCTCTGGATTTTCGCTACTGTTGCTTTGGTAAGATCTCTTGAACATCTTCGAATCCACGCGAATCGAGCCACCTTGTATAAGCACAACTTTTCTTATCTTGGCATTAGCCTCGTGCCCGTATTATGTTCAAATGTCGAACATCAATGATCTAGATCAGCACCTCTGTCGTTAAAGACGCACAGGTTAAGTGCAACCACAACACAAACCAACAGTGTTCGTCTTTTCGGCTGAGAGCTTCTGACCTATCAGATTCCAAGCTTTAAAGAAAGGTTGCATGATTAAGCTCAAGCCTCCGGCTGTCGGTTTCTGAAATAATCTGCAAATTCAGACGAAACATGGTTCGAGAACGTTCATCAGCGTTTCATGCCGTTTCATGGCATATACAGCCCGTAATTGAAGACGTCGTAATCATTTGAAGACAGAATGGTACACAAAACTTGGCATAGGTTCGCCGCAACATTCAAAAGCCACTGCATCCCGTAAGGCTACTATCCAAGACCCTCGCGCCTTCATTCAGAATACCCTCCAACATTTTGCCAGCACTATCAACGAATTGTTATGCTGCCCGTAAGATTTCGCAAATTCCCCACATCTCAGTCAAATGGTTGGGAATTGTTGCTGATACAATGAAGGGTTTACTTCTGAGCTTCGCTGGCCTTGCGAGTGCCTGCGGGCTTTCCCGGCGTGATTCTATCGGTTCCTTCTCGCATCCAGGGTATGTTGGAGCAAGTCTTGCAGAGGTGGTCCATCTGACCTATATCCAGAATCGTAGGCAGAGCCAGAGGAGGCGATCCATTGCAGAGTCTCCGAATTCTCAATCCCTATCCAGGCATCTTTGCCTATTATGATGGGCGTACCGGAGAAAGGTTCGCCTCCGATCAGCCCAATTGGCTTGATGACGGTGCATTCACGCTGGGAGTATCAACATATTCCATCATCGATGGCAACGAAGCTATCATATACGACTCTCACATCACTCCTGACCATGCAGGTGCTGTGATGCGACATGTCCAAAGTCAAGGTGTCACCAAGATGTCAGTGGTGATCAGCCACTTTCACAATGATCACATCGCTGGCACTGAAGTTTTCTCCAAGGGGGGAGCTACGATTGTCGGACACGAAATTACGGCTCGAACAGTGAAGAGAAGGACTCAGGATCTTGCTGCTGACAGCCCAGCCATCGTTGCTGTGCCCCCTACCGAGCTCTACACTGGGAAGAAAGAGATGAAGGTTGGCAACCTGTCTGTTGAACTGCACAATTTTCAGGTTCACACACCTGATGGAACGATTCTTTACATTCCTTCGAAGCAACTGATCTTCGCTGGTGATACTGTAGAGGATACAGCAACCTTCATCGCTGATGCCAAGAGCTTGCCAACTCACCAGACAGAGCTTCAACGAATGGCGACTTTCTCCATCTCAAAGATCCTGCCTGCGCATGGAGAACCAAACAGAATTGCCGCAGGTGGCTACAACTCAACTTTCATCAACGCAACGCTTCGTTACATTGCTGCCATGACAGAAGATGTGCCGGAGCCAGTAGCTTGGAATCAACCTCTGTCCCAGGTTGTTGATGCAGATGTTAAGAGCGGGGACTTGATATACTTTGCGCAGTACGAGGAAGTGCATCAGAGTAACGCAGATACCATTCGGAGAAGCCGTGGAAGGGGCAATAATAATTGATGCCACTTGGTATGGAACAATGAAAAGCATTGTGATATTCGAAGGTCGGGAGCTACAAACAAATGAGACTGCCTAGGTGAGAACAAAGGGATCAAATTTGGTATCAATGTCCTGGAAGTGTTGAATCAAGAGCAAGCCTGCCTACTCGGGCAACAATACAATTACCTAGTGACGTTCTAGCGGACAGTTCCTCTCTCGAGGATTGAGAGAAGCATAATGCTGGATCCAATGGTATTGATTGCGGTCCTGGCAGCAATCCCCAGGACAGTTGCTCTTATGCAGATGGAACTGAGTCCTAATTGGCGTGTACCATTGTAGATCTCTATCATCTGCAATCTTTCGGCACGTCTCATTATTTGCTCTGGGACCATGTTCGCAGCTCAATTAGTAAATGATGAGGCGTTTTCATACCAAGGAGAATTAAACACTGTACTTGGAACAATCAAAATTCCACGGCCTTATATTCACAAAAGTAGAGACTCGATCTCATTGAGTGTCAATTGCAGAATAAATGTACAACATGAATAGGCTTGGTCAATCTGCGGCCTTCACGTTGGTTTCCCCCACTCTTGAAGATGGAAAAGTTCCAATAACCTTGCGAATCCGATGCATCACCCCTCATTCTGTCATGTATCAATCTTAATCTCCGGCACCTCGACTCTATCAAGGCGGACGGTGAGATAACGCCCACTTATGCAGCTACATGGAAATGGAACCAATTACAGCACCACACTGCGTGATAGACAATGTCTCACCAAGGTACGTCAGCTATTTCTTACAAGGTGTCTGGTCTATCTCACCACCTATAGAATAGCAATCTCTCAGCACAGCCGCATTATCATTTTTATCGCGGAACGGAACTTTAATCCCTGGCGGAACGTGCGACCTGTAATGTTCCGCAAGACGAATGTGTGACGTCGACGGTGAAAGCGAGGGGTAAATTGGCGCTACCACCAACAAAACAAGAAGTATCCCAACGGCGCCATCCAAGGGAGCTGCCTATTCGTACGGACCAGTACAAAAGGCCAGTGAGTTGTACCATTCTATTTGGCATTGGCTCAGAATTCGTACTGCCGGGGACCTAAGGAGACTTTCTGACTCGGTCTCTTGTCTTCAATCAGCCGAATAGAACCGAGACCGAGAACCCCGAAACCAACAACCGGCCCCATTCACCATGCCGTCAACTCGCAATACCGCCTCCGATGTCCCGGACATGAATCTCTACAAGCTCAACCGGGTTCACCGCACGCTTGACAAATTAAAGGAGAAGCAGGAATGGGAGGCAGAAGACACAAAGTCGTTTGACTGCATGCACTACCTGGGCGACGAGGCGATTAAAAATGCTGCCAAGGAATTGGGTCTACAAGCCGCTGAGCGGGTGCTCGATATCGGATCCGGGTTCGGCGGCACGGGCAGATACCTCTACCGACACTTCGATTCTACAACAGCGGGCATTGAGCTGCAAAAGGAGATTCACGACATTGCTCAGACCATAAACGAAAAATCGGGTGCTGGGGCAAATGCGACATCCACTAACGGCAACTTCCTCGAACTTGACCCAGCTAAAATGGGCGCGCCGTTTGACCACATCGTCTCATTCCTGTGCATCCTGCACATCCCGGAGCGGGAAGCCCTGTTCAAGAAAGCACACAGTGTCCTCAAGCCAGGAGGCAACATGTACATTGAAGACTTCTTCGCCCGCACAACTCTGGATGCCAAGACCCTCGAAGTCTTGAGAAGCTCGGTTTCCTGTCCAGACTTGCCTGACAAAGAGCATTATATCGCAGAGCTCGAGAAGGCTGGATTTGAAGTCACTGGCTGGGTTGATATGTCGACTGTCTGGTCCGACTTTGTGCATGAGCGTGCGGAAGCCTACAAGAAAGATCCATCGGTGGATGCTGATCTCACGGCATTCTATGATGCTGTAGATGAAGTTTTCTCTGGAGGTCAGGTTGGAGGCACACGAATTACATGTCAAAGAAAGTAAAAGCTTCGATTGCTTGTTTATCTTTTCTAACTTGTGTTGAAAGCTTGTTAGTCAAGATCCTGCACTGAGAGAGGGAATTGTTACGGCTAGGACACAATCATGTGGACTCTGTCTTCGTGATGTGGGCGTTGTTTTCTGACAGATGCATACAGTCTGGCATCTCATCATGCTCTAGAACTAGATTCTGAAACATAGCCACGGAGAATTTGCTTACAATGGTCAAAAGTGCGGTAGTTTTCTCGCGATAATCCATGCTGCAATTAAGCCTAGGTTTCTCCGTTGGGCACCATTCCTTACACCTTGGGTCATGATAGATAATCCGGTATTCCGAAAGTGTGCACACATTGGCGCAAGAATTAGCTGGGCCTTCGGCGCCGGGAAATATTTACGTGCCACCCAGTCGCGATCCACGCCCCCCGCGGGCAATCTTGGTAAATAAGACCCGAGCTTCCTGTTAGCCCAAGTCAAGAGCTTCTCGACTCTCTTCCTATGTGAATCTTGCTGCGAAGTATCCCTAGAGCGTCGGCGCAATGTTCAGAATAACTTTAAACTTTACCCAGACGTAACAGGCTACTCCCCTCTCCTTTGAACACTCGGTACTCGTAGACACTGTACGCAACATGGGATGACTGGCGAGAACCTCGTGGCTCGGCCAGGGACACTGACACGGCTGCTGTGGGATTTCTTAATAAGGGGCACTCGCACTGCTCGGCATCCAGACACCACTCACACACGCAGCACACACCCACCCACCTTTTGACACTTTGCATTCCCCGGAGCTATCCAGGGAGTAGAGTTTGGGTAGTGGTCTCAACTACACGAATCAGGCAAGTTTCCGCACGGGGGACAATGCCCTAAAATGGCAAAAAGAGAGTACACCGCCAATGACTGTACAGTTTTTTCGTCTAGCAGCGGCGTAGAACCGATAGCGAGCTCGCTCTTTTTTTTTTTTCTTCTTCTATCGGCTAGTTTGCGTTTGGGCCACCTCTTTCCGGGGACTTAAGGCGGAAACAACAAGGAAACATAGAGCCTCGCAGGAATGCAAAACGTAGTGAAGCTTTGGACACACGTCCCATCCCAGTGAATTTTCGGTATCGGTCCGAGTTTTCGTAAACCGTACCATACTATACGAATTTCTGTAAATGCACTTGCTATGCGTAGAGTTCGCCTCTGTAGTGATCAGCGTCTGTGTCATGTCAGCTATTAGTGATTACTGAGGAAGGTGATCCTTTACATCGTCCGCCCCTCTTGATGGGAACTTGGCACTACCCGCCCCTCGGTTGGACAGGGCGGATTTTTGATGGAGATCAGTGATCTGCGCCTAGTGAGACAGGGATTCAAGTTTGGGACTTTGGAACCTCGTCTACGGTCGGAGTGCTCCGCCGTGCGTGCCATGGCCGACGGCAAGAAGCGTTCGGTGATGATATGGACGACAGGTGAAGTCTAAGATGGGATTTGTGAGGTTCCACATCACAACTGCCGTTTCATCAATTTGCTTATGAAGAGAGTAATCAAAATATATGAGCAGGTATAGTGTAGGCCAGATGTTTCAACACAACTCTACGATTCAGATATCAAATCAGGTACGAAAATTGATACGACAGTCTCAATCTGGCACCCAGACAAGCAGGCTTAAGCATCTAAATGGCCCTCAACGTTCCTTCATGTTGCACAAGAGGCGTAGAGCTCGCTAAGCATACACGCTCACTGACTCAGACTCGCATGATGCGCAACTTGACAGGCCGATAGTGCGGCTGTAGGTGTCGATGGCGCAATGCAGACTGGGAAGCAGACTGCAAATCAGAGCTTCCTTCTATCCCAAGCTAGCAATAGCTTGTATACCCGTATAGCCTATTGCTCTGCCGCCTGGCGGTAAGAAACAGGCACATGAGCTGCTGTGAATGCAGAAGTGTGGCGGGCATCCTCTCCATTTACTGATTACATGCGTGGCGGACGGGGATTGGGCGGAAAAGGGAATAGTGCTCGTAAGACTTGGCCCTGCAGTTGATACACTGACATTCATGTTTTCTTACGGATAGGTGAAGATGCCGAGAAAAGAAAGGAGTCGAAGGATTGATTGGCCTGGCGGTGATAACGGCCATTGAGGAACCATAAGCAGTCAGTCAGTCTACCACGGCAGCGTAGGGCGTAAGGGTCCCATTAGTCATTATGTGCCTGCCGCGCCCTTTCCAGAAGAAGGTTGTTACTATTACAGTGTGGCATAAAAACAATATGAGTTGCGGAGGACGAATTCCGCTGTTCGGCTGTGCGTGTGCGTGTGTGTGTGACCTTGCGTTGGCAAGGTGTTAGAGAAATGCTAGAGCCTAGAGGGGACTGGTTCGCCCCAGGCTTGTACAGTAGAGGCACGGGTCCCATCAGAGTTACAGAGTTGTTCGCTTTCGCAAAAAAGGATCCCTGATTGGGCCCCATATTGTGGGATGCCGATATTGAAGGGGATGGGATTCTCGGATTTGTACGACATTACGAAGTCTCGGCTACTATGGGGGACCCTCCTTGCGGCCGAGGAACTTCAGGAGGCCGGCACGCCGGGCAATCCGGACTTTCATTCCTCCACATTTGGTTGCTTTCTGCCTCCGTGTTTCCTTTCATGACTGACCATGGATGTGTAATCCATGGTATGAATGGCGTCATTTGAGTCAAGCTCTGCATGTCAGCTGTAATATTTGGGCGAATGTCTCCGTACAGATACCTACGCCCTACACTTATCTCGGTATGCACGGCTCACTCAGGTCTCAGGAACGCAAATTCAAGCTACAGCCACAGATGTTGTAGTTTATTGTCTGACAGGACGTCCACGAGCACACGGGTCCCGAGTACCGAACGCTCGTTGGCTGCATTGAATAGAGGCATTGCGCAGCGCGCACGCTCTATCACTTAGTTGCATGAGTAATGGCGGGTGCGTATGGGTATATCGGGCTGACCGTCCGCAGTAGATATTAGAGTTGCACCAGATTGGGATTGAGTCACAGAAATAGACAGGAGTACGGATAACGGGGGACCAATATGGTTCAGCTGGACGAAGTTGCACTGGGCTGCATAGAGTTTTGAATGCGAACACCGAGCCAGGTACAGTAGGTGTCGGTATCGTGAGGCGGCGCCGAGAAGGTACGGAAAGGCTAATGCGGTAACCTGTCAAGATACAGTTCATGACTGTGCGGAACCGAGTATGAAGTTTGAGGGCTAATAAGTAATCATTGGGACGGACATTCGGGCAGCGGAAGCAAATTAATGTTTTGAGAGAGGGGCCAACAAGACAAGCAAAGGGGACTACGGATACAGACAGAGTACGGGAGCATGTTGGACAGATTGAAAAAAATGCTTGCGTGCACAGAATATTAATGTGGTTTTGCGTGGTGGTGGATAGTGGAAATAGTTTCTTCATTCGGTAAGAATGTCAACAAGCATTGCAAGCATTGTGTGTTAGTTTCCTGCGAGTTGGTTGGGCGTTTGCGCCGCTGGTGCGCCTGGGAGTGCGTGTTCAGTGCGACGCCAAGAAGGGGGCAGCAAGTATCAGTTGCTTTTGCCCATGTTGTGTGTGTTCGGCTCAGGAATCCACGGCGAACGGGGGGAGACCAGGATGGCATTAAAATCAGACGGTACGGATAGAGAAAGGCCCAAAAGTCAAATTACGCTCTACTGTGATGAGATAGCAGTAGAAAGGAAAAGTACGGCGACGATTCCGCCGTATAGATCTGTACGGTATGGCAGCCGGCAGCGCATGGTTTGGTCATGGTGCGTGCATGCATTTCCGGAAAAGGGGGGGGTTCAAATTGTAAAGGGATCCACGGACAAGATGCCACGCGGGCCGCGGACATGGCGAGCGAGCAGTTTCGAGTGGGATAAATCATAGAAAAGGCATGTTTTGAGTTGGGCTACGCGGAATCATGGTCCGTCTTGGAATAGCGGCATCATCTGAGAATTTCGAATCCGCAACTCTCAACTGAACTGCGACATGGATGAGTGAGTGGATGACGGATGTCGGATGTGTGCCACCGCCCAGTGCGTGCGCTGTACGGAGTACGAATACTTCGTAGCATGATAACATTAGTACCTAAAGGCGAGGTGAAGACAGGCCGAGAGTGAAAACGTGTACGGAACACTCCCGCCGTAATAGTGTACACGGATCTCGGGAACTACCAAGAGGAATAAGGTAAGCTGTAAGTGGGCGGGAAACAAGGTGCAAGCAAGCCAATGTTCGTCGGCCCTGATCACGATGCCGATCGACCTGACGTCTCCCGGACTGTACAGGCTGATCCAATGTCCTGGTGAAAGTGCAAATACGCCAGGGAAAGGAATAGTTTGGCAGGGGGTCCGTGATGAGTCGCGTGGGACGCCGGGCGAAAATTACCAAAAATGCTCAATGGTGAACCAATCAAATACGCTATTATGAACTGGATGACGGCGCAATATACCCGTGCCCTGCCTCGCGAGTGGTGCCAAGTCACGGGTCCAGTTAGGCTGTAGAGTACGCGGAGAAACTGACGAGTGAGGGTCTGGTTGAGTCTGATTTACGTTCTGTCAGACCGGTGGGAGAGCCATGCCCAGACTTTGCCATGCAATCTTTTTGTCCAATGTGTTTGAGAAAAGAGTCAGAAGAAGACAAGTAAGGTACCTGCGTATCGATCCGAGGCTTCGGCTGCCTCGTAGGACCGGTAAGGTGAAGGGCGGCGCCGCGGCGGTGACTGACGTTGTCACACTTTGTGTGATGAGGTGAGGTTAAGTGAGGTGAGATGAGATAAGGAGGTGAGCAGTGTGTGAGTGAGTGACTAGGGTGGTTACTCATAGCGGCATGGCATATTGTAGCATGGCAAGGCAAGGGTACGATTACCTAGTTGATGGTGGTCAATGGTAAGCTGGTAAAGTACGGAGCACGGAGGACGGATACACTTCATAATCATGGGAGCATGGCGGCCATGGGCGCGGGGCGCAGGGTGATACGGGGATTTGGTGCAATCCAGATACCGTGCGGATTGCTCCTGTCTCCCTGGAGCCCATGGAACCCATGGAGTCTCGTACCTAGTGTTCAGTGAGAGGGCGAGCAGCAGGTTCGCTTTCCCCCCTCTTTAAGGGATCAATGGTGTGGTGGTGGTGGTGGGTCCCCGGGTGTATGAGAGGGGAGAGCGAGAGGCTAGGGCCACGGGGATGATGGATCGATGGCAATCTTGGTGTCTTTGAAAGTTTTTCTGCCTCGCCCTCACGAGAGCGAGGAGATGAACGGGGCCGGAGATAATCATTGAGTGACTCGGCAGTCGGGGGTGGAACATGGAAGTGTGAGCCCGACGGCGTTTGAGAGCGGCGAATTGGCGTGTTTTGGCGGCGCTCGCTGAGGAGTTCCCCAATGCGACGAGATACCCAATGGTGAGGACATGTTCGGCTAATCGGATACGTCCAATATTGCACACAGCGAGTCGAAGCTCACGGTCCAACACTTTTTGAGATGGGATGGGATGAGATGGTGCTCGATGGGAGTTCAATGAATGACTGTGTGGATTTCTTTGGAGATATTTGGAGAGGCGGGCTTGGACTGAGTGGGCGTGGCGCCGAGCTGGAGGAGAGAGCTTGGGTACGGATTCAGCCTACAGTGCCACGAGTGTAATAGGAACACTGTAGCTAAGGCTATGGGCGTACGAATACTTCGTATGGTACGGAGTATAATAACGGATACGCGGTCGAGGGGATTGGCACGCCTTACCGTCCGTACTTCGTACCCTAATGAGTGAGCGGGAGCCTGTGAAGTAAGTACTCCGTACCTCTGGAGCTTCTGAGACGGGGGTACCCACACTTCGGAACGCTACGTCCATTTCTGAGTAGGGTTTCCGATGAGTGGTGGGCAGTGGCGGATGGCTCCATTGCGTGGGATAATAGTCAGAGTGCGAGACCAGGAGAGAGTGTTTGAGAGAAAGACAGAACATGGAGTGAAAGTGAGCATCAGAGTGAGAGAGAAAGATGCGCGGACTTAAGATACGCGGTCAGCCAGTGTGTAAGGTATCCTTGGGTCCGTCCCTAGAGAAGTCTACGTACCCCGGTACCTTGCCGTGTCAGCAACTCAAAGATGAAAAGGGTTAATACCTACTAAAGTAGCAGGTACGTATCTAATGCTCCAAAAGGCTTGGCCGTATGGCTGTCCAATCCCAGCCGGGTCCGAGAGAGAGAGAGAGAGAGAGAGAGAGCAATGTCTCTCTTTCCGTAAAGGCGAGCGAGCTGTGGAGGAGCAGGGGGAAAAAAAGATAGACAATAAATCGATTTGCTGTATCCGTAGGAGGTACGAATACCCGTACGGCGTTGGCGCTGATAAACCAAAAGCCCCCAGAGACAGCTTGCATGTGCTTGACACACACACACACACACACAACCCAACACACACACTCTCTCTGATTATCTCATCATGCACACTCCAGCCCAGTCAGACGTACTCCAGCTGTCTCTAGTCTAGCTTGGTCTGGTACAAGTAGCCACCAAATGAGCATTCTGCCTACGGATACGTCCGCACTCAGCACTGTAGGCCCTGGTCTTACCTTTTTTTCTTCTTAAAAGTATTCATCATTCTTCTCGGCCCATCCTCATTCCACATGTCTTGCTGCACACTTCTACTTAGACACCGACACCCATCTCCCTCCCCCCCCCCCCCCCCCTTCCGAGTATCCAATCGTAGGAATAACTGGACGTCTCGCTTCTTGTACTCCGTAGTAGGATCATTCTTTAGTTGGCGTGGGCTCTGACTGTTTGCCAAATATCTCAAGGGATCAGTAGAATAGCAAGCATATCAGGTACGTACTTGGCGATGAGCGGTTCCATTCCAATTGCTTTACCTTGCCTTACCGGGTATCTACCTAGTAAAGTTGGTTCTTTCTTTACCTCACCTTGTCCGTACCTGCTTCACGTTACTCCCCGGTCTGGTTGGTCCTTCCTCACCTTGTCTATGATGGCATGGTAAGAGGAAGCAATGGGCGGCACAGGCGCACCTGCCATTCTAACTTAGCTGGCGGTTGTTATGTAGTAGTAGTGCCATTCATTGGCAGGCCCAACAGCACTTGCTCTTTCCCGAAACAATGAACTAATTTCCCTTCTTCTTTTCTTTCCACTCCTCGCCCTTTCCATACCTTCCCATACCTTTTACCTTACCTTAACCCATTTACCCAACATATTCGCCCCTCATCCATCATTCATCACCGGTCATCGTTGGCCATCTTCATCTTCCCAGTCACTCACCGTTTGCACCCTCCTTCTTATCCTTTGTTGTTTGTCATCCTTCTACCGTCTTCTTACCGACCACGCGCCCCCATTTCATCTTTTTTTTTTTTCGCCTTTCACACCCACCTCTTCTTCACCTTCCCACACCCCCCGGTCCAAACAACTTCACTCTCCAAGTGGCAAGTACTGGCGCCCTTGACAGCTTCCAGTTCTATTTTCGACCACCACCATACGGATAGACGAGGGGTCCCGCATCTTTGCATCTGGGATCTGGATCTAATTCATTTTCACTCTATGTCTGCCTGGCACAATATCCTAACCGGGACCGAGCAGGTAATCCGTACGAACTACAAGCAATCCCAATAGGCAGACGTCGTTTAGTTGCCACCTACACAACTCCACCCACGACCACACGTCTCACTACCACCGCCGCGCCTGCCTACGCCGCCTACCAACCCGAGAGTTCCTTTCGTCTGGGCCGTCCTTGGGTACTTTGTTCCTGACGACTACACATCGAGGTCTCATCATTTTTTCTTTTCTTTGCTTCTCATCGACTATTCATCTCGCAATCCCCTTTGTCTAGGAGACATCGAGGCTTATCGCTAGGACCCCTTGCGTACCGCCTTACGCATCGCGTTCGTTCTGCCTTTGTCAAGGACATCTAGTCAAGAGTCACATCTCGACTAATTGACTAATCGTCGATATTGTCCGTCCCTCTCTTTGCGGTCTACGAATCTCGCAGTAAACTGCCGAGTATCGAGCAGACTACTTGACTTTGGTCATTGAGTGAATAATACTTCATTCTGTCCTAATCACCCTGAGGTACAGTCATTACCGACAGATCCCTCACTTCAGTTACCCCGTTGAGCCGCAATGTTGAGATATCCTGGACTGCAGTATCTGATGCCGCGTTTGAAATAGGTTCTTTCAGTGGCTGAGTCTTGGGCATGGGTTGTCCAAACTGAGTCAGTCAACTTACTATCAGCAGAGTCTTTGAGTACAACCTCTGCCGGGTGAACAAGCCAGACTCTCTTCCTCGTAAAATAGACCCAGCTTCGTCGCCATGACGAGCATCTCATCTTCTACTGCGACCATGTCGCAAAATGGTCAACCAGATCTAGACCAGGATCGCAAACGCTGGTTTGCAGAGTTTGAAGCGCTTAAAGCCCGCTTCGAGGCTGAAAAGGAGAACGTAAACGCCAAGTTCACCCAACAGCAACGTGACGCATGCCACGATCTCGACGACGAGGCCCGCTTCGCCGACACGTTAAATCTGCCCCAGAAAGCTCGCGAGCTTCTCCAAAAGTACCAGCACGAAATACGATCCCATCGATATGCCGCCTGCCAACAACGGCGTGATGCCGAGGAAAAGGACCGCGCAAGACGCGAAACGGACGCTCTTCGAGAGCATCACATAGGCTTCCCCGTCCCCGGCAACTACCCTGTGCGCAACGCCGGATACGCCCCGAACGCTGGCATGCTGGGACGTACGCCATCAACAAATCCGTCGGCTCAGATTGGTGGCGCACGCGTTGGTCCAGTTGGGCGCGGCTCGCCCTCGATCATGCCCCTGAGCACACCTCCCCAGCAGCCACGTCAGCCTTTGCCACAAGGTCCAATGGTGCCAAATCAGCCCGTTCAGCAGCGGCCAGCAAATGGAATGCCTGGGCAAGGTAGCTCAGCTCCGATGCCGTCTCAACTAGACCATCAAATTCGTCAGTCACAGCAGGTTAATCAGGGCCACCCAAATCAAGGACAGGCCTGGATTCACCATAATCAGGCTGGCCCGCAGCAGAGCTCGCCTCGCACTTCAGCCTTGTATCACTCGAATCGACAGGCGAACAATCCCGCGGCAAATGGGGCCCCTAGAGTGCTTCCTTCGCAACCTCATGTTCCTACGTTAGGAAGCAATCATTACGGCCCTCCAAGAGCCGGATCTGGACAGCCTGTCAATGGTTCTCAGCCTAACCTAGCCGATCGTAGCAACCGGGGACCTCTGCCGCCCATGAATGCTGGACCGATGGGCTCCCGTATGGACAGACTACATGCGGGCGATGCGAGAAACTTTGCGCAAGGCGCCATGTTACGAGCGGAAGATGGGTTGAGACAGTCTGCAGACTCCCACCCTGACCGCCTCAAGATGGCAAAGAGGAAGTCTGATGCTAGCGACATGTCATCTAGAGATGCGGATCTGAAGCGCGCGAGAACTGATACGCCACAGTCGATAGCCCCCAGGACGATCACATTCGCCGAAGTCTATCAGAACGGGAAAGCGGAGTACAAACACAATATCGTCAAATTCGAGGACGTCTTCTACATTTTGCGATGCGACGAGCACGGTGTGCATTTCAAGCAAAACGCACTGGCAGCCGCAGCCAAGCATCTCCACGGAGCTTCGCATGGTCACCAGAAGAAGGAGCACAAGTTAGCGGTTGAAACCATTGGATTTCACGTCGTGGACTGCACAGAGGAGCTCGCTGCAATAAACAATGAATGCGTCCGCCTTGCTTTCGAAAATGGTTACAAGCCCCTAAACCAGCTGCACGGCCCGAAATCCGGCGGCAAACGACAGTCGGCCGCTCACACGATGGCTCCCGTCAGACACCCGTCAGTCTCTGATTCATCATTCCAGGCGCCCCCTAACAGCGCCGGATCTTACCAAACGAAGTTGGACGCCAGGCCACTGGAGGAGAAACAGCAACGCGGTGTGGATCATATCATGAACCCAGTCCCAGGTGACATTTACCACGCAAAATGGCCAAGGAGCAACAAGCTCTACATCGTTATGATTCTGGGCTGGACATCTTTGAAGATGTGCGGATGGGATGGCTGGCTCAGTGACACGCAGCTTTGCGACAAGAAGATCCGACCTACATGCTATACATATAATGACGAAGGCATCGGTGGTTGGGCGCCTGGTTACGGAGATGGCGAGCCGCGTGAGTTGGACAGGGACGTTCCCGTTTTGTGGTTTGAAAAGAACGGAAACACTCGGCTTGGTTGGCTAGGCGTGAAGTTCATTCTGAAGCCTTTGCTACTTGACGACCCAGACCGATCTGCTGATCCTTTGGACCCGGCCAACAACGCGAGAAAGAAGTATGCTGAGATCCGTGGATACGACTCGTTCGAGGCCATGCTGGCCCATGTGCAGGCAAGGCAATCACCGACAGGAGCTGAAGTGGAGTCGACGACGGTGACGGCGACGACTGCGACGATTCCCGCGAAGCTGCCGTCGTTTGCTTCGGCATCGGACTCGGATCCCGTACCAGATGTTGATATGTACGACTTTGGCGACAATCCTCCTCCAGCTGACGACTCAGACGACGAAGACTACGTAGAGCCTAAGCGCAGAAATGGCCAAGATTCAGATGACGACATGGCGGATATCGAGGAAGGCCCAACAACACCTCAGCAGCCTCCCCGGCGCAGCACTCAAGAGGTGCGCCCTACGTCGCGGCTGAGCGAGAGTAGTTGGATGACGGGGAGATCTGGAGCCGCTGCTGGCACCCGTCTGTCAGCCAAAAAAGACAGGGCAGCAGTTGATAAGGAGGATGTGACAATGGGCGATGCTGCCCAAGTTTCGCCGTCCAAGGATCGAGCTGTTAGCAGGGAGAACGCGACTCCCGTCCCCGCGAACACCAATGGAGGACCCGTCACAGTCGCACTTGGAACCCCAGCGACTCCTCAGAAAGCATCCGCAGAGATCGCTGTGAACGGGCCAACTTCGATTCCCAATTCCACTCCTATGACTGAGGGCAGCGCGCCTATGAGTACCGTATCACCAGAATCGAGTCAGCCAACAGTCGTATCAGCAACCGAGCGGTCTGCGCTCAGTGAGATTGCCAGGAGTAACGCTTCTCAGAGGCAGAATGCTCAAGACAGTGCACATCTGGCGGCGGAAACTATACGAGCTCCGCCAGCGAGCGAGAACCAGACTCAGATGGACCAAACATCAATGGCAAGCTTGGCCCAGACCGCGATGAAGACTGCTTCTAAATCGCCGAGTCTAGACAAGGAAGTTCCTCGTATAAGCCCCAAGCTGCAAATCGCAGACTTGGTTAACGACGCAGCCAGCTCTGAAAAGGCAGTGCGTCGACCTCTGCCATCCAAGCCAGTCCTAGACCTTGTTGAGTCAGCGCCACTCCGACATCCACTGCCTCAAAAGCCAAGCCAAGGAATTCATCTCGATCAAATGACGAGGGCTAGCCAACAGCCGTCGCCCGCTCTGTCCACTAAGAGTATCAAGGAGGCAGCGTCGCCATCGTTGTACAGCCCGTTTCCTCAACCCCCGCGAAGTGCCAGCGCTGCCAGCGCCGAGAGCGCCGCTCGCCGACCCGATCCTCGCATGAGTATTGCTAGCATGAGCAGTAGCAGTGCTCACGATGACCAGGAGCGAGGGACGATCAAACAGACGGTGGTGATTGGCACGAGCAACGGCACTGCCTCGGGTAGTAGTACCCCCAAGGTGTTGACACACGCCAGCTTGGTCAACAATGAGCAGTGGCGTGCAGTCCGGGCATCAGAGTCGCCGCGGGTCACGCCTGCGGCGCTTCAGTCGCCTCTCATCGACCGAAGTGCAGCGGCGTCTCCTGCTCTGGGAGGCAAGAGGGATGCTGAAAACTTTATCGACGTGTCGGAGTTTCACCAGGGCAGTCAGCATTGGGTGCAGCCGGGAAAATTCCTGCGATTCAACACGGATGACGAATCGAGCAGCATCATGCGAAGCAAGGAGGAGGACGGCATGGAGGCGGTTGTGGATGCCAGCCTAGTCGAGGCAGCAAAGATGGCGGGAACGACAGTACAGTTGAAGCTCAAGACGGAGAAGGGCGAGAAGTTGGAGCAGAGACTGGTGTTTGAGGCCAACTCGGTAACGGGTAGCCAACGTGGAGCAAAGCTGCAGGCGACCAAGTTCTATCGATGGCTTTCAGCCAAGAACCCGGATATGCAGCACCTGTTTTGATATGAGGCGTCACTGTGAGGGCGAGGGCGAGGGCGATGGATGATCCGGGAGCAGTGTTGTTGTGTATGAATGACTAAACGGCGTCAAGGGGGTTTTCTTCTTCCCTGAGACCGTGAATCCCAATTTGGGCTCGGTAATCCGTACATTGCTAGGTAGACTGGCTTTCGCAAGAGACATGGGAGACTCCGAAGCGGAGTAGCGATGCTACTCATATGCAGGGTGGACTGATTTAGGCGTTTTAGGGACAAGGAAAACATGGTGGATGTTACGAGAGTTTTCTATTGCTATCGACATGGAGATATGGTGTTGGTTGAGCGCTATCAGTTACATGCCCGAATGAGCGTTGCAGCACAAATTGAAACTATGTTGATCAAGACTTTTGTGAGATAGCTTCGTCGAATGGTTGTGAGTGAAGATAGATGGTGGCAGTGAGATGAGAGTCATGATCCGAAGTCCAGGCACGTCGAGCATCGGTCACTTGTTATCCGGACTTACTTCAGTCTTGGACTGAGATCCATGGTCGTGACCATCTCTATCCGTACCCTTACTCCGTACGGTGTACTTTATGCGGGATGAGTTGCAGCTGGGATGAATAGTGGATCGACAGCCTTCCCTTGGGTAACCTGGGGATGGATGGATGGGAGCTTTAGGCGTCTTGGGGGGTGTGAATTTGCATGTGATTGATTGCCGGGGTTGAAGTGAGAGCTCGGGTGAGATGTGAGAGGTGAAAGGCTGGGTGAGATGAGAGGTTGGGGCCCGTCAGAGCAGCGGCCGGAGCTTACCCCAAATACCTCAGTAGCACAGGCACGTGGGGAATGACCAACGGGGAAAGCTGCCCTATGGTGTTAGGTACCTTACCTTGCCGGCTTAGGGGCCTCAGAAGCTCCAGCTGGGTGCAGCAGCGCAATTCTCGTCGCATTTTTTCAGCGCCTTTCCCGAATCTTTGCCATTTGCAATTTCTTTTGTACTCTCTCCTCTTTACTTATCTTACCTTGCTCATATCTTCCTCTCTGCTTCATCTTTCGGCTCTAAAATCAACTGCTGTTTAGAACTCAAATACCCGTCTCGCGTGCAAAGAGAGTAACCGGACAAGACCCAGCCATTCCGATGCCGCGACGGACACTTTAAAGTGCGACCAGCAAGCAATTGCGACGACCGGATCCACGACTAACTACGACTGCCTACGACCTACGACCGAAACCGATGACGTTGCGATCCACAGAGTCAGACAATTGCGATCAAATTCGGCCTTGGGAGGATAAGCGCATGCCATCGCGGAGAGCGTCGTTTTCTCCGACCCCTTATTCCTTCTCTTCAATCATCCTGGGACAACCACCGCTGTGCCCTCTCTCTGGCGAATCCCACCTACCAAACACCAATACTTGATCCGAGTCAACCTTTACATTCTCAAAGGCATCGAGCACGACGACAACGACAACGACAACGCGCAGAAGCCGCAGCGGCCCCGAAAGTCTGCGGAAGCAGTGGAGGATTTCGGACATTGATGGCTGCCTTTGTGAGAGAGAGACCCTTCCCCGAATCACCCCCACCCCCGACCCTCGCCCATCATCCTTGCCCTGTAGTCTGTTCGTCATTACGGAGCAGCCTGCGGATACCCAGCACTTGGAGCGCACCGGCTCCGCCCTGTTCCGCCATGGCCGAGAGACACAGGAAGAGAGAGACGGAGGCGGCTTGTTTGCATGTCTGTCTGCTTCCCGGTCTGTCTATCTGGCCTTGTTCAGATTGTTGGAGCTGAGCTTGGGACAGCTGCTGGCAGCAGATGGCACACAGACAAGACAGAAAGACACGGTCACGCTGTCACGGAGCTACCCCGGTTGCCTCTTGTCTCTGTTCTGTCTCTCTGTCTTGCTGCTCAGCTGCCTCTACGCTTTGGCATCCTTCAACGCATCAGCCACGTCATAACCTTCCCGCTCGTCTGCCCTCTGTCCTTTGCCTCACATTTCTATCCCATCCACACTCATCGCACATCGCATTTCACCCCAAATGGCATCTGTTCCGCACACCTCATCCCCCTTCCGGCTTCACTGACGGGCGGCTTGCCACGGCTGCATCCATCCACCTACCTACGCATCCATCCTTATTCCAACCCACAGCCAGGCTAACCATTGCGTCACCCGCTGCAGGATACGCCCTGGCTAGTCCATATGTCGACCCCAAAGGCCCACCGCGGCGCCGATGCCGACTCCGTAAACGATCCTTCCCAGGGCTCCGGCTTCGACGGCACACCCTCCGGCGCGCCTCCCACCTACGCGACCTTCTCCCCCGTCACCCTCGCCGCAACCACTCCAAGCCGCTCGTCCCGCCAGTCCACCATTATCGTTCATCAGAAGTCGCCCCTGCTCCTAGCAACGCCGCCGCAAATCACCCGCGCATTAGCATACTCGCATCCGTTCCTACTACCCCTCAATAAGCTTGCCGGGTTGTTGACATGGACGACCGACGATCCGTGGGAGAGCTTCCTCTTGCTGGCGTCCTTCTGGGCCATCGTCCTCTATGGCGACATTGTTGTGCGCATGGCGGGACCGATTGTCGTCGTCCTGACCTTGATACTGGGGATGTATGGCAGGCGCTTCAGTCCGCTGAGCAGTAGTGGGTGGACAGAGCCAGCTTCCAAGGATCCCGGCGGCGCGCAGAGCATCGGAGGTACGGCCGGGGGCAAGGCACAGAAATCGACGCCCAAGAGCAATACAACCACGAACACGACCAAGGGTCACCAACGGGGCGAGTCAGAGGCGACGAATACAAGGCACCAGAAGACACTGGACGAGATTGTTGAGACATTGAAGGAGTTCACTGGGCGATGTAACCTCTTGCTCGAGCCACTCCTTGAATTGACCGACTTCCTCAGTACCCAACGAACCCCTACGTCTGCCACAACACGACCAGCCTTGACGACGCTTTTCGTGCGGATATTGTTTTGCACGCCTGTTTGGATGGCCTTGACGCTTCCACCACTACGAATCATCACGACTCGACGAGTGGCTCTGCTTTTCGGCACTCTGGTGCTGACATGGCATGCCAGATTCTTGCGAGTCGCCCGAACGCTTTTATGGCGGAGCGCCACGATCCGGAGGACAGCAGCCTTGGTCACGGGTTTGACATTTGAGAAGCCCGTCAAAGCTGTCCCGGTCCAGATCACCGCGGCAGAGAATGGAAAAGTGCAGGCCAAGCCGGCAACATCGGAGCTCACCAAGGCGTTGCGCAAGCAGTCCCATAGGCATGGCAACAATGCCACGAGCAAGGACGCGGGTGTCAAGTTCACCTTTATCATATACGAGAACCAACGACGATGGGTCGGCCTTGGCTGGACACAGAGCATGTTTGCCTATGAACGATCGGCATGGACTGATGAACATAATAACACTGTGCCTTCACGAGACACATTTGAGCTGCCCGAAGTTGAGGATGGTAGCAACATGCGCTGGCGGTGGGTTGAAGCAAGCAAATGGAGGGTCGACGGGGTTCCAGATGACGGGACTGAACCTATCGACTATGACGGGGAGCCTGGGAAGAACGGATGGATCTACTACGACAACAAGGTGAGCTTTGACTATTGCAGCCGAGTGCAGCACCTAGGTACGTGACTAACACATGTCGGCCAGTGGCAAAGCGGACGTCGCGGCTCCGACGGATGGGGACGTTGGACACGACGGAGAAAGTGGTACCGTGACGCCGAACTGGTGGAGGTTTCGGAGGATGAAATGGCACACGAACTGGACGCCTCGCAAGCACCGAGCTCAGCCCGGCCCGGCTCGCCCACGACAGGACCCCCGGGTCCCGCCTTGACGACGCAGAGGTACAGCACGCTCGAAGAACAGATGGTTTCCCCTACACACTCCGCGCAAGACCTGACCCTATCAGATAAGGACCTGGAAAGAGAAAAGGACGACACTGCATCAACTCTCTCGACGAGCTCCGGCGGACGATCATTTTTCAAAGCGCCGTCATTACGACGGAAAGTGACGGATAAGAGCGTCGCCAGCAAAGCCGACAAGGAGCAGGACCGCAGTCGTAGGGCAAGTGAGGCCAAGAGCGAAGAGGAAGCTTCGGCTCTGGGTTTGAAGCTGAACCTCGCCTTACAGGGCAAGGAGGGCGGGCAATGGGGAATCGGCGATGAGGCCAGAATGAGTTTGGAGTAATGGGCGACAAAGTCCCGGGGGTTGGCTCAAGATTACGAATGACTCTTACCAATAATTGAATCCTGATTGGGACGGTAAGTTATGGTACGGTACGGTACGGTACGGTACGGTACACTGCACGGGGGGGTTGGGCATGGACGGCGTTTGTCGGCTGTAGAGTGTTCACGATTCGGTAAGGCAAGGCAAAGCAAGTCAAGGTAGCAGTGTATGATTTTGGGGTAATGAGATAGAAAACACGCACGTGTTGTGTGTTTAAGTCTACCAGACGCGGCAGGCCGCGGGCTGCAGCAAGTCACTCACTCTTCTTTGTGGGCTTTGACATGTGGTTTGGTGGGAAGGGCGGATGGTGCTTCCTGGGGGTCCTGTGAGCAAGGTACCTTGCGTACGGGTGTGACCACAAATATGCGTGATGAAGTGTGTTTGTCCCCATCACTCTTGCTTGAAAATGTAGTGGTCACTGGATGTACGTGTGTCGGCTGGGCTGGGCTGGTCGGCAACCGAACAGAGTTCATCAAAGAGGGCGGACGGCTGTGAGTGGTGCGCAGGCGAGCTGGGCATCGAGACACGGGGTCTTGCGGGTCCGGGGTAACGGGCCTTTGCTGCGGGGGGTCCGAGAAGGGCAACTTGCTCAGGGCAGGGCAGAAATAAATAGGTAAGAGTATTGTAATAAATGAAGGAAAAAGGGCTGAGGGGGCACGGAAGGGGGGGTGGATGATGTGAGATGGATGGCTCAGGTGCGACGGCGGACGGGAATGGTGACGGGGTCAGGTGGTCCGTCGCATGTCGGAAGAAAAGGGAGGCGCGGAAAGGGACACACTGACACGAGCCTTTGAGAGGGAGAAACTGTGAGAGACAGGAGCCAGCTGAAAAGAAAGGGATACATACACAGCCCAATGATACCAAGTTATCTAATTGAAGGGGTTCAGTCACATAATTTTCCATGATGCCTAAAGTTTTGGGGTCTGGTGGAATTTGTCAACGTGTTGTTCCTTGGTTTGTCCACACGATTTCAAGTTTCTCTCTTTTCGCCTTTACCTAACTTTTCTTGAAATGAGTTTCCTACACATTTTCTTCTCGTCTGATTCTGCTCATGCTACTCATTCTTCTTCTTGTTGCAGTTATTCACTTACCATCGACTTGACGCAAACTTGATACGGAGTATTATCGAGCATACTGTACCGACTACTCCAAAACTCCAAATCTAGACAGCGGGCAATTCGCATGTCTACGCTGCGTATCCGTACGTTGTTAACCTCGGCACAATCGAACCGGATTGAGCTCGTCAGCCCACAATCACATCCATATCCACGTTCGCGATAGATACCGATTCCGATGGAGGCCGCATCTCGCCTCGCCTTGATGGCCATCGTCACCCGGGCCGGGAGTCCGCAACAGCAACTACGGCAACATCTCCACCAGCAGCGAACACCGAAACAGTATCAACAACGAGACGAAAAGGCGGCGTGGAAACATCATCATCATCATCCGCTCGTCACAGTCGTCGAGTGTGATCTCGAAGCGGGTCTAGGGGGAAGGGAAGTAGCAGCGGCGGCAGCAGCAGCAGCAGGGGAGGGGAAGAGAATGTTGGGGAACCCGAACCACCAGATTCACCGTTCCTCGGGACGGGGACGTCGGGGCAGCGCGGGGAGTTCGAGTTCGCGGTCGAGTGAGGGGAGCGATGGGGGAGCGATGGCTGCCGGGGGCGGATTGGAGGCTTTTGCGTGGTGGATTCTGATGGGGTTGGAGTGTTGTGTCGTTGGCGGTGTTGAGGGCTGGATTATTTACATGGTGTACAATGGCGGTGATTTTGAGATTTGGAACTGGTGAGTATCTTCTCCCTTTTTTCCCCCCTCCATTCGTTTTCCCCATGAGGTATCGAGTATCGCTCATCGAGATTGATCTCGTGTCATACAAACGGAACAGGCATAGCTAACGATGACGGCACCCGCAGGCTATCCGAGTTCGCGTCGCCGGCCCTGATGATCCTCCTCAGCGTCTCCCTCTCCGCGGCCCTCTTGCGCGGGGTCGGCTGTCTGAACAGGCTTGGGGATTTGGGGTTCCAGGCGACCGGTCTGGTGCTGGCCACGTTTTGCGCCGTCGTGGTGTGCGCTGGTGTGAGTGGTGTTGAGGAGGGGGAGGGGCAGGACGGCGACAGGTTGGAGAAGAAGGGGGTGCGGGTCGTTGTCGGGTTGGCTGTCAAGATGTGGTGAGTAATTCGTTCCTTTTTGTTCTTTTCTGTCATTTTTCTTACTCCATCACGTGTCTCTTTACGACGATATCTCTGGTCCGGTCCAATCCGTTGGGGGGGGGAAAGGCATGCATGTAGGGGAGACATGTAGTCTTTTTCGGCTTGGCTCAACCGGAATTGGGATGATTGACTAACGATGCGCTTTTTCTCTAGGTTCCTCTTCTTCATTGGCTTCCTATGTGCCGTGTTCCAGTGGTACAGCGAAGACCGGCATACAATAACAACATCTGCGACGAACCAGCAGCCCCTACTACAAAAGAAGGGCAAGAAGAGGGAGAGGGGCTACGGCACTACCACGGGAGCATTGGCGACCGTCGACGAGACGTATGAGGGAATTGTGAGCGACCTATGAGAAGCGCGCGGATGGTCTTCTTTCCCTTTCACTATTACTGATGATGATTTTCCTGATGCATTCACGACGAGCATATGCATGATGAGCGCGCGCCTACGCTACAATGAGTTCCGCGACATTCCGATACCCCCTTTTCACCCGGCTGCGACTCTTTGGAGTCTTGACGAGGCGCAGATTTCAGGCTAGATACTATGATTCTACTGTACTAGAATACCCCTTTTTCCCATGTTATATATAGCTAGCTTTCTCTTTGTCAACCTGATGAGACATGAGATTACTTGTATCTATCCTACTGGCTACTTTGCTGGTTACCTCTGCTCGGGGTCAATTAAAGTTGGACAGATTCACCTGCCTGTAACTATGATAGCTACTCTGCTGTTACTCGACTACGCCTAATGCCACAACGCATCCCGATAGCGAAACAATAGTCAGCACCCTACCTTACTTGATACCAGCGATTGCACCTCATGCGCACTAATACCAAAGAGTGCAGTAAGCTCACGTCTATGTGACGCGTTAGTAATGGACGACACTACCTCGCCGATTTCGGCTTTCGCAGTGGTTGAGGGTTTGGAAACTTTGGACAAGGGCATCGCTTCTCTCTGGGAGCATGAAACGGCAATTTTGAGTCTAATCGGACGGCAAGGTTTGGTTTCGCTGCCGGCGCTTCATAGACGACGAATTGCCCACACTAGTTGTGTTTCTTGTTTCGTCGGGTTGCATTCCGCCGTTCAAACTCATTGGGTCTTGCATCCTCTCGTGATGTTTACTTGGATTGTAGCTTCGCCGTCCATGGAGCCGTAGACAAAGATTGCGTAGTATTCTTCTTGTCGTACGCATTGATTGCAATATGCAGAACGAGTTGTAGTCACATGCAGTTATGAGTTGTCTTCCAAGTCCTGAGAGATCACTGCCTCGGGCAGTTGAGGACCGAGGTAAGTGCCGAACCTAGGAGGCAACACTCCGGCTTAAATGTCAGAGAACAAGGCAATCGCGCACTTAAATAGACGCCAAGTCGTCTATGGATTAGATCTACGGAGTCTTCTTGCTCTACCTGGAATGTGGCGGTTCGGCAGAGCATTGAAGGTTGTCGAGTCTAACTTCGTCTGATGATGTTGCCCAAACATTCAAGACGACGTGAGCAACGGCCAGCCCCTGATCTTCACGCTACCCCTCTTCGAAGCAACAACGTTGATAACGACTTGAAAAGATGAGCCCCGCGTCAAGTGTTGCCAGGCTGGTATACTTTTCCACTGTAGACAGACTTCATCACAGAAATCATGTTCATCTCGCTCTCCATCTCGTTCCCGTGGGCCATTTTGGTCACCGTGGTAAGTCACATCGTGTATTCACGTCTAAGATATGGCAACTAAAGCTCTATTAACAGGCATGGGCATTTGGACAAGACGCCCCAAGCCCCGGCGGACCCATCCCGGGCTACGGAATCTTCATCCCCCGATGGGAAATCCCTTCCCCCGACGGCAGCGGCAAGATGCTTTCCCTCAGAGGCACGGTCGAAGAGGTGGCCGCTCAGGTCCTCGATATGCACCCGACCTTCGATATTGACGACCAGTTTGGCAAGATTGCGATGCCAGATATTGGGAAAAGAGCTACCTTTGAGGATAAAGACCAGACGCTGTGTAACAATTTCAGGGAGGCCAATAGGACGGCCGCGCACCTCAGTATCGATTACCTGAGGACGATTCAGGGGAAGCCTGAGAACGGGGCCGGGCCAGCAAATTGCGGGCGGGTCAGTTGTCGGAATGGCACGGGCATCTGGTGGTGCAATGACGTGAGTATCTTGCTCTTCTCCCCTTGATGGCCACACATTTGGTGGCTTGGTACGATGGAGTGGCTGATATGTTGGTCCCACGCAGGCCAAAAGCTCCAAGCAGATCGATTCGTTTGGCGACATTGCCGACGGCGTCCAGCGCGTCTTGTCAAAGTGTAGGGACAAGTTGGATGCGAACCAAGGACAAGGCATGACTGTCAGCGGGCAGGCTTTTCACAAGGACGATTGGAATGTGGTTGTCAGAGGCGGAGACAACTGTGACGATGCAGGTGTCAATATGAATCCCAAAGGCTCTCGGAGACTGTTCAAAGCGTAAGCATCCTGAATTTAGCCACGTGTGGTAGTATTAGGAGCGAATAACATCTCCTGGTTGGAAGTAAGCACATCCACGGCTATGGTGTGCGGAGAGATTGCGGAAACAGAGCGGTGAAGGTAAACATGTTATCAGTTACTATCCAATGGTATTCATCGTCTTTTGATCCCCTGAAGAACCCAATCCTCTCCACTTCTCCTCAGACCGCCAGTAATGCCCGAAGCCCTCAAATGCGGAAGCCTACTATCCTTGTTTTGTGTTTCCTCGATATGGTCCCCTAGCAGAGTAGTCTTCTCATCTGGGTGCACTGCCAAAAGTGCGGGGAGGGGAGAGCCTTTGACGATCTCAATATCTAGGCTGGCAGTCTCAATCATGATGATAACCAAGGTCAGGATGGAGAGCCCAACCTGAGCCGCCAGTAGCGTCAACCATGGCCATCGGATCGAGACGAACCTCTCCACCTGCCACGCAGTTCCGCTGACGTTGTCGTTCAAGAGCCTGTGTTGTGTCAATTATGACTCGCAGAGAACGAGACATGCAGTTCGTCGAGGACTTACGCATTCGTGAGACCACTGGCAATGTTTTCGGTGAGGTTGCGAAGCGCCATGAATAGGGCATCATCCAGCTTTTGAGACTCAGTAGTCTGATTGATGCCAATTGCAGCTCGTGATAAAGCTGTCCCGTAGATTTGAGTCCCGTTGCCAAATCTGAAATCGCCGGCGTCGACGTAAGTCCCCGATAGAGTCGAGTCAAGGATGTCAGCAATCTCACCGGGACCCATACCGTCAGCCACATATTTCTTGTTCGGGTTATCTGGCGATGTCAAGTATGTCGCGCTACGCGTCATGTTATAGTTTTCCACAAACACCTCTCCCTCCTGCGGTTTCGTGTAGGAAGCGACTTTTTGCGTGCCGGGAATATTGTCCTGGACCGTCACCCTGTATGTGTTTACACACCAGTGCAGCATGATTTCAGTAGCACGCAGCCGGGGGCCATAGATGACGAAAAAGTTCCAGATCTTGGCTCCCATGGCATCGGTACCATTGAATGATAGACTCGGGCCGCTGGAGATATTCAAGTTGCCGTATCCATAACTTCTTTGCAAATTCAGGCCATTGGGGAGTGTGGAATTCGTGCCCATTTCGATTGGGTCGCCGTCAGTCTTGAGAAGGTCTGTGACATCTGAAGCCAGGCAGTTAGACGGGCAACGGAGAGGTAAGGTGGTAGCAGATCCTACTGTTCATATCAACGCATACGGCAAGCGAAGTAAAGTCGTCCCAGGTGCAGTTATTTGATCGGCAGCTAGCTTGATAATACGGCATCACCTCGGTGGGTGGGGTGTAGAGACTTCGAGGAATAATCTGGTTGATCGGGAACATGATATCTCCTGCCAAAAGGTCAACATCAAGATTTCATCCATCAAGGGGGGAATATAACCAACTTCGAGAAGGGCTATTAGCAGTCGCCCAGAAATACTCATTATTCCTTCGTGTGAGTGCGGTCTCGTTCCCAGGAATGGCAACTTGGCGAGTAGGGTAAGTGACAACGGATTGTGTCAACGTCGAGGTCGCGATTCCAGAAACCAGGATGACAGCTGAGAGAATCCCAAGGAGCCTGTATCATCTCGACTTATCAATAACCCGACGTTGTATCGCACTTCCTTGGCTTGAGGTGGTTCACATACCGGCCCTTCGTCCTAAGCAACAGCTTCAAGCTACCCCACGGCCCGCGGCTGGCTTCGTCAAAGACCGCAAAATCGCCCAATGGCCTAGGCGACTTGTACCAGTTCCATTTGTACTGCGATAGACTTTCGACAACCGGGAGAACGAACGATGTGCGGCAAAATGTGGAGATGAAAGCGACGACGGTGTTGAGCGTCAGGCCAAGGGGCCAGTTCGGCAGTGGCTGGTTGTCGTACGACCTTAGTACCGTGACGAGTACAATGATGCAGACAACGCTGATAAAGCACCATACAATCTCTGGCCACCACCCTTTCAGAATCTGCCATCTTGGTCGCGGAGGCCGTCGTGTGTTGTTCCTCGTCTTCTCGGCGCTCGATGTCTTCACTAGCTCGTATTCAGTCTCACCGCTCGCAAATGTTGACTTTGAGGGCAAGTCTGTCCTAATCTCTGTACTTCGCGGTTCGTCTAAAGGGTGTGTCGTGGCTTCGGGCTCGTGATCCCAGTCGTAGACGTGGGTATCGGCGGATGAGAGCAGCAGGGCCTCGTCATACCCAAGCGGCGGAACGTATGAGGGAACCGGCTTTCGCCGCACTTGTCGCGCATCGTCGTCCTGCCCTGTCGAATTCATCACAAAAATTTACCTGCTGCTTTGCCGCTGTTACGCATGCGAATCGCGGGGTTTCTGGTGCTGTCCTCAGTCCTGCAAGCTTATCGGTGTACCGAGATCAATCTCTTCATCCCCTCGTCAGAATTCGATGTCCCTTGGGGTCTTCCCATTTTTAGATCCGATAGTCCATGAAAACCATGGTATTGTCGCCGCCACGAAGGGGTGCCTAAGTGTGAATTTGTGTAATAAGCACTACCCCAAGTCGGCGTAGATCACCCAAGCACGGTTTGATCCTCCATGCTGCGAAACATCTTTAAAGTAGCTGCCTGGGCGAGCTGACAGGCTAGGTCTTACCCGCCACTCGCTAATAAATAGCCCGACTAGCGCCACTCATGAATTACATGATTGTCAACAAGAACTCAAATTGCTTATTTTACTTTACGGAGTACTCCGTGAGTGGTTCGGGCTATTATTGTCTGGTGCTGTCGACATCGTGTATCCCTTGACTTGAATCCGCGTCCAACAGCAGTCTGATCAAGAGAGAGCCCCTCATTCGCGAGAAAACAGCAACAAGTGGCTACCAATGCTCGTCTGAACCACTCGTTTAGCCGAGTTCTCACGCCTCCCAAGCTACACCTCGCGAATTTCATGCGAATTTGACGCCGTTCTTCAGCGTCCCTATGTTGGTGATGGCGACTTCCATCTTGTTCCCGGGTGTAAGCCATTTTGGGGGTTTGAAGCCCGCCCCAACACCTTCCAAGGCCCTCAAGTCAGTCACAATGAACATTCAACGGATGCATGTAGAATTCTCACCTCCTGGGGTACCCGTCATGATGACCGACCCCTTCTGTAGCGTCGTCCCAGAGGAGAGGTAGGAAATGATGTAAGCACAGTCGAAGAGAAGATCATCGACACCTTCAGTTTGCCTCACTTCCCCGTCAACCTTTGTCTCAAGGTGAAGCGATTTGGGATCTCCAACAAGGTCAGGTCGTACGAGACAAGGTCCCAAAGGCGCAAATGTGTCGAATCCTTTGGAGAATCCCCATTGCGGTACGTTTCCTGCAAATGCAGCATCGCGCTGGAGCTTTCTTGATGATATGTCGTTGCCACAAGTGTACGCAGCAACATATTCAAGCGCATCTGACACAGATACATCCTTGGCATCTTTACCGATGACAAGACATAACTCGCCTTCGTAGTCAGCCTGGTCATCTTGGCAGATCTTGGGAATGATCACATCTGCGTCATGGTCCAGAACAGTTGTGTTGGGCTTGAAAAAGATGAAGGGAAACGGCGGTGGTTTGCGACCGGCCTCTCTAACTGAGCGAGTGATTAGTATAAAAGTCCCCAGGTTTTGCAGCGTCCAACTTACTATGGGTGGCATAGTTCAGCCCGACACATCGGAGAATGGGCACATCTCCTTGTGCCAAGGGGCCGAGAAGCTTTTTCACCACCACGATCTCATCGGTGACCTTGGTCTTCCCTGAAGTGTCATAGATGTCGGAGCCGTCAATGACTTTTGCCTTTAGATTTGTCTCTTCGGTGGTGTTTCCCAAGTCGAACCCCTCATTAGGAAGAATGGGCTCTCCACGGAGAATCCTCCCGTCGCTTGCAACAAATCGAATGAGTCTTTGCCACGCTACCGACATTATGATGGTGAATAGCAGAAAAGATGATGTCTAAAGACTTGACGCTTGAGTAGAATACCTCCAAAATGATGCCGATATCTGAGATGAAAACGACTCTGTTTTGTCACCACGATGTCACGTTACTAGTCAGGTCCTAGCTTCGTTGTCAGTGAGAACTGCCGTCACGCAAGCCACTTGATAACGGCATGGAATCGGGGATAGTGGCATCTCCCCGCTTGGAATTACACTTCTGTTATTGGGCATAGTGACGCTAGGATAACTCCTCCGTCTCACGGGATGATTCCGACAACACCTTGACGGGGACTCGCTGCAGCGCGGAGGTTTGTGGGTGAGGATCACTGAATGCGGGGATCCGGGGAGTTAAGGCTTAGTTTGCCAGGGTGTTCACCACCCTCGATCCACGGCAGTGGGCACGGGATGCGTCCGACTGCTGGCCGTGTAGGCTTGAAACAACGAGGGACCTCTTTCATATGAACCAACAACTTGGTCACGAAATCCCAATGAGGTAACAAGGCAACGCTTCGATTTGAGAAAGATCTTCTCGTGTACCCTCAGAGACAGTTATTCCTTCACTTTAACCTATTGCAAAATGCCCGCTGCCACGGAAGTACTTCAACCTGTCTCGCAGGACCCGTTTGCTCGGTCTCATAAGTCAGAGAACGGAGCTGCACGGCCACACAATCATGTCGGCGAGGAGACGAGCAACAAACAGTTCAATGGAAGCTCTGGCCACCGCAAGCTGTTATCCACGTCCTATCCCTCCAATAGCCTCAACTTTCTTCGAGCCTTGAACGCCACAAACGATGGGAAGACATCAGAGAACACACCTTCAGCATTGATATCTCTTGATATTCTCATCGTTGGGGCTGGTCTCGGGGGCCTTGCCACAGCAGTCGCTCTGGCGAGGAGTGGCCATAAGGTTACTGTCTTGGAACAAGCCGCTCAGCTATCAGAGGTACGCTTTGCTGCAGTCAGCCCTTAAAATGTCAATCTAAGCTTTTTGAAATATCTAACCACTGAGTGTAGGTTGGTGCTGGAATCCAGATCCCACCAAACTCGAGCAAACTTCTTCAACGATGGGGGGTAATGGACATCATGTCAGAACAGGCAGTACGTCCCGACGGTATCTCGTTCCGTCGCTGGGAGAATGGCCACCGTATTGGCTTCACCGATCTCACTGAATCTTTTATTGAGCTCTGCGGAGCACCATACTACGTCGCACATCGTGCTCACCTACACTCTGCGCTCTACCAGCGAGCCAAGGATCTTGGAGTTGCGGTTCGCCTGGATAGCAGGGTCGCCAGCTACAACCATCACCTCCCGTGTGCAACCCTGTCGAGCGGCGAGGCCTTCTCGGCAGATCTGATTGTTGCTGCCGATGGTGAGTGACACCTTCATGTTAGAGTTCGTGGTGCTGATCTGGGCTAATGTATTCTTGCGGCAAAGGCGTCAAATCAGTAGCCAGAAATTTGCTGCCCTCCAACCAAGTTGGGGCAACAAATTACACGGGGTTTGCGGTCTACCGAGCCACGGTGGATGTCAGCAAGATGAGAAACATCCCAGAAGTGGCTTGGATTCTTGAGAAGCCCGGACTGCATGTTTGGTAAGCTGATTGACGATTAAATTCGTCGGAGATGGTGGTCTAATTTGTAGCACAGGATTGGCGAAGATCGCCACGTCATGACTTACACCATCGCTGCTGGCGAATCCTTCAACATGGTATTGTCTCATAGGGACTCGAGGGATCCTTCCACCTGGGTACAAAGGACGCAAGCCGAAATTCTGGAAGAGATGAGAGCGGAATTCAAGGGTTGGGACTCACAGTATGATTCCGCGATACCTCCAAAAAAATTTTGTTTGCTTGATTTATTGATACATGTGTTCCAGGCTCACAAAAATAATCGAGTTGATCGACACCACCATAAAGTGGCCTTTGATGGCTGGTGTCCCGTTGGAAAATTGGGTTGCGGATTCTGAACGTCTTGTCATCCTCGGTGATGCGGCACATGCGATGCTCCCATACATGTCCCAGGGAGCGGCCATGGCAGTCGAGGATGGCGCCGCTTTGGCTGTGGCACTCAACAACATTGCAAGTCATGAACAGCTTGGTCACGCGCTTCACATATTTCAAAAAGAAAGGAAGACACGAACCTCGATGATGCAGGAAGCGAGCATGGTGAATGCTCTGCTGTGGCACTTCAAGGATGGCCCGGAACAGAAGGCTCGAGATGAGGCGATGCGCCCCGAGGTCGAGGGTCGCAAATTTTCGAGCAGCCCAAATCAGTGGTCCGATCCCCTCACTCAGTCTTGGGCTTATGGTTATGACGCCGAGGATAAGATGTTGGAGCAATGGAGGCGGGAAAGCGAGGCCTGAGGAGCTTAGAGCCGACATGATTTACAGGGTTGCGCGATACAATAGATTGTGGGAAGAATCAGGACGATTAGCTAGAGTGGTTATATGCTAGAACCAATTTGGAAGGACATGACCAGAGATATCGTTTTCCAGCTTTTCATGTAGTCCATCATGGGTTTGTGGCTAACTGACGTGGTGACTGATGACAAGCCGTTTGTTGAAACGGTTCAAGGAGACTTTTCATACGAACAGAGGCGAGATCATGTGTGGTACAGGAGACCTTCTCAAGCGACTACTCCTTAGCTTTGACCCACCCCTGATGAACTGCTATCATGAACAAGGACACTGATCCAGCTTTTGTGAATGGTAGTCGGGGAGCTTTGATTATACGACAACAAGTTTCAAATATGTACATGCAGTGACCAAAGTCGAGTGACTAGCGCCTACCAAAATAAGTCCCCTGTAGCAAAATCGTCCATCACCTCGGACATCGAGAAGTTTGCGCCAGTATTGGGGAAATCATTGAAGTTAGGTGGGAGGTAGTTCATCAAGTTTGAGAAGGCTTCATCCATTCCTCCATTCGACGATATTTGCGTGGTCTGTGCATTCTCACCTCCGTCCAAAGGGATTGCGTGGCTTGGTACCATGCCTCCCACCTCGCGGGCGGCATCGTCACGGCCCGAAGCTATGTCGAAGTCAGTATCTGTACGTACTTCACACTGACGCTATCACCTACTCATTTGCAAGCTTTGAACCATGAAGATCAAGGTTGCAGTAAACTTTGCGCACTTTTCCACCATGGGGTTCTGGATGTCCAATCGCGCAATGCAACTGACTGCACTCTTCAGGATATCGTCAAGCCGTATGGCGGTGTTTGTGTAGCCTTGATCATAGGGCATAGATCCATAACTATCCTCGACCAGCTTGGTCGCAACAATAGTCAAGGAGGCATTGAAAGCTACAATGGAATTAGCTGGCATTCTTTCGGAAAACGAGTCACACTCACTGAAGTATAGACTGAACCACCACGCCCCAAGAAAGGAGATCGTAGGCTGTACATCGTTTGCAAGTTTACAGGCTTCAACTAAGCGGATGATAGCTTCGGCAGACCGCAGACATACTGTTCTACTGAGATGCCACGCCTGTTGCAGCGTGGCGGCTTCTTGGGGTGATTGAGCGCTTCCATCGAAAGATTGTAGACAGCGGTCTAGTATTGGGCGATGTGACAGTAGTTGCAGGTTATGATACCGGAGTGTTAGTATCACACGGAACTTCAGTAACATCATCTTCCCTTCAGGGCTGGCGACTTCATTCGGCTCCACAAGCTGCATCGATAAGGGTAAAGATGCTTGCCAGTCAGCGAGTTTCTGTCCAATCTGTATCACACTAGCCACGGTGTTTGTTAACGGGATGGCCGATATTGATCCAATATTGCTTTCGTATAGTTCGTCGATTACGGCGGCGGTAACCCCATACAGCGTTCTGGATAGCCAATTATCAGTCAACATCAGGCGGAATAACACTGTGTGGTGGACAAACATGGATGCGTTCCAAAATGCAGTACTCTCTTCCTCGTTGGACCATCTCGAGATATCCGACGTTCTTTGATGAGAAATAAAGTGTCTTGGCAGAGGTGTTCGGATATAGCTTTGTGGAATGATGGGCGGCCGGCCGAAGGTCATGCTCAGCGTTCTGTGTTCCCATGGTAATACAGTTAGACACAATTCTTTGCTCAGCTAGCCGGCCAGATCATCTGAATACTCTACTTACCTGTCGAGCACCACACATCCGTACCAAGTGCGTATTCTAATTTCTCGTTCAAGCGGTTCGAATCTTTGAAGAGCCAATTCTGAATGGAAACCTAATTCGAGCGCGGCTTTCACAGCGAGTCCGTGTATGGCCCATGTCTGTATAGATCGTTGGCTTCCTTGAAGGTACTGTGACATGAGAAGCATAGCCTGGACTTTGAAAGAATTGGGTCAGCTAAAGAAACTGTCGCGGGAAGAAGGGTAAAACAGCGGTACCTGCTTCGACATTGGCTCCCGCCATCATCTCGGTCATTGAAAGGGCTTTGGCTCGCCGGTAATGAACCTCTGATATCGCCTGCCGGTCGCCCAGACCTACCCCTGTAGCGTTCATGGTGCTCGTAGCCATCGCCAGAATCATGTGTAATAGTGCAAGCCATGCAGTTTTCGCGTTCTGCATACCAGTTGCTCTGTACTGTGCGTACGTTTTCCAGAAACTCTCTTCATGGATATAAGGGAATAGAAGACCCGTGTCACGGAAGAATTGGCGCACAAGATTGACGACTTCTTCTTCAGGCGGCAGACGGGATGCCTCGGACGGCTTTTCGAGTTTCCTCGAGTCGAAGGAATCTGTGACTGGAGACTGAGATCTAGAGACGGCCAGAATGTGCTGCTGTGCTTGCTTTGCAGGTGTACAAGATGTTTGTCCCCGCTCATCTCTTTGGATCTTGTTCAGTAAGTGGTCGAGCGTGCGGCGGATGATTCTTGTGAACGCAATGTTAGATGAAGGCCCTGGATGACAACGATTAAGGATCAGCAGGTGCTCAGGGAAATTTAGGATCATGACCGTGAAGTCTAGTTTATTCTGTCATACCGAAATACGCCCAAGACTCGTCTGTGGTAAATTCAATAGTACCAACACCATCTGTTGCGTCGGGGGTAATCCCCTGCGTAACACTTCCATCCTCGACATTAAGCGACTCCTCGGGATATGTGGTTTCTGAGAGATCATCGGTACGACCAGAAATACTACGTGGGAAGAGAACATGTTGTTTTCCCTGTAGAAACGAAGCGGGTATAAGTCTCTTTAGCCGACTAATTTCTTCTTCGACATCAGCCAAGCGGTGTTCAACTTGCTCGAGATATCTAGCCACAGGGTGAGAAAAGTTTTGTAAAGGTCTTCCAGGCAGATCCAACAAACATACTGTTTCGGTACCAGCGCGTTGCTTCCACCAGAGTTGGCTGCGTAGATACATTCGATACCTTGTTCGACGCAAGCGGAGCACTGAGGCCTAACACCGTCGCACTATTATCCAGAGTTTTCTGATTAGTATTCGATAAAATTCAGTAACATCCGGTGGGCGGGACGATTCCGTCCGGGCAAAATCTGCCAAATTGGCTGCCAACTGTATGGTAGTCCGAAAACGTCGCACTCACCCTTGACTTCCGAGCTCGACATGAGCTGCAGGCAATCGGGATACGCTTCCGCTTCCGAGTCGACGCGCCTGTTGGCCCTGGAGTACTGTTCTCCATTTCTCGGGGAAAGTCTTCATCCAGCTCACAAGTTGTGTGGCACGATAGGGCAGAGGCTGGTAGAGGCGGGGATTTAGAGAGAAAGATGATCAAGTCCCCGGTGTAGTTGAAAAGGGAGGGCGGGGAGTTAGGGAAGAGGAGCGAACTCTAAACGCTGTACACCTAACGCTGAGAGGCTGTGCTACGCCGGATTGCGTACGGTTAGCGTAGTGAGCTGGTGTCTTTGCCAAAGCCTCCGACCATGCCGTTTCGGCTAAGACCTTAACTCCCCGGATACATCTGCGCTCGCTTTGTAACCTTGCCATCACGTTGACGGTACTGACGAAACGCGGTTGGCCTTCACACGGGATGAGAGTTCGGCAAACACCCGTAAATCATATGTTTTTGATCAAGTCATAAACACATCTCTTCAACACTGAATCGTCGCTAACCGAAAATCATCCAAGAAGAGTGAAAGCAATCAACACCTTAGCACTTGACTCAAGCAACCCAACGTCGTATTATACTGAGAATTCGAAAGCTAGCCATGTCTTCAACCGTCACAGAGACTTCGCACCAAGCCAAGCCGGCTGAAGATGGCACCGCGAAGATGCTGCGCGATGCTGAGGCTAACCACACAAAGCCTCTGTGGCTGCAAATGACCAGACTAAACCCTCCTCTGCCCAACCCACGGTGCACACCCCATCTTTGGAAGTATTCGGAAATTCAACCCACCCTTTTGCAAGCGGGTCAGCTTGTTACCGAAAAGCAAGCTGAGCGCAGGGTGTTAATGCTCGTCAACCCCTCTAGAGGTACGGATATGCAGCCCATTTTGATGAAGCTTTAGACCTCTACTTCTGAAAATTGAATCCGTTCCTGACTCGAAAACCTAGATGCCCCTTTCACAACTGACACTCTCTACGCTGGGCTGCAGCTGGTCATGCCCAATGAGACAGCGCCGGCGCATCGACATACGGCCTTTGCCATGCGCTTCATCATTGAGGGCAATGGCGGCTTCACTGCCGTTCACGGAAAGCGCATCCAGATGAACCGGGGAGACGTAATCTTGACCCCCACTTGGAACTGGCATGATCATGGAAAGGATGGGTCCGGCCCGATGATCTGGCTTGATGGCTTAGATTTGCCCAACTTTACCCACTTCCCTGTTCATTTCGTCGAGCATTTTTCATCTCCACGATACCCAGCAGATGATGTTGATACATCCCAGTCGCCCATTGTCTTCCCGTGGAGTAGGATGAAAGCAGCGCTTGACGACGAGGAAGGGCACTATGCTACACAAAGCTATCTTCGTGCAGATGGATCTGAAGGTACTTGCTTGCTATTCCGTCCCATCCACATATTTTGGCGTTTGAACTGACTTTTGCAACGCTCCAGTGAGCAAGGTTTTAGGTGGCCGTGCAGCCCGCTTGGCCTCCGGTGCCAAGTCTCCTCTGATTCAGGAGACCGCGTCATCTGTTTACCATGTCGTGGAGGGATCAGGGCGTTCTCGTATCGGTGATACAGATCTCATCTGGAAGAAGGGGGATACTTTCTGCATTCCCTCCTGGTACTCTTATCAGCATTTTGCGGACGAGGGCCTAGAGACAGACGTGTATCTGTACCGTTTTGATGACATGCCCATGCTGAAAAGTCTGGGATTTTACCGCTCAGCTGATATGGACGTGGAACGTCTTGTATCGAACTAAGCGATTGTATTTACTCACCTGCAGACTGAATGAAATGAGATTAATTCCATTATGACATGTGTACTACGTATAGGTGGGAACTGCGGTGTGAGATATAGTCTACGAGTTTACAGACATTTGGTATCACGCGCCAAAGCACCCTTCATGTGCAGACAGCGTAGGCGTCAACGCACTCGGTCGCTTCGATCATACAAGTTTTCTTGTATCGAACAGGAGATGCTGCGTAACGATGGTGAGTCACAGCAAGGTATGGTTCCTTTATTGGTCATATCAAAGTTTCAAATTCGATGTAAATTGCAACAAGGCTACAACGGCCGACTTCCCCTTCGTTCCTAATCGCTGCCCGTGCAGGTTTGATAGACGGAATTCGCACGCTCCTGTTTCTTTGCCAGCTACGCTATCCCTATCCCGTCTAAAAGCCTACTCTCCTAGCCTAAGCGAGAGCTGCAGTCTTTCGAATGACTGTATCACTGAAAAAGTAAAGGGGGATCACCAGTAAGTATACCGCCCAGAGGATTCCCGCCATGGTACCAAACTGAGCAACGGGTCCTGCCTGTGCCATCCAGCTTGTAGCCGCGTAAGAGACTCCGAAACCGACGGAATTCTTGATCAAGTTCACCAAAACTCCGATATGGCTGGCTCGAGGTGGCATGGTGTCCACAGCATACGTTAGTAGCACGTTGGCCGAGCATGTCAAACCTGTGGCCAACATGCCATAGCCAACGCTGACTTGCGCCCACTTTTCCGGTGATGCAAGGCCATATCCAATGACCAGACATCCAGCTGGGCTGATAAGACCTCCAATAATTACAGCTGGCAATCTTGAAGCCGGATCTCGCCTCCCACCGTTGCGACGTGTGGCTCGGTTGAAAAGGTAATCAGCCAACGCGCCGCCAACTGGGAGCCCAACCAAAAGACCGATCAAGGGCCCGACGCTGAGCAATCCGACATCTCGAGCACCCCAGAGCAGTGGCGGGGGGCTGTACACCACCGAGAGTAAGATGGATACCAAGACAGTCCAGCCAATGGTGAGACCGAATACCAAAGTTGTAACAATAACCTGTGGCGCGCTCAGAAGTTGGAGAGGCTGAAAGAGGCTCGAGGCGGCGTTTTTCCAGTCCATGTCGATGTACGACGTCGAGAAGGAGCGCATTCTCCATTGTTTTTCCTAGTTCTCTAGATCCTGAATAGCCTTGCTGGTTGGCGTTTTCAACTTCGGCGTAGGTGGGGCTCAAGGGCAGACCTTTTGGATTGTCTTCAGTAATAGGACCGAGCTCGACTTCCTCGGCCGTCTTTGGCGAGTCCGCACGAGTTTCCGGGAGCATGATCAATGTACCGACAAATGTAACGAAGATAAGCGCCGATAGAATACGAAAGTACCATCTCCAGTCACCAGTGCCGTCTGCGACAACTCCTGAGATAATTGGTCCAATGGATGAGCCGGCAGCCAAGAGTCCAACGTATACAACCATTGCGCTTGCTAGTTGATTGTTTGGGAATGCCTCTTCAACAAAGCTGGGTCCCAGGGCCTCGACAAGCCCGCCAGCGAGCCCGCCAAGAATTCTTGATGTTCTCAAGTCATTGAATGTAGATGCTTCCCCTGACCAAAGGCAGAAGACAAAAAACATGACAAGAGATATGAGAATCGTGTATCGTTTGCCGATGAGGGATGCCGCAGGGAGGGCGAAGATGTTCTAGAGATGAAGGCAGTTTAGTCCATGTCTCTTTATAAACACGTTTGCAAAGCATTTGATGATCCTCTTTGAGTAAGCTTACCGATAGTCCCAGAGTCAAGAGCACGTAAGTAGAAAGCTGGGAAGCCTCTTCCGAAGTGCAATGAAGCTCTGCGATGATGCGCGAAAACAGCGGAGGGGCACCCGCCGCAAAGGCGTTTCCCAAAAGGTTGTAGAAGCTGACGTTCAGAAGGATCCAGATCCTCCACGAAAGCGGCCATCCCTATCGAATCGTTGATAATTAGTTACCAGAGCCAATGATATCGTGAAATCTTTCTGCCCAAGGACATCGGCACCACTAACCAAGACGCTTGACTCCATCACGGAATCAGTCGATGTTGACATGTTTGTTGATTTTGGACGTACGATATGAATCGATTTCTTCTAAGTTTGGTTCGATAATTTAGATAAATGCTTACACGGGCTCTTGTAATTTCCGCTCAACACTGGCTCCGCCCTGTCCTATCTACTCCAGCCTTCCCCTTTACAGACGACAACTTTCATTACAAGATCAAACTTACGAACGCGTAGCGTATCATTGGTCTGGCGAGTCATTCGGGGAGATAAACCTAAGGTATGCATCCGCGGAGAACTGTCATAACCCCGGATACTACCCCGCATCCGCAGCGGCCCGCGTCCACACTGGAGACCGGGTGATGATAGTTTGCTTCCGTGATCTCGGGGTCAAGCGGGGGAGGCGGGTCTTGTTAGAGACTTGCTGCGATGAGTGTGAAGCATATATCAAGGGGCCTATCTTGATTCAGGCTAGGCGAAGCAACACAGCCGTGCTAGGCACGTCAGCCGATTGACTCGTTGGGTTGTTTGTAAGCAAACTCAAACACCACCAAGGCTATGCTCAACGATGGCACGGTATTAGAAGGGTTGCTAAGAATAAACCAGTAGGAGAGATATTGATTCATTCAAAGTCTCGTCGGTATATTTCGCTGGAACAAGAGCCGAGCAAGAATCAGAACTTTCCTATCTCCGCGATGGACCATGAAGCGAAGGTGCCTTTTGGATGTGACTTAGTCACAGCACTGACGAATTCATGCTTCGATAATTCTCAGAGTCTGACTGATACACTCACAGTATCGAGTTGGGACGTAAAATTTTTCACATTTTCTCAATCCATCCGCCTCCACTAGAAAATTATAAGGGGACTCTTTGGATCCAATTTGTTCTCTTGGTCCAAGTGGAGAGGGATTCCTTTATGTTCAAGGACCCATCGGCGGCACCGCGGCAGAAATGAACCCGTTAGGCGTTGGTTAGGTCCTTTTGCCTGTGAACTGCGAGCTTGATTCTACGATACGGTAGGGAAGTCTTTCCGATATAGGGTACGCCAGACCCAATTTATGGAGCACTTGGCGGGGGAAAGATTTATTTGCATCGGTAAAGCATCTTGCTCTCGGTTGCAAATGTAGAACACGAAGAATAGCAGGCAAGATGACACGTCGTGTATTAAGAGAATTAAAGTAAATGCTGAGTATTTGGCCAACAACAGCCAAGTGACAGAGCCTCGTCACAAAGGCAGTGATGGGGGTAATGACACAGGACCGCTGGCATCAGTGCCTGAACGACTTGGAGGCATCTGGGCAACAAAGCTTCCATCAGCGATCGTTCAATGAATCTCTTTTCCATGACAGTGATTCAATCATCGTCATTCGTTTTGAAAGGTGCTCCGGCTAAGTTATATGTATTCCACACTTGCTGACTCCATCTGAGGGTCAAGTGACAGTCTAAACGGGATGGTGAGTACCGATGATGAAGAGACTTGGGAAGTGGTAGCGAGCTTAGTGGAAAACCTCGACCAAGAAAACAATAGAAGAGAAGGCTTGAAGACCGAGGGTAGTGATATCTCATAAGACCCAAGTTAGTATGAGCCATGAAACATGAACAATGACAATGGTCTCTTGTGGCCCACTGATGCCAGTTCAAAAAGGGGGTGCGAGGCTCGTTTTCAGACAGAGGGAATGAATGAATGTATCCCCTTACTAAAAGAAAGACACTACCTTTTCTCTCTCTCTGATTTGGATATCCAAAGTCGATTGCAAGCCTCATGGGATAGCTTGATACGCGGGGGACTCTCGTTCACGACAATCAACTCATAGAACCCCAACAGTCAATTGAACCATTCCACGGCCTTTTGTGGGTTTCTGGGGAAAGCTTGGCTCGAAGCGCCAGCGCTAGCCTCTGATAACGAATTTTGAAATGATTTGTGCAATCAGAGTTTTCGTTACGTTTTCTTTCCGCTATGGTAGAAAATTGCCGGGGACCCTCTTTCGGGGCTTGTCTCGGCTAACCGCTAACGTTAAGAAGAAGCGGGAGCTAGCAAGACCGAAGCGGGGCCCGACCGTGTAAGTTGAGCGGTGCCGAGAAGTGGGGTACCGGAGGCCACGACTCGGTATCGTGACCGTGTACGTTAGGAAGAGCCGGGTCGGCGTCAAGAACCAGCGCCGGACGAGAAAACTTTGCTGCCGCTAATTTTCGGGGCCCGGACTGAATCAAGAAGACAATTACCGTTGCTACGCTGGCCGGTTTGGTGTATAAGTAGGCGCCTCCCACCTTGGGTGAATTTGGGGTTTCCTCCTCTTTTGTCCATCCGATCTTTGTCTTTTGAACAGTTGATATCAACCTCAACATTATCTGAGCCACGAAAGCATATCACCCACACATATCCTTCTACTACAACAGCAATCAAGACCACAATGTGGTCCCCGACTTCCAAGATGCCTCTCGACATCAAGATTGACGATCACTATTGTTCCAAGATCTACACTAGCGGCTCCCATATCACAGGCACGGTAGCTATCTGTCCAGAAAGCCGTACTCCATTTCATTGCATTCAGATAGCTTTCATGGGCACCTCTTATACCCGGGTTGATATGTTACCTGTCCCCAAAATCACCACCGACGTCTTCCTCAACCTAGACATGCCCATTACGAAGACGTCCTACCCGCAAGGACAAGTCTTTGCAGCAGCAGAAACCAACATTATCCCATTCAACTTCACTATACCACGAGAGCTTCACAAAGATGCTTGTGAGACTGGCCAAGGCGAACATTCCCACGATCAACACATGCGGCTGCCTCCATCGATGAGCGGCTGGGAAAAAGACGACATGTCGCCGTCAATGGCTCAAGTCGAGTACAAGATAGTCGCACGACTGCTGCGCAAAAGACCCTCCAGCCCAAAAGATACCATCGAGGCCAGCCAACGGATCATGGTCCTCCCAGCATTTGCTGAAGACCCGCCTCTGAACATCAACAACCAAGATGCAAGGTACACGCTGTCCAGGACTAAGTCCGTCCGCAGAAGTCTTCTCTCCGCGCAAAAAGATCGCATTGTCGTCAATGCGCTTCAGCCTGAAGCAGTCTACATCAGCATCGGCGGACACCAGCTCCCCGACTCTCACGCCTCCGTAACACTGGACCTGAGTTTTGAATCTACCTCCTCATTTTCGTTTCCGCCGGAAGTGACACTGGGCCAGGTCAAGCTAGAGACTCAGACGTGGTTCACAGGCACCCCGATGAAGATGTTGCCAGATCTCGGAGACCCCCGTGAGGCAGCAGGGCTGCGCCACGAGCTGCGATACTCTACCCAAACCAAGCTTCCTACAACAGACACGGGAGTCATCCTGTGGCACAAGGATGATCGGACAGAAGATCGCAAGGTGTTCTCGTGGAGATCAAGGACCAAGGTTCCTATTCGTCTCCCTACGGCGCACAAGATGTTCCTGCCCACCTTCTTCAACTGTTTCATTGCTCGGAGCTACATCTTGCGCATGTCTGTCAACTTCAACGGCTCCAAGACCAAGCTCTCTGTCCCACTGCAGATTGCGTCGCAGTCGCTTTATCCTCAAGTAATGGAACCAGAAGTGGAGGACCTGCCATCTTTTGATGCATCTCTTGCCTGGAGATGAAGCAGGGTGACCGAACCCTTTCCTCTTCTTTCATGTGTTTGTAACCTATTTTCGAGAAGTTTAGGAGGCGCACATGATGTTTCCAGGGTTAATATGGAAGCTTGTCTACGGGAGGCTACGGAATGTTTGAGGTGTGGCGTTACAGATGGATGATGAAGGTTGCCTGTTTTTGTTCTTGTTTTTCCTCATGACGGGTCGAAGTCAGCTTGTGGGTGAATTTTCGCACGATGATCACCATGTCGGTAGCGACTGGATTGGTATTCATCGATCTCTATTAGGTGATTAAGTCTGTTTAGCCATAGACCAGCCGGGGTATATGATCCGCGTTGCGTCCTTCTCAGTAAAGTCTTATTATCGTTACCACCTCTACACCGAAGCCCCATCGTCGAAAGCCTTCTCCTTTGGACTCTGCTTGCTCTTGACACTTCCCGCAGTCCACTGGCGCATCTTCTTGCCCCAGAAGTAGAGAAGCGGCAACCCAAGAGACAAGACGATGATTGCCTCTGCATACAGGGCAAATGTTTGAAGGGGTCCTTTCTCCGCGATCCAGACAGTCGCCTTGGAGGCGATGAAGAACGCTACGACAATGCGTAGAGATGAAACGTTGACGAGAACCGGTCTGTGATCATATTAGTCACGCACTTCCACAACGCCGTTTAGGCTTGAACATACCCTGCCCATTGCGGGTAGCTCTCGACGATGAAGACGTTGAGAATGGTCATTGTCGTCAAAAAGGCAAAGACAATCAGGAAGGAGCCAACCAACAGAACTGCCCAATGCATGTTCTGCTCACCGGCGGTACCGAAGACGAAGCAGCCTGCCACTCCCGAAACGAGCGGCAAGATCAAGTTGGCAAGGTGATGCTCCGGCTCTCTGCTGCCGCCCTGCCACCTCGTCACAGCATTGGAAATCTTGTCGGCCACAGGGCCACCAAAGACGTAGACCAGAGCCGAGGCAGCGAAGAAGGGGAGTACAGTGAGACCGGTCCACTGGAACTGCCAGCCCTGAGCGAGGAGGGCAAAAGGCGTGATCTGCTGAGCGGCCTGGTTGATAACGATCATGGAACTGTTGGCGAGCACGCCCCAGATGATGGCGGGGAAGTAAGTGGATCTGAGAGCATCGAACATGGACTTGGCAGCGCGCTTGAACTCGAAGCCGTTTTGGAAGACACCGATGTTGGTCCAGACGGTACGTGGCGTATAGTTCACGTAATCGAGCTCCGGGCGGTTCTGGCCTGGCAGAAGAGGGTATGTATTCTGGCCACCTGTAACGGATTAGCTGTGCTCGGGTCTCTTGGGGTGAGGCGAGACATACTGAGCTCTTCCTGAGAACGGGTCCAACGTGTTTCGGGCAGGAAAGCAATGAGAATGGCCCAAGCCAAGATACCCATGCCAGAAGTGATGTAGTACAACCACCTCCAGGTGTAGTTGGCGGATACCCACGGGGCTGCGACACCAAGACCAATGATAATAATCCCTTGACTGGACACTACGGCTGACATGGCCTTGTTTCTCTGGTGGATGAAGACCATATCCTGAACAATCAGCGGAATAAGTGCCTCTACTGCACCAGCGCCCAGACCCATGAGTGCTCTGGCAAGCAAGTGCTGCTGCAGGCTCGTGCTGAAAGCAGCAAACAAGCCACCAGCCCAAGCACTAGTTGCAGCAAATAAGAGTACCGGTCGACGGCCGATCCAGATGGATGTGGGCACCAGAAAGTAGCTGGCGATACCGTTCGCCAAAAGGGGCATCGTGGCTAGAAGGGCGACTTCGTCGAGGGAAGCTGGCTTGACGCCAGGTGGCACGACGGACATGGGGTTGATGTTGAGACCGCTGCCGCCACTCTGGGCCTTGAAGTCGATGTTGTTGAGGATGCGCGGGTCGACCCCCGAGTACTCGAGGATGAAGACGGGGAGAAGACCACCGATGACGACCTCTGCTGAGAGGGCAAGGGCACCGACTGTGAGGACTGGTCAGTCTCGAGTGGCACACCCTGTGGTAGATAGGAAGTCTTACAGAAGCAAAGGGCGCCAATTGCTGTCCATTTCCGCCATGCGGGGAGGTTCAGTGGATCTATATCGTTCCATATCAATACTCATTCCCCGTTGGTTCTCCACGAACGATGACAGGACTCACCCTTGGGATCAGGCGTGGGCATCTACACACTGTCAGCAATGCACATGAATCAAGAAGATAGGCCAGACTTACAGGAATTAGCCTCAGCTGCCCGTCCACGTACAGATTTGTCGTCCCGACGACCAGCGTCTCGTTCTTCTCACTGACCCCTTCTTCAAACTCCGACACCGCCACGGCGGGCGCACGCTTAGGACCAGCCTGCTCATCCTGGAGCGGCCAGCGGTTGTTCGTCGCCATCTTGTCGTTGTTGTGTATGCCGTGATGGAGTCTGAGCTGTAGCGCAATCCCACCGCTCCAATATTCCAAGGGTCGAGCTCGTCTTCCCGCCGGACGCCAGCGCAACCTTATACTAGACCTGGCATGCACCCCTGTGGGTGATCGGTAGCAAGGGGAGGGGATGATGAGTTGCAGGTTCGGAACGCCCTCTAGATTCCGAGATGGGGTTAATTTGGCAGTGCTGGACCCAGTCTATATCAAACGGATAGAGGAAGGGAAGGAGAGTGGGATAGACAAGCAGTGCGTTTAGATCTGTAGAAACCCCAGTTGCGTCTGGTCTTGTGTGCCTGTACGAATCGGAGACGTGCCTGGACGGATGCGTCGCATCAGGCGAACCGTCAATCGCACGACACCCGCGACGACGATTAACTACGCCAGTAACACTAGAGAGACATACTCAGACACGAGTGTACGATGCTGTCTCTGGGCAAAGTGTGTGTGTGTGTGTGTGTCTCCCTCCACATCCCGCCCGCGGGGGCGGAAGAGGCATCTCCCATGTTCGCCCATGTTCCCCTTTCTCCTCAAGCACGGGTGTGTCATGTTTCCACCTGACAAACGTTCGTCGCCGCCAGTCCGGGAGCTAGGATATCGAACCTTGAAAAGCCCATGGTCTGTGATGTGTCTGCTTTCGGCAGTTGAAGAGTTTCTGGATCGCCTGATGGGGCGTTGGGTGGATGCGGGCCGGTGAGCTGGGGCGAGACTAATTCGCCGTCGAAACAGAGTCCCACGCCTTCCACGATGGGATTTGTGTAGGATATTTGACATGACACAGCTGCGTCTTGCGCCTCGTAGGGATTGGGGCTCTTTGAGTAAGGTGGGATAAGGGGGTGTGACTTGGTCTGGGGTTGGAATGCGGCATGCGACGGTTTGATCGACGTTCTCGCGCGCGCGAGATAAACCCTTGCCAGTCGCTCTTTGATGTCTTGCGATTCTTCACGCTTTCAATCATGCCTTACATACACATTCAAAGTTGTCCCTTGCATTTAGAGACGTTGCGGAATGTAGATAGCACAGGGCTCCTAGCGTCCGGTCCATGGGGCTGATGTGGAGGAATCTTAATTCAATCACCTGTACGGAGTAGAGCAATCACATTCAACCAGCGGGTGTCCTCGTCAAGTCTCCCTTACGGTATTGATGAGGAACGCCGACGTCGGCTTATGTAAACTCTGTCCATCTCGAATCTTTCTTCATCGCATCACAACTGCGCGCGCCAGTCGGCCGGATACCCATCCCCCAAGTCTCATCACATTGCAAACTTCAGACCGTTTTTTTCTTTCCGGGCAAGTTGAGATGAAAAGCCGCAGAGACACAAAGCAACAAAACAAATTTTTCTAGCATGGCATTCATAATCACAAGTGACTATACTAAGGCGCAGATACAGGTCGCGAAGAAAGGTTCTTGAGTCAACGCATGAACACAGCACCACCACCCTGTTACAGACCCCCGGTCCGAGTGCCTCGTTCCAACGCAAAATAAGACACTGGATATTCGACAGCTTCGACTCTTTTCTTTTTTTGACCTGGCGCACGGATGGCGATGCAACGATATGCCGGGTTTGATACATCTCAACGTCCCAACCACAGAGTGAGTCGTCATTCACAAGAGCTGCAAAATTGCATTACGGACAGGTCAATATCACCACGGCGATATTCCAACCTGCCAAGAAGGTTACAATACCAATGACTTGACGGGAGAGTTGACGACGACTACAACAACGATCGGCGGGTTGACAAACTGTCATCAGCCCACATCTATCCCCCCCTACCTGGATACAACACATTTCGTCTGAATTACGTCGATTGGTTTGTCTGGTCTCTGGGCTTGGCCCTCCACCATGACTTCATGCCGGCGTTACACGTTTCGGTTTACCAATGAAGCAGGTATTGGCACACTCTAGTCTCTCCTGTGTACGTCCGTTTCTCTCTGCCAAGCCTACAGAACGGCCGAAGCCCTCTTGTCTGAGGCTTTGAGTTGGGTGCCCCCATCGTGATCGTCGCCGGTCGGCGCTCCATGTATCGAGTCTGATGTTTCCTTCAGATGATACCTATCCGTCGGCTCATCCGTTGTGTATTCTCACTCCTCGCCGTCCACTTTCCGGTGCGGCGACCCGACTTGCTGGCTTTGGCTGGGCACCGCGTCCACTTGTGACAAGCCAAGGGCTGCTTACGAATCCATACTCACGGAACATAGTGATCGTCGAGCATGCCACTTGGACAGCAACCTCGAATTTCGAGATAGTGTTATGAAGAAAAGCACTACTCAATGCGACATAAAAGCTTCACTAGTGTAGCTGCGCTATTGTCAATTCTGGCCGAACTCTTATTAAGCGGCATTCCCTCGAGTTTTCTCCTGCGTCTGTCACCTTTTCAAGTATTTGACACGTATTCGATGGAGGCCCTCAAATTGTGTCACCCTGTTGGAGCAATGCCTCATCTGGCTTGGCCGAAGTCTGTGACATTCCTGTTCCAGGGAGGGCGAGATAGAAGAAGTGAAGGTTTGTTCGAATATTGCTTCCCAAAGCCAATCCTTTGCTTGAGTCTAGAATACATTCGTCATTCAAGTGTTGCCAACCTTGAATCGGCCGTCCGAGTCCCCTCTATTAGTAAGACTGTCGTGTTATATATCACTCTGGCCCGTCATCAGAAAGCCCAAAAAAAAATTTAAAAAAATTTAACGCCATGCTTAGCCCCGTTGTCCCTTGCACAAGGTCTGACTCGCTTCTCGAGACGTAACGGTTATATCCAGCCAGAAATCGTTCCCTTGGGATCGCTTTAGTTGTCGCTCGCACCCAAGACTCTCGCAAGCAGTACGTAGAAGAATACGACACCGCCAGCGACGAGAAGTTTGTTCTGGTTCAGCCAACCGCGGCCGGCATCTCGTTGTTGCACGACAGCATCGACGACAGCCTGAGCCTGATGACCGCTGCCATTCCCGATGCCAAGTTGGGGCCCACAGGAGGCCCCTGCTGCCGCTCCCGTCCTGCTACCTGTCGCCAGGTCGATTTTGGTTTCCTTCATCCACTCCCAGTTGGCCTTGTCGACGTCGGGCCATTCGGATCGGAACTTAGCGCCACCGTCACCGGCCTTGACGTTGCCCTTTTGTGCCACATTCGCCTTTGCGTTGGATCCTCCGCCGGTCGAGTTCCACCATTTTGTCCGTGCTGCCAGCATCTTTCTCTCGACCTCAGTGCTGGATACGGAACCAGTAGTCATTTCCTCGCTGGTCATGAAAGAAAGCAAGCCTATCAGGATGGTGGATACCTCCCAGGCAGGGTTGAAGGACTTGGGGTGGAAATCGGATATGGAGAGGCAGAGGCGGGTAGATGGCTGGAAGCGACCGGAAGGAGTGTGCATTCGGATGGCCGGCGGCGCGAAGGGGTAGTTTGGGGGGAAGACGAGAGTTCCCCAGTACTGGCCGCCATGGTACGGTGTGTTTTCGGGACCGGTGATAATATAATGCCACCTGCCAACCTGTTAGCTTATTTATGTGACCTGGGTGCGATGAACATCGACGTACTCGAGGATATTGGATTCGGAAGGGTGCGCCTCAATGTATGGTGGTGGGTTCTCGGCGATGGTCTTGTATTCGCGCGTCAACTGTGTAGGAGTCAGTCTAGTGAATCTTATAGAAATGATATCAGTGACACTTACCCTCTTTTGTGCTGCTCTGCTGGCGGCCATGGCTGTTGAGGATCGCCGACGAAACCCTGTGGTATCCGGATCGACGGTGGGCGGCGAACGACGTAATGGGGAACACGATCAGTGCGTGGTGGCAGATGGCCGGCCTATCGAGAGAGCGAAGAGAAGAAGAATACGAGTAATGTACAAAAGTCAGAAATCGAAACGACTGAATAGACGCAGTTGGATGCAGATGCACAGCACTTTTTCGACTGTGGGTTTGAACGGCGTAGGGGTTGTTGTTGAAATAGGACAGGTGAATGGGTAACGGAGAAGGAATGCGGCGAGGCTGTGACAAGTGCCGCCAATGCGTTGTCCAAGGTGCTTGGAGGGCGCTTGAGGGGGGCCTCGGGGTGCGTCAAAACTCAGAGAGACGGGAAAGCGGGAAAAGATACGTATCTCCGGTACCGATGAGTCCACGCCCGAAGTTGCGCCACAGGATTATGTCACTGGTCAGAATAATGGGTCCTCTCAAACCACATGAGGTCCAAGAAGACGGAAGGAAGGCCCGGGCGTCATGCTCCGGACACAGGTATGAGGTGTGGCTGGAAACCAGTGAACAGAGCTTCCCGGAATGTGGCTGGAGCTTCCTCTCACCTCTCCCGGAGTCCCCAGAGAGCCCCACCGACAGTGACCTCACCCCGATCCGTTCCCTTGCGCCCGTGCTGCATCACGAAATTAAACCGAAGCTCCCCGGATCGTGTGGTTTTTGTCCACTTGCAAGCTGCAACTTCAAGCTCCCGTCTGTCGAAACTCCCACCAAGGCTCCAATGGCTTCCAAGACCAGTGCGAGCGGAAGCTCCGTAAAGTCCCCTCTCTCAATTGTCCTTAGACCATCGAACGAAAGCTAATAGAACTCATGTCTTTTTTTTTTCAGGCTTCCAACCCGATTGGCAAGCTCCAGGCCGGACCCGATGCATTGCGCAAGGAGGCAGAATCCTCGGCCGAGTACGAGAAGGCACAGGAAGAGGCCAAGATCAGAAGACTGCAACAATTGGCAAGCTACGGCCCGTCTCCCGCCAACGGTCTCCAACCTTGCTAATGCGCCCAATAGCTGTCCGACCAAAACTCGCAGCCTATGACCATCAACCGTCTGCAGGTCCACGGCGCTACCAACACCCGGAGAGGATTTCTCGACCCCATCTTCACGCCACTCCTGACCGAGGATGTCAACAGCTCCTCTACCCTTGGCGAAGTAGCAGCGCGATTGGGCGACGCAAGAGGAAAGCTGGAGAGACTCGGTACGCGCAGCCTGGGTCCTTGCATAGACGGCATGGTCTAACACTCTTAGGCATCTTCCACCCTGATGTCAAGGTCCACCTTAGCAACGCCAACAACACCGATGCCTCGTCCACCCCCACCGATGTCGATGTTGACGTGGTCGTCAAGGAGCTCTCCCGCTACAAGTTCAACGCCGGAACCGATGTCGGAAACAGCGAAGGCTCCGCTTACACCTCTTTGCTTTGGCGCAACATCTTTGGCGGTGCTGAGCAGCTCACCGTCAATGCCAGTGCTGGCACAAGAACTCGTTCTGCATACAGTGCGACCCTGAGCGCACCGGTCCAAAGTAACCCCGATACGAGAATCGCGTTCGAGGGCTTGGCTTCGGCCACCGACAAGTCATGGGCAGCTCACGAGGAGGTTCTAAAGGGAGGAAACCTGCGCTTCTCATGGCTCTCTGGCCTAAAGGACATGCACACTGTCGAATACTCGGGCATCTGGCGTCAAGTCACTGGCCTCCGTGACAGTGCCAGTCCCACTGTGCGCGCTGATGCCGGAGACTCCGTAAAGAGCTCCATCAAGCACACATATCAGAGAGACGAGAGAGATAACCCGCAGCTTCCGCAAAGTGGCTATGTGCTGAAGTCGGTTTGGGAGCTGGCTGGTCTCGGGCCTCTCGGCGGTGACGTTGCTTTCTCCAAAACTGAATGGGAGGTGGGTGGTGCGCTGCCAGTCCCCGTTCCCGGTGTAAAAGGATCGTCTGGCATCTCGATCGGTGGAGGACTCAGGTTCGGCATGCTGTACCCACTTCCTCTGGGCTTTTCCTCCGAGGGCAAGTCCCAGCCGAGCCGCATCAACGACAGATTCCAGCTCGGTGGGCCCACCGACGTCCGCGGATTCCACTATGGTGGTCTCGGACCTCACGACGGGTCGGACTCGGTCGGCGGAGACGTCTTCGCGGCTGGCAGCGTGAACATGCTGTTCCCTCTGCCTTACAAGGGCCCCGACTCCGCCCTTCGCTTCCAAGTCTTTGCCAACGGTGGCAGACTTGTCGCAATGAAGAACAAGAGCAAGGCCGGTGCTTCAGCTAACGAGAGTCTCGACGCTAAAAGTGTCGCAGGCAGCGCGTGGAGAGCGTTGAATGACCTGACGACTGGTCTGCCATCAACAGCCGCTGGTGTTGGTCTGGTTTACGCTCATCCTGTTGCTCGTTTCGAGCTCAACTTCAGTCTCCCATTAGTGTTGAGACGGGGCGAGCAGGGAACCAAGGGACTGCAGGTCGGAGTCGGTATCAACTTCCTGTAAAGGCCTCATTTCCGACATATGGATAACCGTTTTGCGTGCCGGCACACAGCACAGCCTGACTAGGCCATATTGTACAACTATGTCATTGTAGATACTCTCTAATTGGAAGATTACAACACGGATGCGCCTACAGAATTCCCGAACTCTTCATGCCTGAGCGATTCATTCCACACCACCCCCGTCCGTGGCGCGATGTGAGGACCCTTACCAACTACCCTGGCCCGCCCAGTAAGCTTATTCAGCGCATTTCTGGTATTTAACAGTCGGCCTCCGATCGCCGGGACTCTTCCGTCTCACAAGGACGTCGTGGAACATGGAAGCCATCGTGGCATTGCTGCAGCGCCGGCAGGAGGGTTCCAATAGTCAATCGGCACGAGAATCCTTCCAGAATATCCCATTCGCTGGATTTCGGCCTCCGGATGGTCGACTGCAGGGGTAGGACATCAGCCCCAGGATAGGAAGTTGAGCCAGCGTAGAAGCGACCTAGAGGTCTACAGACGATGTAACGTACAGTTCCCCCTCACCGCGGCCCTCGTGTAAATGCGCGGCTGGTGCTCAACTTCTTGGGGGCTGGGACCAGGGAACAACAGCACTCTGGACGTTTTCTCCGTTGGTTCCAAATTACACCTTCCAGGGGGACGTTCTTTAAGCTGATTATACCCTGCTGACAACTGCATCGCATGTGTGATACAGGTTGACGATTCCAAGCTTGGCGAGTTCCATGACTCGTTGACTACTTCGCGAGCCAGGTCCTCGGATATAGGCTGCATGTAAGACGGCATCAATGGTACCATTGAGATGATATACTTGACTTATAAGTAAGCATGTGCCGTCGACTGTCAAAAGACTAGTGTCCCGCAGCTCTGCCACCTCCAGCGACTTCAATTCCACAACTAACCATGCGGGTCCTCCTTTCTCTGCCGTTGCTTGCCACGGCGGTTTCTGCCCTTACCGTGAGAGTCCCATCCGTCGTAGAAGACTTGAAAACGCTTGTAGCAGCATCGTCATCAGTAGCTGTTGACCTCCGTGCGAGATGGAGTACATACCATGCTCCTATCCCGTCCATCGTGGTGAATGTCACGACGGAGCAGGATGTCGGCGCCGTTGTGAGTTGTTCCATTAAAAGCCGCATCTTGAACGATGTTCTCTGACTTCTGAACCAGGTCAAGTACTGTGCGAGCCGCAAGATACCCTTCACGGCTCAGAACGGCGGTAACGGCTGGGGCAAGACGTTCAACCTCGGCAACAACGGCGTCATCGTCAACTTGGCTGGTTTGAATGCCGTCACTTTCAGCAAGACGAAGACAGAAGCCACTATTGGAGGCGGGGCCATCATTGGCGATACAATTAAAGCAGCTAATGCTGCTGGAGTTTTGGTCCAGACGGGCAATTGCAACTGTGTCGGCGCCCTGGGTGCCATCCTGGGAGGCGGTTACGGTTCGTGGGGGACACTAACGATCCAAGATAAGACTCTAAACTGACAGCCTGACAGGAAACCAAATGGGAGAAGTCGGCTTCGGCGTTGACAATGTACTTTCGATGCGCGTCGCAGTCGCCAGCGGAGAAATCCTCACGGCCTCGCCGACGTTCAACCCAGACCTCTTTTGGGCCCTCCGCGGCGCCGGGCCCAACTTCGGCATCGTCATATCGGCGACAGTAAAGGCACGACCCATGCCGGTCGAAGGCCGCAACGCATGGCTCATGAACCTCTTTTTCTCGCCAGACAAGCTCCCGCAAGTCGCGCAAGCCATCCAAGACCTCCCCCTGAAGCCGGAGCAGGTCGTCTACCTCGTCCTCACCAACTCGGGACCGCCATCCAATGCCCCCGCCGTCCTCGTCACCGGGTTCCTGAGACAAGGCAACGACGCGACTGGGCTTGCAGCCTTCGCGCCGCTGTACAAGCTGGGGCCGATCTCGAATAGCAGTAGTGTGGCAGGGTACGAAGGCTGGAACGCAGGCAATGACAACTTTTGCGCGCGCAAGGAGCGAAAGCCGGCATACAGTACGACCATCAACCACATGAAACCCGAGACGTGGCCGGCGATCTGGGACCTGTATACCAAATTCCAGGCAAAGGGACCCAATTCTGCCGTGCTGATTGAGCGGTATAACCTGACCAAGGCGCAGTCTGTTCCCAAGGGTTCTGCGGCGCTGCAGGAGGCATTGAGGAGGGACGCGTTTGCGCAAGCGATTGTGATCCCCTGGTACACTGATGCCGCGCTGGATGGCGAGGCTGAGACGTTTGCGGGCAAGGTTAGGGACATTTGGAGTTATTCGCTGAGTGCGGTGGCGAATCCGACGTATGTCAACTTTGCGCATGGCGATGAGACACCTGAGGCGGTGTATGGGTCTAGTCTGACGAGGTTGAGGGAGTTGAAGAAGAAATGGGATCCTTTGGGGGCTTTCAATCAGTGGTTCCCGGTTGGGGCATGAGATGTACAGTCGACACGAGTTTGAATAGAAAAGCTTTGAATTTTATGACTACACCTTCTGTGTAAAACCACGCTCTCCTCGCTTGCGCTCATCGGAGTTTGGTGTATCGAGTAATGAAAGTTGATGCTTATGACTTCTGAATGGAACCACGCCCTTCTCATTCACCCTCATCCGACCCAGGTGCATCGAGGTCGTCGTAGGATGACTCCTCGATCAATTTCTGCGCTTGTTCATCAATTTTTCTTTGGTCTTTGGCCGTTCTGGGTCCGATTGTAGATGCAGTCGACTGTCTTCCTCCGACTGGTCTTGCTTCTGGAACTGGCAGTGCTGCGGCAACTGGCCTTGCTTCTGCGAGTAGCCTTGCTTCTGGAAGCCTTGTTCTAATAAATGGCCCTGTTTCAACAACTGGTCTTGAATCAGCAGCTGGCCTTGCTTCAGCAACTGGTCTTGCTGCACCGGCTGGCCTTGCTGCTCCGGCTGTCCTTGCTTCAGCAACTGGCCTTGCTTCAGCAACCGGCCTCTTCGGCCAAGGCCACCACCTAGATAGCGGGATATCACCGAAGATGGTGTTGAAGTTGGAGACCGGATCGGCTTTGTCGTACTGATAGACAATTTTCCCAGCAGGATTATACGCAAGTGTCCGAACAATGTGCTCTTCTTTGATCTCCTTCAGCTCAAAACGGGACAGGGTAGGCATGTCCAAGGCGAAGATGTAGAGTTTGGCCGCCCAATATCCACGATGTTTGTCAAAGAGGTGATAGACGCGGGTAAATTTACCTTCTTTCGAGTTATAGACTGGATCTTCGACTTCGGTGGTGACGTAAGAGCTCAAGGGAACGAAGTTGTCTGGCCCTAGGTGGAAACCGCGTTCCATAAGTAAAGGGAGGCATTGTGTGCGTACGAGAAGGCCAGCAGTCCATTCTTGACTGCCATCTGGCGAAGCAAAGCCCATGTTTATCGCCACGGAGATGTGCCTCCATTCGGGCGAGTCATATGGGGGCGTGGGAAAGAATGGGTGTGGCATTGTTGTGATGTAGATATGGGTAGGATGTGTGTGGCGCAGGAGCTCCAAAGAAGTGATTGATCGTTGGTAAGTGGAAGAGTTGAGTTGATATTCTGGCGTGGGTGTGTTGGAGAAGACAGGAAAAGTGATCAATTGAAGCTGTCTTGTCTGTTGGGAGTGCCAACCCTCTATATGGTTGTTGCGAGTGAGGCCGTTCTTTCTGGTGATTGAATATCTTTGAATCGGGTAATAGCTCCTCCCACACATACCACTTCGCGCACCTAGGTACATTTTGGAGGATGCTGTTGATGTCAATTTGATGGCAAGTGCACCCCTTCCTCATACGTCTTGGCCCACCACGGTAAACTAGCAGAGCAAACTTCCTTGAATACTTACCTGAAGAGCAATTCCAGTAAAGACCCAAAGACCTAGAGTGAAAGACTCGTATTGCGATATAATGACATACAAAATCTTCCATGTTATCTTCGACACAAAGCGCCTCACTTTCCATTGAATTTGTGGAAAGGAACGTTGTGAAGAGCCATGGAAAAAGGGCCGACGCCGTTTGCTGCTACCTGAGCACCTTAGGTAGGAACAGGGCAGTGTAGAAATGTGAGCTCATCAACAGTAAGCGCCGGTTAATGCAGTTCTTGAATCTGATGTAAGGTATGAAGTACCTTCCTTAAGGGATCTCAAATCAGGCGGAAAGTGTGGTTGTGGATGGACATTTACCTCAAGGTGGAAGGATGCAAGCCCGAGCTTCATGGAATCGCGGCCCCACATCGGCGCCGGGTGCAGGAGGACCGGGCCGGTAGCTCGGGTCTCGGAATTTGTCAATCGGATCTGGGTGATTTTTGTCAGGTGAGTGAGATCCCAGTACTTGTAGGGGATGGAGGGGTCTGGATTTAAGTGGCCCTGTGTCTTGGACAAAGCAGTCGGTCCCGTCGTCTAACGTCGTCGGGAAAACAATGCTGACATAATCCATAATCGTACTTTGACAACCTACAACGGGACTGTTGCTGGGAGGTGCGCCCGAACGTGAGGTAGCTACAACGGTGGTGTACCGGCCGCCCTGTGGCTTGGAAATACAGCTAAAGCTACCTATTTTTGTGACGACCTCGGACCGCAAAAGAAGCTCGGTCGGTCGGCCGGTCAGAGGTGCAGGCGCTAGGGATGGCGTCGAGTCTTTTGTCAGATTGTGGTGTGAGTTGCAGCGCACCAACTGTCAAAGACCCGGAGCTAAGGAGGAGTGATGATGATGATTTGTTTGTCAGGGCATGGGCGGGACAGATGAGGATGCAAACAAAACAACAAACGGATCTTGCCATGTCAATGACTCCTTCAAGGGACGGCTTCCCGCATCCCTTGGTTTCTTTTCTGAGCCTGATCAAGCCTATTCCCAGGCTTATTGTCTACGCAGCATCAGGTCAAAGAGGATGGATTCAAACTCGTCTATCAACTCGATTCAGGGTCCCCTCCAGAGTTTAAGGTGGTGAATTGAGCTTCCCCTTGCCCTTTACCTTGGATCGGTACGTGCCTTTTAAAGTGGACCATGGCTGTAGCTCTCCGGGCCCAGCCAATCTTCAGCCAATGAGGTCGAGGGAGGGAAGCTCCAAGCTTGGAGTACGTACCGGGAAGATCGAATCGTTTTTTTTTTCTCTCTTCTTGCGGGGGTAAAATTTTGTGACGCAGCCCCGGTTTTTGTCATCATCGAATTTTTTATTTTTATTTTTCGGCCTCTGTTTTTTTTTTTTCTTGACCCAGGCACCGGCCCACGATCTGAGTCCCGGTCCTAACTGAGTCCTCCTGCTCAGAGCTTACAGCAGCAACACCTTGCCGCCGGGTAACAGCAGGAAGCACAAATTCCAGCTGCAGTTCTTTCCTGGTCTGGGAGAGATGGATGCCTATCTGGCAATGGATACCTATGGATAAATGATACTTCAGTGACTTTCACGTTCAGTGACCAACATCCCAAGACAGAAGACAGTCAAGCAAGGCAGGAACGGAAGCTTGCTCGCACCTGCCTACCTTCCCGTCTTATTAATCGCTGGCTCTTGGACTTTAATTTTCCACCTCCACCAACACCCAGTGACCTGTGACCAAACAGTCAACACCCCGTCATCCAAGGCGAAGGACGTCAAGACTCAAACGGCCCGTTTTCTTGTCTTCTTCTTCTTCTTTCTACCCCTTGATCCTCTTCTCCTCCCCTTCATCCACTTTCTTCTGCTTGACATCCCATTGTCACGCCTCTTTCACCGCGCTTGGGGGACCCTCCACTCCACTCCCTCACTTCTCCCCTCTCTTCATCCGTCCGTACAGAACAGATACCTTGCCTTACCTCATCACGCAGCACCGCCTGAAGTTGCTCGCTCTTCTGCCTCGCTTTTGGCATAACTGCCTCCCGCTTCCCTTCTCTTCCCCCCCCCCCCCTCTCTCTCTCTCACTATTTTGCTTCCTGCTTCCTCCTGCATTCGCCATTCTGGAGACACTGGTGGCACGCATCAGCACCCGCATATCCCCTCTATCATGCGCAGCCCCTACCCAAGAGAGGCTCCTCCCACCCTGCACGAAAAGAGTCACTAGCTCTGTTGGACATCTGCCCCCCATCCGAGGCCACGACTTACAATTTACGATTCTTCCATTCAGCTCGACCACCTTGCTCTTTTTTCCTTGGATATATCCACTTTCTCTTCGGAGTAGTGCAGTCCACTTTGAGAACCTGAGTCTGAGGTATCCGTACTGCCGCTATCGCCGAACCGATCACAGCTGTTACCGCCTACCGCGAACCACCCCCGGCTCCTATTCCTTGTGTGGCCCCGGCACACACACAGCAGCCATCCACTTTCACTCTTGGGGCCCGTCCCGCCAAGTCAAAGACCGCTTCTCCTTGCGCTGCGGGCTCAACGGCAGCCTCCCAACATCACCACCACACAATCCTCCCGCCTAGCCCCGTCCACCATGGCTCCCAACGGCAATCCGAAGGCGAGGAACGGTGCTGGTGTCGCCCATGGAAGACCCAACGCTGCGAGGCGTGTCGTCCCCGTTATTCCCCTCCCCATGGACCGTCGCGTCAAGGCCAATGCTGCTGCGAAGCAGGCCGCTGCTGCTGCCCAAGCCGCCGCTATTGCGACCCATCCTCGACCCGCCATCACGAACGGCTCTTCTTTGAAAATCCAGCACGACGTCGACTCCGCTCCCAACACCCCCAAGACCATCGAGCTCGAGATTGCCACAGACGACAACGACAAGGGAAAGCCCGTTGTTGCCAATAATGGTGCCGAGGAGACGCCTTCACCTGCCGACGCGGAAGTCGATGACACAAAGGATCGCGAAGGTACGCAGCAATTTTTGCCTGGCTTCAACGCACTCGGAGAACATCATACTCACTCTTCTCTACCAGCTACCGATTCTCAGGAGTCTTCTGCCGCCATCCCGACCCCGTCCACGACCGAAGAGTCCGAATCCACCGACAAGACCGCCGACCAAGACCTCCCCCGCTCTGGTGAAGACCCTGTTCGAGGTATGCCCGCCCTTGGCACTCGCAACTCCGGCCACCAATTCTCACATACCGCAGGCAATAGTCACGTCACCTCTCCGCCCGCGATCCGAGTTGCGAAGAAGGGTAGGAACTTTGAATCTTGCGATATCATCATGCCGCAAAGTCCTAATCACCATGCCACAGACAACGCTCACCAGCATCCGTCAACCTTCCGACCCCCTCCCGTCATTCCTCCGACGCGTTACAACATGCCACCCAATGGCCATAATGGCCACAATGGCTCGCGCCCTTCTCCCGTCGTCATCAACGGCACCTCTCACCGGGGCCCTCGATCAGTCCACAACGGTCCTCCACACATGCATGGCCCGCGTCCCAGCAACGGAAGCCTCCAGTTCGGCGGTTTTGCTTCCAACTCGTCTTCTCCGGCGCCTCCTCACTCGGGAGGCTTCATGCCCCCTCCCGGCATGCCTCTTCCCGACGGGCGTTCTTTCAGCGGTGCCGCCAACGGGTTCCACCGCCAGATGCCCTACGGTACCGAGTTTGTGCCTGGCACAGGTGTAGATGGATTCGGCCGACCTGTTCCAGGTTATGGAGGCATGGAGCAGTACCCTCCTCATCTCAATGGTGGCTACGGACCTTCGACTCCTCATAGTTTCCAGGGGTCGCACTCTTCGGCCCATGCAGATGACACTGGTGCCTACAACCACTACCCCGCGCCTGGTGTCCCCAACGGTACAGCCCATGTCGATGACGCTCGTCCTCACCCTCCTCCGGCCGGAGCTTTCGGTGGACCGCCCCAGCGAATGATGCCTGGGCCTATCCCGCCCCCGCACATGATGCACCCCGGTCATGAGCACCAGGGACTCGACGACATGGCCGCATACCTACGATCGCAGTTCAGGGACCCTGCCTTTGCTGACTGCACTCTGGAGCTCCGATACCTCGACGATCGGGCTCCTCCCGTTCGCCTTCCAGGCCACCGTCTTGTTCTTGCCAGAAGCCAAGCCGTCCGCAACGTTCTAGAGGCCGACAACGTCGAATCCAGCTCGCCCGGCGCTAACCGCACCATCCTCCTGCAGTCCGATGATAGGTACCTCCGATCTGATGCCTTCTGGATGGCCGTTCAGCACTTGTACGCCTTCCCCCTCTTGGACATGCCTGAGCCAGCTTCCAATGGCAACTTCACCATGGCCGGCAACGCCGATGACCGCTTCGACTTTGCTCTCGGCTATGCTGCCGCCGGCCATATCCTGGCATGGCAGCCTATCGTCTTCCGTGGCCTGGAGATAGCGTCCCATTCCCTGAGCTGGTCGACTCTTGAGCGTGCTCTTGGCTTTGCCCTCGGTGATCTGCCCAGTCGCGCTTCAGCTGACAGACACAGCCAGTTCGTCTATGGCGAGCCTGTTCACGTTTTGATGAATGGTATAATCTCGTTCATCATCAACAACTTCCCGCCCGACTTCACTCTGGATACGTCTGTCGCTGAGCCAGAGCGTTTTGCCCGTCTCCCTATTGCTTCCACATCGCTCCCGCCCCGCGAAGGAACGCCCACTATTGCTCGCGGAACGGCTGACCAAGATCGTCGAGCCGGCCCCATGCACATTCAGTTTGGTGACCTTGCTTTGGGCCCTGATAACACATCGAATGGCTCGGATTCGACCTCACAACCCTCTCAGCAACACAACATCCGATCGACTCTCTCTACCATTCTCATCAACCTCCCGTTTGCGTACTTGAAGCCGGCTCTCGAGTCCAGTGGCTATGGTAATGTCAATGGATGGGCGAACGTCGAGGCTCGGCACCACATTATGCGGGCCGTTGTCTCGGAGCGGGAGAATAGACGGTCCAGAGTTGTTGAGGCTGTCAGATCTGGTGCGGTACTGCATGCGGAGTCCATCCTGTATAGCCTGCAGAGTGCCGATCCCCACCAGAATGAGGAATGGCATGCCCTTGGCTGGCGCGAGGACGTGGTCTCGTACGTTAACGGCGACGCGCCGTCCCTCGGCCGGCAGTGGGTTCCGTTGATGGCGGCGCCGCAGCAGAACGGCACCGACCATGTGGAGGCTACCAGCCGAGCGGCCTATCCTTGAGAGGGTGCAGTGGTGCAGCAAGGATTACGATGTTACGACACGGGAACTAAAACAACAACAAATAGTGGACGGCCCGCAATGGACTGCAATCGCATTTGCATGATGGAGTACAAAAAAGCGGCAGCAATTCCTTTTCTCAGGTTCAGGGCGAAGGTTCGGCATTGCATATGGTGTTGGCAGTTTTCTCTTTCTTTGGCAATGGAGCCAGAACATAAAAGCTTTGGGAAGCGCGCGGGCAGACTCGCTCAGCGCCTTTTTTTTTGCTGGTAATGGGCGTTTACTACGCCAGTTTCCTTTGTATGCGCGTGCAAACAATCTGACGAGGACTGTCTTGGTGGATGTTCGTCCTTTTCTGATGCCGACCGACTCTTTCCGGAACGCTTGACAGTAATTGGAAGGGCGTTTGGGTGATGTGAGGCCAGGGATTCTGCAAGTATTCTCGGGTTATCTTGACTCAAAGAGGAACATATCCTCACTTTACCTTGGTGGCCACGAATGACGATGGCATATGACGATATGAGGGGAATCAAAAATTGCGGCGACGGGGGAACAAAAAATAGGCCAGGACATGGCTGCCGGTTGTGGGGAATGAAGGATACCCAGGATGAGTTGAGAGAGCAGAGGCTGCTCTGGTTTGCCGAGAAAGCAAAGGCAAAGACGCGGAGATTGGCGGGGCATGAGAAGTGTGTTTTTAGCAACGGAATGGCCGTAAATGCGTGCATTGCGAAAATGGGACACATTGAACTTTGACAGAGATGAAGTGTGACTGGAAGATGAGAAACTCATAATGAGATTCATCATGAGAGTCAGTGTGAAATTCTTGGTGAGATGATCAGGTAAGTGAGGAAGAAGGTGATCCCTACGTGCCTCGGCCCATGTAAGGAAGACGATGAGTGAGATGAGCTTTGGCAGAAAACGCGACACCAAAAAAGCGCCTTCCTTGGCGATTCGAACGCCAACAGTCATAGTCAACATCCAAAGTCAACAAGACGATTAATCAAGACGCGATTAGTGTACGGAGTGAAGGTTGGTACGTTTGTGAGTGTGGATGATGCATGAAGTAGTCATTAAACTTGGGTCGTCTGTAAGTGACGAGTGTGGGGGAGTCCCCTGCTGCGGGGGGGGATGATGAAGACGCCATTGGGAATTAGTTGCGTTGCATGTGCCAATGAGAGGCTCCCGTTTCCGTTTGTTTCTGCCCTAGGGCCCCCGAACGGAGTCTAGGGGGTAGTGAGGACGGAGTACGCAATATGCAGTGTAGGTGCTGGACCCCGGAAAGGTAACTGGAGGGATGAGTGGGATGGCCTGGATGGGTAGTCAATAATTCCCTGTTGGGCCTGAGAGCCGAGGCATGTGCTTTTTGTGCTTTCGGCCGCCCAAGGAAATGTTTCCCGTGACACTCTCTGGACGGTCCCCCGGACGGAACCTTGGGACCTTGGCTCGAGGGGTTCCAGGTTGCTCCGTCCAGTCCGTTCGGTACCGTTTCTCAGTTCTGCATTCCTTCCTCCCACCACAACCACCACACGCGGCAGCAACCACTTGGGTCTTGCTTTTTTTCATTGCTTTTTGTCTTTCTACGCTCTACACCATTTTAACTTCCTCTTGCTTCTTTCTCGCCTCACCTTCAGCAGTCGCTGTTCCAACTTAATTACGTCTTCCGCGACTCACGCGCACAACCCCATCCCCTTTATCTCTAGTATCTCGACCGTAGTAAGTTCGTCATTGAAGCCATCGCCGTGCACGCGCACTCGGGCGATGGGCAGTCTAATCCAAGGTTTCGGCATTGGCACGTGCTAACCAAGAGCTACTCCAGTTCGGACCAAGCACATTTCCAACCACCAACCACCGAGGGACACACCACACACAAGCATACACCACTACGACCACGATACTACAACAAACTACCTCCCGTTGACGATTTCGAACCCAGTACCCGAGTCACTCTTCTTTTACCGCCGCCCATCTCTCCCCTACATCTCATCGCCCTCATTCATCACCACCATCCCATCTCCCGATAATGGCCTCTGCCGCGACTTCCTCGTCGCGGCCAGGCCCGGCCGCAGCCTCCCGTCCCGCGCAAACCTCGAGCCCCCGACCCTCCGCAGGCGGTCCCTCGTCTCGGCCACCACCCTCACGCAATAGCATCACCGATCCCATCCTCCGAAATACTCTGCGATACACAATCTCCGCCAAGGAGTATGCCACCCTACACAAGTACGTCCTGTCGCGCTCGCGGCTGCTTAAGAGAGCTGCGCCGAGCGTCACTGCTGTCGAGCGCATCGTCGATGGTGACAAGGCTGCTGCCGCAAGGCAAGGCAATGCTGTTGCCGCTGCTCCCACTGGTGCTGGTGCTGGGGCTGGTGCCGGGAGGGCTGTCGACGATTACAATGCTCGCGCCGTGCGTCATTCGCTCCGCGTCTTCGTGGGAACAGCCATGGCTTTGAAGGGCTGGGCTCTCGTTTCGACCAAATTTCTAGGCGGAAAGCCAGAGTAAGTTGCTGCTCCCATCTACCATACGTGCGACAAAGGTTTATGCTGACGTACATGCCTTGCGCACTCGCAGTCCCAATGCCAAAAAGCAACCCCTCCACAAGTCGCCCACCCTCCGACTCTCCCTCTCCCTTTCCGCCATCCTCCTTCTCTACCGCATCCTCTTCCGATTCCTCACCCGCCTACGAGCGCACCTTCTCGATCCGTCTGCGGCACCCTTCCGCCAGCGTAACCCGCGCACATCTGCGACCTTGACATCTCCCTTTGCACCGGCCATTGGCGCGTCTCTCGCTGGTGCATTCCTCGGCGTGTACCCCGCCCAGCAGCTGCGCGTCACCATTGCCATCTACACCTTGTTCAGAGCGCTCGAGTTCGGCTGGAACCTGTGTGAGGAGGAGGGTATGATTTGGGGCTTTAAGAACGGCGGGAAGGTCAAGAGGGAGAGACCTTGGTGGTGGGGCAGCTGGCTCATCCAGCCTTTTGCCTTTGGACAGCTGCTTCATGCCGTTGTCTTCGACCGGGACTGCTTCCCTGAGGTAAGAGTTACTGGTGAACAACGGTTCCTTCTGCAGAATACTAACATCTGACTAGTCATATGGAAACTTCATTTTCAAAAACTCAACAGCATACATTCACCCCAGGCCAAACGACTACCCATCTCATCTCAAGTGGCCCAAGGCCATGGAGATTGTCGACAACCTTGCTCAGATGGCAAAGCTAAACTGGCCGTGAGTCTCCCGCAATCCTCCAATAATCACCCCTTTCCTAACAACAACAGACCCTTTGTATCACCAACCCTCTTTCCCAACAAGGAGACACTGCCGCCAACTCTCAGCGCTGTTGCTCCTCTTACTTCATCAGCACATCCCATCATCACTTCGCTATCATGTGCCACTCTTCATCCATCCGACCCATCTTGTCTACGGACCTACCTCAACTTTTGGCTTGGTTCATTCCCTAGCCTCACGAAATTCTTCCTGGTCATCTACTCCGTCATGACCTTTGTCCCACGGTTCCGCTCGTTGTACAACGCTCCCGTCACAACATTGCAGCGCGTCATCGCCAAGTCGCTCCGCATGAGCACCTTCTTGACCGGCGCCATCTCCACAGCCTGGGCCAGCATTTGCTTCTTCCAACAGTGGTTCCCTCGCACATTCCTGCCGACTCAGAGATTCTTCTTTGGAGGCTTCCTTGCCGGTTTGTGGGCGTGGGTTGAGCGCAAGAGCGGACGCGGCGTCTTCTTGTACTCGGCCCGCGTGAGCGTCGACTCTCTGTGGAAGGTCGGCGTGAAGAGGAGGTGGTGGAAGGCTATGAAGGGTGGCGACGTGTGGGTCTTTGTCATGGCGCTGATGTTGACCGGTGTTGTCTACGAGAGAGACGCGAGGGCTGTCAAGGAGGGTAGCTGGAGAAAGGGTATCAGCTGGGTCCGAGGCGAGGGCTTCAAGGACTGGAGCATCGAAGACGAATCCGAGGGCGAGGCGCTGTTGGAGAAGGCCGACTAGAGTGCGGCGAGCGATTCTGCGCTGCTGAAGGAGCTGCGCACCTTTTACGACTCCCTGGATATGCAAGATCAAAAAGCTATTCGGATGCTAGATGAGACGATGATGTTTGGTCGTGAATCGGACACCACGCCTCCGTCCGATCTGTCACCTTCGACGACCTCGAATAGCGATCTAAGCACAATTGAGGAGGAACTCGACGATAAGGATTGGCCCGGTTGCTGGTGAGCGCCCTCAGTGTTGTCACATTCCACAGGAGCGAGTGTGGATGAGAGCATGGTGTGTTTGTAAATGAGCCCTGTACGTTTCGGTGTGGCTTTGGTCATGACTTCATGGCGAGTTTGTTGTTCTTGGCATTCATGTTGTCCCACTGGCGACGAGTTCACGCTTGATGGCTTGTTATATACCTAGTAATGCAAACCTTGTAATTGTTCAGCTGTTCTTGTGTACCTGAGCATAGTCTCTTGCCGACCTACCCTTAGTGTAAGCGAACCAGATGTTTCATCAAATTCCGTTCATCTGTAAGCTACTTTCGCGAATGAGGTTGTTCTCACATGGTTATTACAATAACGAATGTTCTGACTGAGTGTAGCTATGGTCTATATCCATTTACGAGCCCATTCTATTGCATTACCCCTGGCCAAGTTGTGAACGACTGACAAAACAACAACATCTGTCATCAGACAGCTCTCGATACTGCTTTACACCGCAGTCGAGGATACGCGCTCATGTACCGAAAACGAGCCATACTTGCCACCTTTTACTCTTGAGCTATCAGATCCTGTGATGACAGTCCCCAGAGCACTCTGCTCCGACATGGGCACATAATCGCCAAACAGCTCATCCATCTGCTCGAGCGTGCGGCCCGACGTCTCGGGGTAAAAGAAGTAGTAACACAGCGCGGCTATGACGTTGAACACAAAAAACACGTAAAAGAACTTGAACCCGACGGCGGTGAGGGCCTGCGGCGAAAAGGAGACAAGGATGAGGTTGATGGTCCAGTTGGTAAAC